CCTTTTCCTCCCCCCTGCCCGCCTCCCCTCGCTCGGCCCTATGTTACGTCGTCCCCCCCCCCCCCCCCCCCCCCGAGTCGAGCGAGTCTGACACGACCCTGACCGTAGCTGACGTATCTTATTATGGTATACCGGTATTATGTATACCCACCTACTCACGAGCTGCCTACATATGTACGTAGGTAGCACGCTGGAGCGAGTCGCGGCAGCTTCCGCCAAGCCATCGTCTGTGTCACACGCACGAGGCAGGTGGCTGGCAGGCGCTAACTCTGCGCTAACCAAATCAGACCCAATATGGATTAGGGCAGGTCGCGCCATCCATCCAAGGGTTCTTCTATCCAGGGTACTGTTCAGGGTGACATGAAGAAGCCTCAAGTACACACCAATAAACCTCTCTCTCTGCAGGTGTACATATATATTCACACGAGATACGACTTGGTGCCTTAGAGTAGGTAGGGCGCACGATCTGTAGTAGCACACGGAAGGTCATCTCTTCACCGGCTTCGCTTACCTTGGAGCACTTCCGATAGTACATGTAAGTAGGTAGGTAGGTAGGCATGCCGTCACCAACAGTTTGAAATCGGATGTGTGACTCGACCACCCCAATACATGTAAACCTGTAGCCACAATCTGCCATCTTTCGGTGCTGGATATGTGCTGACAGATTCTCGGCATTTTCTACTACGTAGGAGAACGTTGTGTTGTGTCTTCCTGTTGCTTTACACGACTACCGTTCTCAATTTATTTCAGGCTGGAGCCAATTGGAAAGACATGCAGCTTTCGGTATCATGTAGATACATGGAGGAGGGCATCCAACTCGGAACCTACTAATGTGGTGTGTCACTATGTATAAGCAATCTGGACAATCACCAGTTTCTTCCCGGAAAACGTATATCCATCCTTTATTCATAATCTAAGGCGAGGTGTTTACTTGGTGACCTCGGTATTACGAGCCCAGAGCCGGAGCATATACTTCGTAGAATACGAAAATCCATCATGTTCTGCGCAGGCGGGTTCCGTGTTAGTACACGTGCAGACAGTTGCATACATCCTTCCTACAAGTGATGGTGTGCTGAGGCTACCTATCAAAATCAAGGTGTCATGTAGGTAGGTAGAGTATGTACCGTGCTTAGCGCCTGGTAATACATTAAAAAGGCTTGAATGGACTCTTCAACTGACCTGAACTGCGGTTCCCCCCTCCCCCAGAGCGCCGTCACGTCGTCGGGGATATACTGCACTGTCCCACGAGGTACCGGCATGTTTGAACATGATAATATGTCCTAGGGCAGGTACTAAGTACTTCACAGCCCAGAAGTTACTTCGTAAGTGGATGCACCAAGCCCCACAACTCCGACCAAAAAGGGACATTTCCATTAGCCGCGTCCATCGTCACGCAATGAATATTTGCCTTCCGAGGACATTACTTCATATTAAAATGGGCTTGAATAATCCACCATGTCGACAGATGAGAAGACAAAGAGATCGTCGGTACCCAGATTTTCTTCGTTCAAGCCAAAGTCCCAGCATGTCGTAGAGCCTATTGCCGACACGGGCACTGCCAAGTCACGGCCTCCAGAGTATCATGACACTCACATCAGTCGTCGCCGTCACTCTCCTATCCAAGCAGATGTGCCGTCTAGACCTGCAAATCGGCCGCCTCGGGGCTCACAGAAACAGCCAAATGAACGAGAACTGGACCGGAACCCCTGGTACTACTCCGATATGCGAGGGGACGACCTCATTTTACGGTACGGCAGTAATGATCGTAGAGGGATTCCCGTATACAGCCGCATCGGCGCCGGTCGCGTCTTAGGAGGTGACGGCTTCATGAGAATTGAGAAGCTCGGAAGCCGAGACATGTTCTTCATCCGTAGCTATTATGAGACCAGTTCCTTGCTCAGCAGTGACAAGAAAAATCTCCTAGCCAAAGGTATTCACCCGTCCTCAAAGCCTATCCGAGTACGGCCTGGCAAGTCTGAAAGCGGTGCTAGCACTGACGACTATTTGCCGCTCGGGACATCCAGGAAACGCAAGCGAGGTGATGGTGCTTCTGAGGAGTCATCTGATGACGAGGGGCCTTCCTATAGGTCCATTCATGGAAAGACCAAAGCCCATGAATGCTCCGACAGCGACGAGGAACTTGATAATGATGCTTCCGGGGATGTGTTGAATGAAAATATGAATGATCCCCTGGCTATGGGGTCTATAGAGCTTACGAGGAAAGTCCGTCAGCATCCGGAAGATCTTGAATCCTGGCTTGAGCTGGTTGATCTCCAGAACAGCTTGCTTGATCTCCAGACTGGAACTCGCGCTCCAACTGCAGCGGAGATGAGAAGTTTTGCGGATATTAAATTATCCTTACTTGAACAGGCCTTGTCACACATCGGCGATGATAGCCGCCGTGAAAAGCTGAAATTCAAAACAATGGAAGAGGGCCTCAAGGTGTGGGAAGCCAAGCTAACTCTAAAGAAATTCGAGGAGTTGATGCAGCAATATCCTAAAAGCTTTGATATATGGAAGCTGTATCTGACTTATTCACAAACTACACTCTCGACATGTCGCTTTGATGAGATAAAGCGACTATACGTCGACAAAATACGGTCTATTGGGACAGAGCTCTTCAATCTGTCTTCTGTGTCAGAGAGAATCGAGTGTGCTAGACAGATAATATACGTATTTGCACGTTTAACTCGATTTCTGGCCGACGCTGGCTTTGGTGAACTTGCCTTGGCAGCATGGCAAGCTACTTTAGATCTGAATCTTGTACGGCCCTCCACAGTCCCGGGGGCAGGGTGGGAGATCCCTTTAAGCTTTCAAGAATACTGGGAAAGCGAAGTTCCTCGGCTTGGTGAAGATCACTGGCGCGGATGGGCCAACTGGGTAAACAATCCTACTTCTCTAGAGCCTCCTGCTCCCGCCACATGTAAACCACCCATCCTACCTAGCACACGCGACGGCTACAAAGCTTGGTATACCACTGAGCACCATCGAGCCCAGCATGCTAGAATCCCTGCCCGGACATTGGATGAGGGAGCCGAAGACGACCCATATCGAGTTGTAATGTTTTCTGATCTCGAGGGTATCCTACTATATTTCCCCACAGATATTGTTCCGCAAATCCAGTCGCAGCTAGTAGATGCTTTCTTAGTATTTTGTCACGTCCCACCTGGCCTAGTGAACAAGCGCTCAGTTAAGGAACTCACGACAGATCCCTTTCTTGTCCGCAGTGCACAAGATGTTCCCTTCACGCACCTCTCATCCAGGGCCATGACAGATGCATCTAACGATCAGCAAGCCAAACCGCCCGAATTCTTCTATGAAATACAGGAAATGGCTCTCACGCCCGAGGTACTCGTCTCTACTCAACAATGGTTTAGATATTTGGGACCAGTACATAACCTGCCTCTTCACAGTTATACATGGATAACGACGACGCTGAAGCAGCTCATACAGGTGATAAGAACGGGGGGGCTCGGGCCTTATTCTCTAGCATTTGAATCTATCAATGAGCCTGGGAATGAGAAGAAGCGTGCTAAAGCACTCCTCAAGCAAGATCCTACTAATGTACATCTGTACCTCGGCTATTCTATTCTCGAGCAAGAGCGGAAGAATAATGTTACAGCTCACAATGTTGTGATGGCAGCGCTCGGTCTGCCATCCATACCAGCCCACCACCGTGTCCTGTTAGGAATTCGAGCAGCATGGCTGGAGCTCGACGGTGAAGAGCTCGCGAAGGCCGTCTCCCACTTATGTCGAGTAGCAGAAGAAAAGTCGGCGTCTAATGATGCGCAAATATCAGAACCCATAGAGACTACTCCGTCTCAGATATTAAAAGTAAAACAGTTCCTAGTGACAAACCGAGACTACAAAATGTCATCAGGCGATGTTGCCGAAGCAGTCATCTACGCTGAAGGCCTAGTGCTGCTCGATTATTTGACCCAGCGAGGCGGAAAGGAACCCGGTTCTCAGAGACAGGGCGATATCCAGTCAGCGATTGTAAGAATCACCCAATGCTCTGAGGATCTCGTTTCGCGTGGTCAGCAACACAGCGCTTCTCATGAGAGATTCCTTCAGTCCTGTGCCCACCTGCTGTACTATCATGCTACTCACGGGTATGTTTTGTCATCTCCTTACTCTCAGCACACTTACCTTGTGTTCCACCCCCTATATCGCAATCGAACATAGAAATAGCAAGTAACTTGTCTGACGAGTAACAGACCCTTCCACTCAGGATTCCTGCGCGAACAGCTCTCACAATACCTCACATATTTCCCTTCCAACACCATCTTTCTCTCCCTCTTCGCCTGGCGCGAGACGCGGCTGAGCGTCAGCGACCGCGTGCGCTCTCTACTGCAAAACAGCACCCTCACGCGCGCCAACGAATCCCTCTCAAGCCACGTCTTCGCCATATCCCATGAGCTGCGCACAGGCAACGCGCACTCGGCCCGTGCGGCCTTCGAGCGCGCGCTATCCGCCGACTGCTGCAAGCACCACGTCGGGCTCTGGATCGCGTACGTCCGCTTCTGCCATGGTAGGAAGGAGCTGCGCGCCAAGGCCAAGGCCGTCTTCTACCGCGCCATCCAGGCTTGTCCCTGGTCAAAGGGTGTTTTCATGGAAGCCTTCGGCACTCTTGTGAGGGAGATGGATTCCGCCGAGCTGAAGAGCGTTTATGCGACTATGTGCGAGAAGGGTCTGCGGATACATGTCGATATGGATGAATTTATCGAGGACTGGCGCGAGAAGACGAAGGGTGTTGAGAGAGAGAAGGGGGGCAAGAGTAGGAAGAGGTAGTTGGATCAGCAATGTAGGAATTCTTATACGTGTAACAGATAGATGTGAATGGATTGTAGAAACCCAGGTAGTCCTCGCCTTTCGAAGGCCTGGTTCGTTCCAGCATCTATATTGCGAGACAGGGCATCTCACAAGCAAACAATCGGTTATGAATACTCAAGGTTCCCTACATACTTGCGCTTTATATACACAGTAATCGGATTATGATTCCTTACTCCTGTCTGCATACTGGTATACATACCCCTTTACAAAACTTTCATACACTAATAGACTAAATTTCATTAGACACCCTTCCATTTCCCGAACTTACGGTACTCCGCGAAGAGGGCCCTGAACACCGCACGGCCGCTCGCATCCAGAGACTCATTGAGTGCCTTCCTGCAACCTTCATTCGTGATATCGAGGACGGAGAAGATGCCGACCTCAAGCGCCTTGCGCATATCGCGTGATACCTCCACTTCGAGCTGCAGCTTGATGTACACCTCGATGATCAGATACATGTACTGGCCGGCAGCGCGCTTCGCCACATCCGTAGCCGAATCCAGTTCAGACCGGGTCCGGGTTCGGGCTACGGAGGCGGCGCTTGGCTCACAGACTAGTGTCAGTAGTCGGGCGAAGCGTTCACCGTGACGCGGCTGAAGACGCGTGAGGAGCCAGGGTGGGTGACGGGACTGCGCCACCCGATGGGTCGATATTGATGAACTAGGGTCCACCAGGAGAACGTTCAAGAGCGCACGGAGTGAGAGGAGTAAGATGTGGAAGTGACCACTAAGACGGAGACGGTGCCGTTTAATTATGAGCGCTACTAGCTTGAATAGAGAAGAGAAGATCTCGCCCGCTACTTTTGATCCTTGAATTTTTGGGCCGTGGGCAGAACATATCTCGACCACGCTAGTTAAAGTTGCTTCGACGTTGTACTGTGTCATTGCATTGGCGTGTTTGTCAAGCAGTAGCAGCATGATGTCTGATATGTGGTTGAAGTGAGGGAGAGAGCCTGATTGGCTCAAATGTGAAGTGAAGTGTTCGTGTACTTGAGCCAGGTCTAAGCTCCCTTGTCCGGCTGATGCATCATCGACATTCCGCCCTACATATCACATATTAGGTGTGTTCTGTATCCCATATCATTTAGTTCCGCCAACATACCTTGATAAATTTCAAGCAGCCTTCGCGCTGCTAGTACAGGGCCAATACGGCCCGTAACAGGTATCTCACGACCTATCAACTCATTAAGTAATTGGTCTCGAAGAGATTGGCTCTTCCCTTCTATATAGGCATCAACGAAGTCATATATTAACTCTTCTTCGACTCCTTGCTCGCCTTCGTCGAGAAACGCGCTGAAAGACTCAGGAGTGTAGCGATCTGCGCTTTGAACCATGAGAAAAGATCTCAGTTTCCATGCAGTAGCAGCATCTCGAGACATCAGAGCAGTGCTACTTCTCTCTAATCGAGTTAGAGTGTCACCAGACAGTGCGATCTTCATTCCGGGGGCAGCATGGCTGCTAGCAACTTGTGCTGCATCTAGAACTATCCGTAGTGAGTTGATTTTCTCGTCACTCAAGGAAGCCATCGAAGACTCATTTTCCCCCATGGCGAAGTCACTGAGTCCTCGAGTGACTAATTCAGCGAGTTTCTGTCTGAAGGTGTTCGGACCTATCATAACACGTTCTGAAGAGCTGTTGGTGAAATCAGAGAGTGTAGTTGCTAAGCTCTTAAGAAGGAGAATCTGAGCGCGGCTTGTTGAGTGTTTCTTAGGTTTAAGGCTCTCCGCATATTGAGATGCATTGAACAGGTAAGATTGTGTAAGTTCGTTTGAATTTGCGAGGACGTGTCTAATGACGATTAGATTTTGTTCGAGAAGCGAGATGAATAGTAAGCTAGAGGAAATGCTTATGAACATACTTCATCGTAGTGCTAATGAATCTCTCAAGTAAAGATAGGAGGGCAGGGTCACTAGTCGTCATGCTAGAGCAAACATCAACCATGTCGGTAAACTCCATGTTCTAGACGAAGTATTAGCATGATTACTATGTAATAAAGAATTGAAGCAAGCCTGGATGAATAACAGTGAAATTCCGAAACGCACCTCATAGAAAGTTGGTTGCTGCATGATCTTCACAAGTAAGCGTAAAACCGTGACGGCATACCCCGAGTCCTTAGCTGCACAAGAGCAGATGGCAGATTTATGCTTCTTCCATGAACCCATTATGCGCTTCCGGCGACTTCTTGTCCAGCTTTCAGTTGGAAATTCCAAGAGTATCAAAATCAACTCTAAGTCATGAGGTTGCGTCCAACCAGCTTGGTTATCTGAGTTGTCCAGCGCATCCAAAAACGGTGCCATCAAGGCATCGAGAAATGGCTCCTCATCAACCACATCGTGGTTATGAATTATTGGTCGGACATAAGCCAAATATTCCGCTTTCAATAGCGATGGGAGCTTCTGGCTCACACGCGAGAAAAGTTGAACGATTTGGTTAGTTAATGTACTGACTTCTTGTTTTGGCTGTTCGGTGAGTATAGGGAGGCAACTAAATACCAGATCCGTGTATGGTCTCAAAAGATGGAGCCCAGTCTCTGAGTCAACCGATGAGGTCAGCCTTCCGAGCATTGTACAAATAAGCTTAATGAGGTCTTCTTCATATTTGCCGCCAATATGACTAGCAAGGCAGAGTCTATAACAACAAGCGAAGGCTTCATAGGTTTCAGCGGCAGCCAGCTTTTTCTTCTTGATGATTGGCTTTATATCAGATTTGACGGTTTTCCAAAGCTTGTTGCACTCATCCGACCCCCTCCACGAGGCCAGGTAACCAAATATTCGCCACCTCAAAGCGAGTACTTCTTGGGTGAGATCTTCCCATTTCTGATCCATCATAGATAATATCTTTGCGTCAGCATTTGCGATGGTAGCTTCGTCCGTGAGCCCGGCACAAATTCCATCAAGAACAACCAGGAGCCCCCCAGCTTTGCTAGGTATCGACTCTAATCTTTCCAGCAGCCTTAAAAGTTGGGTACTCGAAAAGGATGTTTGCATAAGGGTTGCCAGGTGCTCTCGAATTCTCGAGTCAAACCATATCGATTGCTCCACAGGTTCAGCTGCGCATAGACTGCGAAGCCACTGCACAATGAATTGTGCTAGAGCTCGCGTGTTAGAAAACGCGGCTTGCAGAGGGAGAATGACACGAACAGCAACATCATTTCTTATCTTCGGGTCCTCTTTGGAAGCTTTGCTGACAATGTCGAAAATAGTCTCGTGGTCTTCATCAGCTACGAAAACATCCGCGTCGCAAGCAAGTATCTTTGACAGCAACGTCCAATCTGTTCCGGCGTCGTTAAGTACATGCCTCTGGTATAAGGTGCGAAGAGTTTCAGTATCAGGAATTGATCGGGTCTGTAAAGCAATGTCTAATAATGGAGAAAGTACGTCATTCTGCCTTTGGAGGGCTAGAGGTTGTAATGCATCTACCACTACTTGAAAGATTTTCTCAGCCCATGCATCGTGTTCGATCTTGGATTTTGGGTCACTAGTGTCTCGAGGAATTCTAGCGGCTATGCTCCACATGACTGTGGCAGATGCAACAACGTCCTTCTGGGCGATCTCTAGCGCCAGCCTCATCATATCTATATTCTTATCCACGGCGAAGCGCTGTCTCGCAGGACGAATGAAGTACGTGCTCAAGAACCTCCGAAGTTGTGGCACCCAAATTTCATGGCAAGTAGTGAGTATGTGATTTGGAAGCTCGTTTTCCAAGTCACCTTTAAACTTGGCTAGCACAAGAGATGCCCGTTCGTAAATGTGCTTGGCAAATTCAAGGCTATCTTCCTTACTGTGAAGTCGTAAGTTCCAGATAGTGGCCACAGTATCGATCCAGGACTGTTGGCCTTTTACGAAAGCACCGTCGGCGGTAGATAGCGAGTCGTCGCATATTAAAAGCAGCCTCGCTGTGATATCTCTGGTATCATCGGCAGATGATGAGAAAAGAGATTTGATGTGCTCGGCGCCAACTCTTTTTTCTGGAGTAACTTCTTCGGTCTGGGCAGTAGTACCCTGCTCCAGCAGGATAGCCAGGGCTTCAAATATCTCTGTAGCCGACTTGAGACGCCCGAGAGGGGTGCGGAGTTCTGCAAGCGCGGCGGGCCAATCTGCGCCTCTTTTCCTCTTTTTCGCCGTCGCCGTGTCTTCCTCGGCTCCAATGGAACTAGTCTCGTGTTTGGTAACATCCCCCAAAGTCTTGCTCAGAAGTGGCACGAATCGCAGATATGACAGGGACCTGCCGAGAGATTGTGCGGGAATCTTGGGGAAGACATGGCCCAAGATAGTCCAGGCAAGGGGGTATCGTCGGGCATGCTCGGCGCTGTCGGTGTTACCACTCATCTGCTTGAGCAGCCATCGCAGAATGCTCTCTTCGATACCATGTAATCGGGTATGTTTGACCGCGGTAAGTAGAAGCCAGATCTTGTGAATTTTCTCAGGCAAGGATAACGAGCTGTCTTCATCGAGAGTTCGGACAGCTCGTATAAGTACTAGTTGCTGGGACTGGGCGGCGTTTAGTATGTTTCTACAGGTCTGCGAAACTAACCAATTCAAAGAATGACCTACCGATCCATCCTCGTCCACATCCATAGCTTCCATTGCAAAGCTTGCAGCGAATCGGCATCGCAGGGCGCAGGATAGCTGCGTCACGCAGAGTTATTGAATGGATGGGCAGAGCTCCCCTCCAAAAAAATACTGCCGTCGCATGCCTGTGCCAAGCTCGCGATAAGATAGTGCACTGGGTGTACAAAGGTACAAAATTCCACCGCCTTTCAGATCAAGGCACGCCAAGCTCGAGCTTGCATGAGCTCCGTTTACATTTCGTTGAATCCCGAACTTCACTGATGCTCGTACCAAATTAAACGTCACCATCTAGGAGCCCCTCGAAACCTTCCTACAGCCACCACCGACGTTCGCTCAGCCCAGCCAATACCCACCAGGTATGCGCGACTTGGTTTGAGACTGATACAAAGTCAATTGGGTCTTTTTGCTAACATCCAACTTTGCTTGGGCGCAGTTTGCCCAGCATGCCTGAGACGACGACTCCCGCGCCCTCGAGCGCCATCTCCCGACCCGTGAGCGAAGCGCTGCTGAACGAGAAGGTATGCCTAGATATCCAGTTACATACGTCTCCTCGAATCCTTCGGAATGAGTTCTTTTCCACCGGCGCTATATGAAAGACCGCCAAGAGGGATCCCCGAAGCGTCATGGAAGCTTAATTACCGCATCGACAACCGATGTCTAGCCAGCATCACGCCTCGAGTTGAAGGAAGCTAATTGTTGAAATCCTCACAGTGGGACAGATGTTTATCGAACATGCTTATTAAATCGTCTCTTGGTTTCGGGTTCGGCGTCGTCTTCTCCGTTTTGCTGTTCCGAAGGCGCCCGTGGCCCGCCTTCGTGGGTATTGGTTTCGGTGCCGGTCGTGCATACGAGGAGTGTAATTGGAGTTTGAAGCAAGCTTCGCGAGACCTCAAGAAGACAGCATAAACTCTCTAATACAGAGTTCTCAGGCAACTCTGCGCGCATTGCCAGCTCTTGTCAAGCTCTCCCACCATCTCTGCCAGACAGCCCGGCAACCACCGGGATCACGAAATATACCACCCCCACACAACCCTCTGATAAACAGGAGTTGAATGTATATAAGTCGGCCCATGATACTAAGGAATGCGTGACGGGATGCGACACATCGGCCTTGCATATAACTTGCCAGATCATAGACTCGGGGAGTAATTCGAGCGAGAGCGAGTGTTAGAACCAGGGCAGCATCATCATATAGGTACATCTGTACAACAGCAGCATCAATCTTTGTTAGAGTCATTTTGAAGAGGCATAGACGTGATCAAATCAGTATGACGTTGAATACAGAAGACACGCCACGAATTTCACTTGCACTCGTTGTCAAAAGTATGAAAATTCATGTTCTCTACCTGAAAACAAGCTGATGTGCAAGTAGTATTTGAAAGCATGCTCTTTTACTTGGTTATTTCCTCCCTTGTTTCATCCGTAAGTAGTCCTTGCTCAGTTATCTCATGGTCGGAACAACCGATCAACGGGAGCCATTTTTCAGGACTTCCACATAAGCAGTGCCGCCGAGCGCCGTTAAGGTCCGGTCCAGGAGGGTAGCCAGACATATCTGGGGATCTCTTGCGTGCCATGGGCCAGCGTCTTCCCTTTTTCAAGAACTCTGGTAACTCCGATGAATTTGCAACTGCTTCTACTTGTCGTTGCTGTTTCACGGCCATACACAACGCCCTGCCCGTCCGTCTCGCCCATCTCATCGTCACCTGTAGGCAGATATCGCACCCACCCATTATAGAGACATGGTGTAGCGATGTAAAAAAGATCTATCATAAAAACCTGTCTTCTCTCCAGCCTTGAAATTTCTGCATGGAGCCATTTCATCCAAGCGAATAGCGTTGTCAGGCTTGCTGGTGGCAGAGTCGGTGGTAGTGAGTCCAAAGCTCCAACCTTCTTCCATATCTAATGTTGTATCTTTCCATCTAGTAGCGCCAATGTTGGGGTTTAACGTGGAAAATATTAGCGGTTTGCGTGACAATGGCTTACGCCTAGCTGGGATTTGGGTATAGTTGTACTGTTTTGTGATGACGGCCGCTTCCCACGATGTCTTCATTCTTACTTCGCGGGCTGGACTTGTGAGATATGGTGATTTTCTTGGCACGTCATAGCTAATCTGCGATCGGCCCATAGAACTCATAAGACATTCGTCTGCTTCACCCCTCTTTTTCAGTGTCCTAACAGTCCATGACGCAGAGAAAAGCATCTGAAGCCCAGTAAATAGCATATAGCAAACAAAGAATCCGAGGAGACAAATTGCAGTAGCGATTCCTAGGATCTCGATATCACTTGCAGGTTGCAGGTTGGGGCTCGAGTGAGACAGCTGTCGGGTTGCGATATTCATTGATGCGATCCATGGAGGACCATCATTTGGCTTGTGATTCGTCATCTCAAGGGGGGGTAGATACGGGTTCGCTCGCAAATCTCTGGCGAATTCTCTTAGTTTTAGTCAGCTCAGGGTACAAGCTTCTATGAAATATTGCGATACATATCTAGGAGGGAAAGTATATAAGGGTCAGGAATTGGGCGTTAGCTCTTGGTTGATGGTGTCACCTAGCTTCACAACCTCGATCAATTGACCTTACTCACATTTACTAGGAACTGCTGCTGCGCTTGGCAGAAGAATTCTCGTGAATATGGAGGACGCGGCGACCTGCGTTCATGAGGGTGGATTCGTGAAAGCAAAGACCATTAGAAAACAAATCCTAATACGTGTTGATAATCGTCCAGTTGTGTAGCTCGGAAGCGCGAGGCATCACAGTGAAGAGCGAAATGTATATGTGCAAAATGAAGTAAGAAACTCGCTCTTATGAGTTCCAACGTTAATGGCCCAACATCACTAGGAATCTACGGGGCTATTCGGGCCATCATGAAGGCACGAGCTGCCTTAAGCGGTCGACCTATGTACAGATATCTATGCAGAAGGAAGAGCCTGTGCCAGCCAACCCTTCAGACCAGAAATAACCACCTGATTTCCCTGCATAATGATCTCTACTCCGCTCTTCTCCTAAGATGGAAGCCTGGTATGCGAATAAAGAAGAATAAATCTAGATATTTATTACTCCTGCCTGTATGGAGAGCGCTGAGGTATTGAGCGTACTGCATACACCCAAGAAGAAGCAGACTTAGGCTTTCAGCTTCTTCACATGTCGGTCCATCGGCCCTTCTTTAACAGTACTACTCTTGCTTCTTGGGTGCTTGCCACTATTGCGACCCTTCAGGTTATGCCTCAGTTCGTCGTCATCATCGTCGGCGTGCTCTCCTCCATCCTCGTCGTCGTCAGAGCCATTCATTCCATCGCGTCCTTCCATCTCTGTTTCTCCTGCTTTCTCAAACAGCTGCTTCCACGATCCATTCTTAACCGCTTCATCGTTTCCGTGGAGGCCAATCGTAAAAGCACGCTTCATTGCAGCAAGACAGATGCTTTTCCTCTCTTTGAAATCAAACATGGCCACTGGGTATATGCCATCCTTCCCGTCATCGCTCAAGCCGTCCCCTTCAATCTGTACACCAGCGTCATCAAGCGCTGCCTGGGTCGCTTTCCAAGGCTCGTAGATATACTTTGCATCCAGATGTTTTAATTCGGGCACCCACTTGCGAATGAAGTCGCCATTTTTGTCCCACTTCTGTCCGAATGCTACTGGGCTGTAGCACCGGTAATACTGCGAAAAGAAGGCTGTGCAGCTTAACCACTGCCAGTTTCCAGCATTCGAGGCTGGCTCGTGATCGATCAGTAGCTCCTCGAACACGTCGGCGCCTCGCTCCCAGTGCACATAACAACCACCCCTTGTCAGAAAACACGCGACCAGATGACGACCTAAGTGGTGGATCCATCCTTCAATACGTAGCTGGCGCATAAGAGCGTCCACGAAAGGGAATCCTGTAACCCCGGCTTTCCACCGTCGGAACCACTTGTCAGCTTGTGGCGAGTCGACGTGATACTTGCCACTAATAGCCATGTCTGCATCATCATATTCCGATGGTAGGTGCCAAGGAATAAATCGAACATAGGGGTTATTCAGTGTCTGTATATACGGAGAACCGATCGCTGCCTGTGCCGCAAAATACATGTCACGAAATAAAAGCTGACCCGTTAAACTTTCTGGTGGTAGCGAAGCCCCTTTACCATACTTCTCAACCACCTCCATGGCACGCCAGTAAAAGAGTCGAGGGGATAGAGCACCGAAGTGTAAGTTAGGCGAGAGAAGAGTTGTAGCTGGTTCTATGGAAGCCGGGCTTGTCTTGGGTTTTCTAAAAGTAGCGGCATATTTTTCGTCGGCCATCACTTTATCAAGCTGTTGCAGTGCCAAAGTCTCGCCGCCTCGGTGTGGCGTAGTAGCTGCTGGAAAACCAAGCTCCTCTAGTGTCTCAACAGCGAAGTCGCCCTTGGGGCCGGCAATGCTTCTGTAAGTATTATCCACCTTGCGTCGGTAAGAAGCATTTAGATCGTCTGTTTTTGAAGTTGGCTCTTGGCTGAAGTTAATGGGCATCTCTCCGGGATCTGGGAAGTGAACTGGCGCAGGAATTGGTTTTGGGATCTCCCCAACTTTCTGACCAACGGCTTGAAGCTGGGTAATAGACATCGTAGGTTTGCCTCCATTCTTCGCAACAATTTCATCGCTATCCCAAAGCGTTCTACCGTAACGCGTTATGACTTCGACTCCGGCCTTCTTAGCTGCATCGGTGACCACCTTGTCTCTTTCCCGTGCGTAAGCATCGGTGTCTCTCTCAAACACAAGATGTGTAGCCTTCCAAGCAGAAAACAATTTTGGGAATAGAGTCTGAGGGGCCTCCCTAATCACAAAGAGTTTGGACTTTGAGTTGAGCTTCCGAATCGAATCCGAAAGATCTTGCTGGCAATCAAGTCTTGAAGCGTAGTCAGTACCTACATTTACATGTGTTGAGAGTATTACATTGTTTGGACCTACATGTATTGCCATCTATTTGGGCTGGCTTTGACATGATAAACATAGTGAGGGTCCCATGTGAAGATAGGCCAGAGCACTTCAGGTTCTAGGTCAAGGGCAGCTTTCAACGCGGGCGAGTCATGGAGACGAAGGTCGGTTCGGAACCAGTAAATCACCCTTGGCTTCATAGCAGCCATTTTTTCGCTGTTGACGTTCCACACTGAAGAATGGCAAACAAACGATAACACCTGACGCTGTCGTGATGTGATGTGTCATTTATATCCGATCTGAGACCTGCGGGCCTAGCTCGAAATTGAATATCCATGATGTCAGTGACCAAGCCACAATCTACCTTATTCCAACACCATAGCTTGGACTCGCAGTATCCTAGTATCAAATATATAATCCTCGCGGTCGCCGCGGAGGTAGGTACTTGCGATGCATATTTCATGCGCAGCTGAAGAACAAATGTTAAGCTATTTTTTGCCTCTTGCGCCATCTCACTGAAGCTCAGTGGAGGGCCTAGTCCACAATCAGGAATAAAACCAACGCCACATCCGAGAGAAACACATGTAAGCTGAATTGCCGCGTATGAAACACTATCTCAGTTCGCCATGGAGAATTGGCATCGCTTGTAGCTGTTTGGATCGTCGAGGCTCGCTCTAGCTCGTCCGCAGAAATGAATAAAGGCGTTCTTGTTCGAAGGTCAACTCCTTCAGTTCTGCAGTTCAAGTAAAGAACGACAACAACCAAATATGATTACATCTTATTCTAGTCCTCGGTTGTCGCTCATAATGGCCTATGGTCGCATCCATCTTGTAAAAGCTGGAAAATTAACCAGACGCTTTCTACCAATTAATCGGACTACCTTTTTCTCTCTCTGTTTCTCTTTTTCAATGTTCGTCGAACACACACATTACTTGACCACGGTGGTTACAGAAGTAGAAGTGAATTTTAGTTGCTGAATATTATTCACAGACACATCATAGCTTTGAATACAATCAGGCCCAAGCACGTTGGTAAAACCGACAGCGACGAGTTCCTGGGAGGGGTTGATAACGTAGTTGTTCTACCTATAGGCACACCAGAGGCGGCATTGCAACATAGCCTATAACGGAAAATAAACGAGGAAGAAGCAGGGAAACTGATGTGAGACTTGTTTAATCCGCTAATTTGTAGTCACTCATGGCATTTCTGGCTTTGCTGAAGTCTGCCCAAAATTGGTTGTTCTCTGTGGTTTTCCCGTATATTCCATGAGGATAGTCGACGGTGAATGGTATGTAAAAACGGTCATGCGTATGTTCTTTCATAAATAGTCGAGAATCCATTCTCATCACTCTACCTCATCTACAGGACCTCTTCCATGCGTTGTCTAATTTACGAACCTGGATACAGAAGACCTATTCAGGATGCATTACCCTCTCATATACAAATGCCGGAATTTGCCGTCTCATCCTTCTTCCTCATCAACAGTGTCGCAAGGGTATCACACTTGTGCTGACATCGACGCCATGGCTCGAGGACGCAATCTCTCATGCACATCCAACGTACTGTTAGGTTGCTCCTCCGTAAGTGTCAGCAAAGCATCCTGCTCCATAGTTGTTCTATCCGTACTACTAGTACTCGGCGTCTGAACCTGGAGAATTTAAAGAGACGACGGCGTTCCTCGAGAGAACTATTCCATTCAGGTACGCCGAGTGGGAAGGTTCGATATTGATCTGTCAGGGGAAACCACACCACAATTAAGAGAACCGCGGACAGCGTCCTCGACGGTCAGGGCGCGCTACACTAGGATAGACAAGGCGGGAGTGGTGGTGTGGCGAAGAAATTGCTCAACGTGAACTATCTTCATTATTCCCTGCTTGAGGACATCACAATTAAGAACGTACCGAAGAACACTTTAGTATTAACTATGTATATAACCTCAGCGTTATTGTCGACGAAAAGGACGGTGAATCTTTGAAAACCCGGGTGCTTTCACTAGCAAGTTGTTTATCTTATCTTTTCATTCCCCCTTGCTTTTGCGTTCTGGGAAGGGTACAGTAAACTACGTATTTGGACAATTCTTCTTGAATGTTCTATAACAGTTAGCACGTACCGACGCTGTGACTAGTACGGGCGCCAAAGCCTGGAGCCAAGGTGACTGTGCCGTCATCAACATCGGGAAGAGCGTTGATTTCGGGTCCGGATTCTAATCCAACGGGAACGACCTGTTCAGTAGGCGGGGAGACGGTCAACGTGGTCTCGAATGTAACATTGGCGGACATCACGATGTAAATTCCCCAATAGTTTATCTGTATGAAAACCATCTCCTGGCCTGCGGGTACCGTCGAGAACATCACGTATCGTAACACCTTCCTCGACGATGCCAGCCGACTATGATGTCATCGTCACACAGTCATACAACGCCAACGATAGCGCCGAAGAATGGTATCTCCGTCACCGGCTTGGTATAATATCATGTTACAGGAATTGTCGGTAGTGATGCTTTTGATGTCTGTTTTGTAGAAAGTAGGCAGCAGTAGTAACTGGAGTTGGAGCGGCGTAAGCTTTGCCGAGGGTTAAAAAAACAATCATTACGTACTATATAGGGGTAATGTCTCTTGCTGAGTATCCGGGTATGCCCAATCTACTGTCGCATTGCGTATTATGTTAGTGAAAGGTGTAGCCTCCCTCTATGGCTTTGGAATTTTATACGAGGCGAAAGGCATCGGTGTATGAATTCTACAGCGAGGATATCAGGGGATGCAGAAGACAACGTGCTTGTAAAGAGAGCGTTTTGTCGCTAGCGACTTACGTCAACAATATATTAGACAATATGTATATACTGCCATCGCGGGTTCCCTTTCTTTATCAGCTCAACATAGTATGTGTTTCTAAAGACATTTGAAATCGTGCTAAGGCCCAGCCGGGAGTACGTATCTTTCTGTTCTTGTGGCTCCAAAAGCATCACAGTTAGATCGTAGTAGAGCTCGGTGGACCTCTCGATGCCAAATCTAGCCGATCCATATCTCGGCCAACCTGTGATTATAGCGAAAGTTTCAAACGGTCTGGGTCGGGGACTAAGTAAGTAATCTTCGCGATCGATCTGAAGATGCCATGTTGGTAAAAGGTCAAGTATAATCCCACGCTCTCTCATGCTCACGTCTTGAGGAGTGTCAGTACTTCCAAGATCCATTAATAAGAACGAATCTTTATAATTGCGAATGCTTTCAGAGAACACAAGACGTGCGTCGAATACAAGTGTTAATAGATGAAGTTTGGGTAGCCGCGAAACATCTACTGGCATGGTGACTAAGTTTTCATCGTGATTAGTTTTTTCGATATCCTGTGGTGAACTCTCAGCCCACGATCGATCCGTTTTCAGTTCATCTGACAGTGGCATATTGAGCAGAGTATCAATAGGGTTCAATGGGGATGGTAACCCCAGCACGTCATAATTTGGAAGTTGACTATAAGTAAACCAATAATATTGGTCGTAGCAGCCGCGCGTCTCTCCATGAATATCAATATTCACCCTGTAGCCCGAATGAGCCCAACTCCAAGACGGCGTGGGCATGTTATCAACCGGAAGCTGGTTCAATAGACGTCCCGAGTCGTACCCAGGGGTCCAAGTCAGAAGAGATTCAAAGAATGGCAGTGGGTGCCCGTGCTTGAGAAATGCCGCTTCAGACACCTGGTCCATAGGCTCCATAGCTGATAAAATCACACCAGCAAAGGCGGCCAGCCTATCTGCGCCGACACTTAGTTTACGGCCAGAGTATTCCCTCATGGCGCTCAAGAATAGCCATGAGTTTAGCATTTTGTCTGGCGTCGCCGCCTTCCTATGAAGCGCAACCTGCAAATCTCGTGCCACGCATCTCCCTTTTTCGTAAAATAGCCATCTTTCGATAGAGCCCTGGTTAGGAGTGACTAAGCGACGACATGTTGTTTCTCGGAAAAGATGATCTCCACAGCAAAAGAACATTTCAGAGTTGAGAACAAAGAGTAGCCTTCGGGAAAATACGCATTCTTGGAATGTCCAGCCTCTCTTGTACCAGACTGTGTCCTCAATTAGTCCCTCAAATGGATAAGATACGGCAGCGACTGCGAATGAAGGCCCTATGGTAAGTGGTTGACGGGCCTTCCTTGGAGTCCCTTCGGTACCGAAAAGGCCATCTTCAGCGCCCTTGCCGCAGGCAGCGACAATAGTCAAGTTGGCCGCCGCATAAATGTCCCTCATATAAGGAATGAGCTTCGCCTTGTCCGTATCGCTGTTTTGATCGATACAGAGCCGGTCAACCCAGAGCCACTCATACCCTAGAAAATTTGCCGTGACAATGGTATCTCGTATAGTACGGGGATAATCCGCCACTGGCCCGCCTTTGAGAGGCTGGTTCTTTGGCTGGCTAGGAGCTGGGCCCCAAACGTAGGACAGGGCGACAAATGTGGGCAGAGAAGCCAAAACTTCGACGAGCCCGGTGGAAGTGTTTATAAGTCGAAAGAGCCCATCATCCAAAATGACTTGCATTCGCGAGCGGACTTCGGTGGAAATATCTGGGTGCGTGTGTTTGCGATTGCAGTTTCTGAGCCACCATTTCAGCAATTTATAATCGGCCGTCGGGAAAACTGGCCTTCTTCTCCCAGTAAACCCGATTCCTCCAACATCTACCAGGTCAATCAGTACCTCTCCCTCAATCGGTTGGAATTCGACCCAAATCTGCTGCTTGTGAATAATAATTCCTTTTTTCTTGATATTAGTCGACCGGTCGAACCTCGGTCGCAATATTACTGTGCATCGCATATAGCCTAGCCACCCCTCCTGCTGAGTATACTCGAGGCAACCTGAAAGAAGAGCGCATAACGAACACCTTGATTTTGCCGCCTCGGCCTCTTCGGCCGAGAAGTTGTGGATATGTACAGAGAATTTATTTTCTAGATCATTGAGGTCTTCGTTCTCAAAACCTTTGGGAAGTTCAGAGATATCTGGAGGCTTTGCCACAAGGGAACGCAAATTCAGCTTGCGGCGATGACATCTACGACAGAGCGGCGCCGTTGGGTTCACTAAGTGGGAGAACCACTGCATCACGTGGCGTTTTGGTGGCCTTGGCTTAGAGATTTCCGATTTCTGCAACTCGGGCCACCAGTCGTCGCGGAATTTGTTTCTCATAGTAATCCGATTTGTTCCAATCATGGTGAATAAATCTCGTATCAACTAGGAATCAACTATTCTATTTACCAGAGGCGAGTTTAAAACGATGGCGTCCCAGGTATTTATATAAACAGGAACTATACCAAGTAGTCAGCCATAAGTAAGGCTGTTGGTATGGCGATATGCGATGTGCTGGTGGCTGCATGTTGGCCTCCAACGAAACTAAGCAACTTCTCCTGGTACCCACCCCCTGCCTAGGATTATTGGCGCCTGAAATGTCCTTTTCAAAGGGGTCGCCATCTCACGACACACTGAACTTGGCAAGGTGTGCGCCGCTGCGGTGGGTTGTATTTGTAGTGCATATGAGATATTAGGTAGCTTTGGCACTATCCTCGCTGCGATGTTCTTGCAAGTCGAAATAGCGTGACAGAATGTAGCTCGAAGAGGAACCTGAAGTGGAATTAATTTGCAACTACTTACTAGATTGAGCATCCATGTAGTATGAAACGGCACCTTACTGAATGAATATGCCTTGCCATCCTGCGGGTCTCATGTTAGCAACCTTCCTTTCCATAGTTTTCTACCGTTGGTAGCAGCCTACATATATGTTTCACACTCAGCTATTGAGATGCCGGAACTCGCCCTCCACGCCTTGGACATGGAGCGCGCGGCTAGAAGTACGCCACAGAATCCTCTACTCACGAAAGAAAGAACAGCACATATCTGAATGAATTTGGGCACTATGGTGCTCGACGTTGGTTTCCACGTATAGTGCTTTTTGTGAGACGAAAGCTTATCGGTGGTTGATCACTTTTTCCCAAAGAATTGAAAAATGAAAAGGGGTTCAGATTTCGTGTTGTCTTACTTCCAATGGTGGTCGCCTGATCCAGGCAGTGTAACCAGAATTACCATGCCGCAACTGGCCGTATGTCACGATATGGACTTCGTATTTGGGCATGCTTACCGTTAAGTTTGTTTGTACACAGACGTACTACCTATAGTATAGGGTGAATGTAGCACCCGGGATATCATATCATCAGTATGCGGAACAAGAAGTGTTACTGCAAAACACTACTGTACGTAGAAGTAAAGATAAGGTTAATAATAAGGAACTGGAAAAGAGCTAGTGAGGTGGCATAGTCCGCTTTGTTTGCTCGTTGACTCTGTTGGTAATTTTGGTTGGTTGTTGGTTCGATAGCGTCTCAGAAACCATGCTTACCAACTGATTTTGGTACAGTATCAAAACTTTATAAATCCCAGAACGTCTGCCTACCTCCAGCCACCGTGGCCTATTCCTCTCCTAAATGTGTCCCACCTAGAAGTCGCCATGAACCTTTCTTTCCCACATGTGATCTTTAGTCATTAATCGTCGTCTTGCTTGCTGTGAGTGCTTTGCTGATCTAGCTGTATCCTCCCCGGTCTAACGATGTCTCTGGTCTATGTCTAGAATCCGTCGAGGAAGAGTCAGGCTTAAATGCCCCAACTAACCCAATGCAATATCGCTTTATTTTGTTCCAACCTGGTCCTGTAGATCCGAAGTATTCTCCTACATGACGGTACAGCAATATTTCTTAAACAGCTTCGTAACGAGCTTTTCGATCTCGTCATACTGTTCCTCTTGCTGGGTTTGTCCGCCATGGTGTTGCTGCTGTTGCCCAGGATAGTAATCTTGTTGTTGATAACCACCATAGGGTTGTTCGCCGTACCCAGCATGTTGCGACGCGGGCTTCGGTGGCAGAGGCGGCATTTGTGGCACGTGGTCGCCTTGCAAATCGACATAAATACGCCCGGCATTCTCCTCTGTTTCGTAGTGGAGGCCCATGTCGCGGCAGAGGTCCTCGATGGCTGGCTTGAGTTTCTGTACATGACCGGCACTATGAATTCCCTTTCCGACGATGCTGACAGAGTTGTTTGGGCATGTTAGCTTATGTCACTACACGCACAAGTCATGTTGCATTCGAGGAATGTTGGCATACGTACACGTGAAGATGGGTTAGCCCGTTCTGTTGGTTCGTCTGAATCTGGTCCGCAACCCTCTTCACAGCCTCGTGGACAAGTTGGCCATGTAGATCCATCACCTCCAAAGGAAAATCTTTTTCGTATCCGGGGTTGTTTGCTTTGAATATCTTATTGCTCGCCTCCTCGTCGAGATCATCCGATTCCTTACCATGCTTCTTGCCCTCATTGCTCAATTGTTTCGCGCGGGCCCCGTCGCCATTGTTATATGCCTCGCGGGACTACTCTTCGTTTAAACACTCCGGTTTAATGAATGATTGAGTATTCATTATCAGACAACACGTACCTCCTGAAAGCATTTATTCCTCTCATCGTCTGCTTCTCTCGCTTGACGACGTAATCTCTCGCATTCGGCTTTGATTTTGGGATCGGGTGCGTGATTGAAGTCTATTGAATATCGATACCGTAAGTAACAGCCGATGACAATCAGCAGTGAATTGATGTATATGTATGCTAAAGAAGATCAAGGGGTAAAGGAGAAGATATTTACACCGTACCTGAGCCGCCTATCGTCCCAAAGCCCCTGTCAGCGTACGGCCGGTGGAGCTCGATATCGTCAGATTCGTTATACATTATGCAATTCTGGACGTCAAGAGTGTTATATAGAAGTGTCGAAATGAGCAATGGAGCATACGAGACTGAGCACAGCGAAGCATCAACCTAACGAATCAATCCTGGCCTGACTGTCGTTACGATTTTGCGCGTAAGGACTGAGTTATGCGCGCCGATCTAGCAAATCGTGGAGAGATCGGCCGCTAGACCAGGTGTAGCTCGCCATTCGGCGCAGTTGACCCGACTAACCTACAATAGGGGGCTACGATATACGCTGGGTTGGGTTGGTCGTGTTGGAACAGGGCTTGCCCGGAATCTGTCTTGGGCTGACGCCCAGAGACGGCGTGGAAGCAGTGTAATTAAACCCTATCACTGCATGTTGAGACCTGCTGTGCCGGCAATGGCACAGAACCCATGCATGGGGAATGCGAGCCGGTCGAGTCTTACAAGTCTAAATTGAGCAGACGACAAGGAGGAATATGTACGCTTCGGGAATTGAAGTTTCTTGCAGATGCATTGAAACGGTGACAACAGGAACCGTCACATTTGTCGAGATTATCTACTTGACAACCCAGGTAACGACAGTACATCGTACTTGGCATAATTATACTTAGTTGTGGTGTAGTGTATCAACTAGGTCCCTAGCCTAGAAGGAAGATCATGAACCTGACTTTGGATTGGGTGGGACATCGTTGGTAATAATGATGTAGATAGACTATACTATAAGCGAGGGAGCTAAAACTCCGACTACATTACGACCACTGTATTTCTTCAAACTCTAAAATGGTTCTCTTCAAGACTAGTAGGGGATGCTTTGGCATGGTGTTCCTAATCAATGATAGAACAGGAGCTAGACATGTCCAATGAGTGGGTAGAGCATCTAGACTATCCATCACATGAAGAATATTCGATTCGAAAGCATACCAAGAACAAAGCCTAGAACATGAGTACAAATATCATACTTAGCAAAATACCTCGTACGTTGAAAGAGGCGGAGATAAGAAAAAAAAAATTAAAACTCTAGGTGCTGAGACCACTACTCACATCTTGTGAACGATAATGATGAGATTGACTACACTCTACCTACTATTTCTATTTTGGTTGTATCGTACATGGTACCCATATGCACTGCTGGATATTTACCTCATATGAAGTATACGGTACTAAACAAAATGTTTATTTATATTGCAAGTGCGTAGTTAGATTACATCTCAGAAATCCCACCTCTGCCTACAGTAGACTACCTACTTCGCACACACCTACTTATATCCGATAGACGGTACCACTACTTCAGCAGAAGTTTCGCTCTCGAAAATCTGACCGTCCCTGCTGGCGCAAAGCGGATCAGCGTAGTATTCGTCTCAAATCTATTGAGTCGCTGGGCGAACCATGTTTCGAGCGGGGAGTTTTGCAAATTCAGTCCCGTTGCAGATCATTCGTACCAAATTCTTAGACTAGCTGGATTTTACCCTGGCACATTGAATGACTTGCTTCGAGGATCGGTTCTGCGTGGTGTTTTGCCGTGAGATCTATTCCGCTATGTCTGCCACTATCCTTTAACAGATAAAAGCGAGATGCCTTTTTAAGCAAAGACGGAGACCTACTCTAATAATGTATGAGCGCTTAGCTGACCTGGTTCTGGTAGTGAAAACGCGCATGATTGTTGTACTATATAACTCCAGGAGCCTGAGACACTGAGTTGAACCAAGCTCTTCATATTGTAGCCTAGCGTAACAATATCTCCTAATTGTATAGCCGGAAAAACAAAGTCAAACATAATGCATTGAAGAAGAGTTACCCGGATTGGCCTTGAAGATGTTTCAAAGATGCTGGGGTGTTGACCTTGGCGGCATCTGCCTCACCATACGAAGTACAGTATAACCGTTCACCTTATGGACTGATTGGACGTACTACCGCACCATACTTCAAGATGTTCAAAGTTGGAAGCGCATACATTCGCCGCTAACGTACTTTTCTTTTGTTTTCTTCCCTTGTGCTGCCGACTTGTCCTTAGGATGATCCGAGCGCATCCTACCACCAGCAACAAGGAACTTTTCCAGCTGCATCTGCCGAAACCCGGGAAAACCGCCAGCCGCTGTCCACCAGGAACTCCAGCTTCACGGTGATGCAACGTACACGTAAAAGGAGCTACATATCTATCTGTAGGCTAACGCTGGCCACGTGGCTATGGTGTCTACACCGCGATGCACAGGTAGTTGTTGAGTCCGGAATCTAGCGTTTCCTAGTGTCTTAGAGTGGTAACTAGCAACTCGGGGCGGCCGGGTTCCGGGGTTGTCCACCGTAGGACGCGATTGGATACTGGCAATCGAGTGTGCCATCGGCTGTCACAACATAGGTAGGTAATTGTTGCCTCGTGGAAAAGGCTGGTGCTAGTTCTGACTCTACTAATGTACAGTATGTAACCCAGCTGTGGCCTTAAGGCTGTTGACCGGACCGTATCATGTATAGGTAGCACCTCACCCTCCAAGTTGGCAGGCGGAAGATATAAATAAGTATGACGCTGCTGACACCGCCAGAGAGGTGAGGAGCTCTCATCTACGATAGGCTCCAACGTCGGCAGCTGTGTGGTATTACTAGATTACCTACTTAGGTCCCGTGTTGAGGCTTTTTGTCAGATCAACTTCCTTGTCGAGTAGCATTGACATTGCGCTGTAGGTTGATTGAATACATAACCTGCTTAGAAACTTGGAAACAGACCCATTGCCACTTGTGGATGTATCTTGGTTGCCATCAATGCTTGGTTTGGACAAAAAGGTAAAGCCTAACCTGGCGCAAACGACTGATTACGATTGCAAGTCGTTGCTGGGTACCTAGTACTGGTACGAGTAGACATATCGGTACCTTGGTTTGTAAGATTGTAAGCATATCCTCATCACATTCGGTGGGTAGCGTTGAAGGGGTGCCAGCATGTCTGCGACTTGGTGGCGTGAGTGTAAACAGCATTGGCTGAGAAAAAGAACAAAACACCATACAACAACACCCCAGTAGTCATTCAGACCTGGTACAGTAGCGGTTACCGAAAACATGTTACCTGAGCATCTATCTCCCTTGAAACAGTGTAATGGAAGGGAGACCGGGGAACCGTTGCACATGTGAATCGTAGGAATGTCGAAGCTACTGATTGCTGCCCAGGGCGAGATTTTAGGATCTGGAGACGGATAATATCGTGGTCTCTTGACCTCAAGGATGCTCATCCTTATCGGCAGTCAGCATAGCAACCAAGGTCTGAGCCCGCGGGGTCGACAAATGAGCATACATACTATGTATATGTAGGTAGGTAGTCCAAGCATTCCTGTCAGGTTTGTCAGATCTCAGACTCTCCTCTACGGGTAGTATCCTAGATACTCCACTCCAGGCGACGCCAGTTGTTTGCTCGTGACCAGCTCTTTGGTCTCCGAGGCGATTACCAGATGCAAGCAGAACTGTCAATTATGCTTGTCCAGACATATCGTGGATCGCGCGTGTAGTGTAGTATCCGTGTGAACAGTGGTAGAAGTAAGCTATCTATGATTTTTCTATATCGCCGCCGTTCATGTAGAATCCGACGTTATCTGTCTTGATATCAAATGAGTCGTGGAGGTGGGTCAGTGGATGGACGACTGACAAGTATTGTATCCCAGGTAGGCACTTGTAGCCAGATACTAACCAAATCGAAGATGTGGAATCGCATACCGAGATGGCCTATCTGTTGGTATCGAGGCCTCGTTGGTATCTACCTAACTACCATGTATGAACTGGTGTGAACACAATGCGCTTCAGCAGGTCTGAGACGAAGCTCGACCGTCGAGGCAAGTATTAAGGCAAGTATGCTGGGTACTTATTCATGTATATCATTCTAGGGTCTGTCTTATGTACATTTATAGTAGGGGGGCCGAGGGTCTACCTGAGGCACTGTAGGAAGCACTGTAGGTACCTACCATTATGCCTACCTAGATACCTACTTATGTACGGTACGCTACACTAACGTAGTAGTCTGTGGGATGTCTGAGTAGATACTACCTACCTAGGTACTTCTGTATGTAGTAGGAGAGTAGTGTAGACCTCGGGAATCTGCTGGGCAAAAGGTAAGAGTTGCCCGTCTCTGCTCGTCTACGAAGTAGGTTGAAGTACCTAGGTACACTCTACTAGTGCGCATCCCCCGAAGCAATTAAACCCCACTACATCGTAACGCCTTGTCCCTTTCCTTTTCTAGACTTGTTCTGGAGATGCTCATCAACCAACCGCACCACTATTCATTTAGCTAAGTCGTTCTAGGCTTAGCGTCTGTGCTCTTCCTTGCAGTTTGCAGCAGCTTCTTGCGACATGGCACTTGTCCGTTTCGGGGCCCCAAGTCTGATCATGCCCCTGAAAAGCCTTTCCACCTCCCCCCCCAGCCATCCTCCTATCCTCCATAGGTACCTAGTGTAAGTACATAGTAAATTAATATCTTCAAGTAGGACACTGCTGCTTGTCTTGGACGTCTTTGACCTAGCTGTCCTGACCTGACCTGACCTGTCTTATCCCAACAATCAACAAGCCCATGTGCCTGAACTGGCGAGACTGGGAAGGTACATCGAGTGTCTGTCATGCAAACGGCAGTGATGGCTCACATTGAAGCGCCCCTATTCCTTTTTGGATGGAAAAAGCAGGTGCGTCGTCCATGATGCTTACAGTTTACTTGGGTCACGGTCAGTATCAAGCATCAAGTACTTAAGTACATATGGTAGGTGGGTATTGGAATTGTCCCATGGGTAGCGCACTAATGTAGCACATAGACAATGGCCGATAGAACTTCCCACATTGGTCCAGGGAGTTTGAGCTGAAGCACCAGGGATTACCCGTTAAACCAGTTCCCTACCTACCTACCTATACATAGAATGCCTACAGTACATACATATGTAGATAGTAGCACACATAGGAGTACACATAGTAGTACGCGTGGAATATCTGGAACGTTCACTGTCCATTCTCCTGCCCGGTCTGTAATATTGTTCACTCGAAGCGTCTACCTAGGTATTTACCTGCGTACCTACCTACAGTAGATGTCTCCTCAAATATACCTAGGTAGTGTGAATGGAAGTATGCGATGCCCGTCATTGGTGCTATCTCTTGTACCTGGACTAGTAGAAAACCAGATAGGGTACCTCTATGTAGCTATGTATTCCATCCTGTCCTGGCGTCCTGGCGTCCATGACTCCTGGACCTAGGTACCTGGATGGAACTGGAGGGTGCATGCTAGCGTACAATTACAGCGGGCTGAGTTACCTACGCCGCCCAGAGAGACGAGGCCTCTGCCCTTGTACATACCTGCCTGGGTACATGTAAGTGTCGTCCACCCTGCACTGTCTCGCCCAATCCAGTCTTCGCCCCCGGTCACAATCTCGCTGAACCACCCTTTTTTCCTTTTTCCCTCTTCGCATTCCATTCTCATCGTCTTCGTTGCTCTCTCTTCCTGGTGGCCCATCATCTGCCTATCGCTTTGTTTTCTAACGCCTCCCATCTATCTAAAGGCGTCGCTGCTTTGGTAAGTCGCATCCAACTCTCTTCTACTACAACCAATTTTCGTGTTTCTCGCCATCCTTCTACACGTATCGCCAAAAGCGCGTATCCCATCCAGGTGGTTGTTTCTGCAAGGGTGACTAGGGACAAGCCGACTTTCGCTTCGATATCAAAGGGCCCGTATGCCTATCACAGTTGTCCATTACTCGGCGACGGCTTTGCTTACTGATTCTTTTGGGTCCTTTGCCGCCTTGTGGCTATCCACATACAAATTGCTTTGTATACAATCAGCCTGGCCGAGTCTGAAAGAAACTGCTGTGGGCGGGTTTCAACACATCATACTTGCGCAACTATCACCCAAGCATCCATCATCTCGTCAACTGTTACGGCTTCGGGTTGCTCTGCTCTTTTGTTTTCGTTAGCTGACCACAACATTCATTTCGTAGCACGAGACGACGGCTTCTCTTAACTCACCACTACCGATCGCTGCGCTCCCGGTTATAATAAATTGCGAATAAACATCTTGTTAGGGCCTGTTAGTACTCGTCAAGATGGGTTGTGGAATGAGCACGGAGGAGAAGGAGGGCAAGGCCCGCAATGAGGAGATTGAGAATCAACTGAAGAGGGATAAGATGATGCAACGCAATGAGATCAAGATGCTTCTCCTGGGTGAGTAACTCCCACTTCATAATGACAGCCACTGTATCCTTAGACTTCGTTCAACAGGTGCTGGTGAATCCGGAAAGTCGACCATCTTGAAACAGATGAAGCTCATCCACGAGGGCGGATATTCACGCGACGAGCGGGAATCATTCAAAGAAATTATCTTCAGTAATACCGTTCAGTCGATGCGCGTCATCTTGGAAGCCATGGAATCACTCGAACTGCCACTAGAGGATCAACGCATGGAATATCATGTACAGACAATATTTATGCAACCTGCACAAATTGAAGGCGATGTCTTACCTCCTGAAGTTGGCAACGCCATCGAAGCCCTATGGAAAGACCGCGGTGTTCAGGAGTGCTTCAAGCGATCCCGCGAATATCAATTGAATGACTCAGCGAGATAGTAAGTATTGGTCTCCGAGGCAATTCGCTTGCAACACTAACATGCCTTCTAAGTTACTTCGATAATATCGTGCGTATTGCTACGCCGGACTACATGCCCAACGATCAAGATGTCCTGCGCTCACGAGTCAAGACAACCGGTATCACCGAGACAACATTCATTATCGGCGATCTAACCTACCGTATGTTTGATGTCGGTGGTCAGCGCTCAGAGCGAAAGAAGTGGATTCACTGCTTCGAGAATGTCACGACAATTCTCTTCCTGGTTGCTATATCAGAGTACGATCAGCTGCTGTTCGAAGACGAGACGGTCAATCGTATGCAAGAAGCGCTCACTCTTTTCGACTCTATTTGCAACTCAAGGTGGTTTATCAAGACTTCTATTATCTTGTTTCTGAACAAGATTGATCGATTCAAGGAGAAGCTCCCGGTTAGCCCTATGAAGAACTACTTTCCCGATTACGAAGGCGGCGAAGATTATGCTGCCGCTTGCGACTACATCCTAAACCGCTTCGTTAGCTTGAACCAACACGAGACAAAACAGATCTACACAGTACGTATTTTTACAATGCTAATATCAATGCTGTGGCCAGCTTAGAGTCTGCACCTCCAAGTGAAAGTGACATCCGGATTCCGATTGCTAATTATCTCGTCTAAAATAGCACTTCACTTGCGCCACTGATACAACACAAATCCGTTTCGTTATGGCTGCTGTTAATGGTAAGACTGCCTTTGGGCTACTGAAAGAAAGTGCTGAATACTAACAATTCGGTAGATATCATCATCCAAGAAAACCTTCGATTATGCGGTCTGATCTGATTAGTTCATCGTGTATCGGCCCATGTCGAAGATACAAACTCGTGTTTACCAGCGTATAATTCCTAACCGCCAGTAATGCCTTAGATCTGGCTAATGACTCACTCACCTGTAACCCCTAACCAGCTGTCAAATGGGTCTATGTGTTTTGTGCGGAACTATCCAACATATTCATCCCTTCATCGTTCATGTTTTACCAAAGACCGTATTCTCCAGCTTCGTAGTAAGCTTCGGGGCCGCACCAAACCCACATGAGATTCAAGACAGCCGTGAAGTGGGAGGATATTGTATTTGATAGCCGCGGTGGTCCATATATCTTGTTTAATTACGAATCGGCGGCGACGTTGACCCCTTTTTACCTTGATTTCCTTTTGTTAAGGCCTCCGGAGTGCCTAGGAGAACGCATAAAATAGGAGAGGCACCGCCATCATATGTTGCAATATGGGGCTCATGGCGTGAGAGTATCGGATGATTGCAACGAAATTATACCAAAGAGCCAGCAGGGGATTTTCGGAGTCAAGTCGGACGCTCCGGAGAAGGTTGGATTGTTGATACAAGATGAATAAACCAACCAGTGTTCTATATATCCAAGAAAAGAGGGCAAAAGGAACGGTGCGAACCCACTATTCTAATCTAAATGTGATGTGAAAGCTATTTATTTTTTGTCCAAGAACTTTTGTTATGGATTTCGATGTGATAGCATGATTACATTACCTTAGTTTTCGTGCTTTACACCTGGGTTACTGATAACTCCAAGCCAAATTACATCTATTGTAACAGCACCTGGTATTTGAGGGATAATAAGGTAACCTTAGTTGTTACTATGTTGCTAGGCACTGGAGCTTGCTACGTTTTCTTTCCTACATACGTATACATATTAAATGTGGCAAATAGTTGATAATACTTTACACGATTGTCACGTGTGTTCAACTGCCCGCCTTGGTAGAAAATCAAGGACCAAGGCCCCTAGCATGAAGCAGCGTTCAATGAATCCCTCAAAAAGTGTTTTGTGAAATCTATATTGATTTACATGGGCTATTATACATTAGGACTTGTTACATGATTCCGTTCTTGTACCATTGTCACCACCATTATCATTCAGTACCAATCTTCTTCCGGTAGTTAATCGGATGCCCATTCTTTTTCGCGTATTTCCGGATTTTACTGTAAATATCTGGCAGGGCAAAGATCAAGGCCAAGGAGATGACCCATGACATGATGGTATCGATAACCCAGCTATTGCGAGGTGAAGCGCCCAGAGTGCTCCAGCGAAGGACATCGCCCAGAAAAGCGACGGTGATGGCGTAATGGCCTTTCTCCAGACCTTTTATAGCAGCGGCAGCCACAGCGTCGGGGGTTTGTATGGGATCAGTCTCCTCGAGGATATTTGTAATCTCAGGCTTCGACTTATTCTCGCGCTCTAGGCCGGGACTCGAGATAGTACCAGGATAAACGACATGGATCTTCACTTTCTGAGGGTATATCTCGAGCTCTTGGACCAGCGTGTCGGCTAGCCCACGCAATGCCGCCTTGCCGGGGGTGTAGGTGCCGTATCCGATAAGAGGGAATAAGGCGAGCACGGATGAAGTGAAAATCAAGTGCTTTGGTTCGGGCACCACAGGAGCATTGGGGGCACACCACAGGCGCAGCACGGTGTGGGCCATTTCGGCGCTGCCCCAGAAGTTGAGATCCATGTGCTCCCGCGTGATTGACAGCGGGGCCTCTACCCAGAAGTCGGGTGTGGACTTGCCAGCAATGCACCATACAATGTCCAGAGGTTTGCCATCATTCCAGGCGATTGCTTCCGCGAGAAGGGAGCTCGCGTAGTCGGGTTTTGAAACATCTGCGGTAATGTAGTGGAATCTCTGGGTTTGCGGATTGCGTGCGGCGGCCTGGGCACGCAAAGGTATCAGTCAAGAATTGTGTGGCTTGAGGTAGTAGACCAAGGATATGCGTACCTTCGCATGTGCCATGGCCTCTTCCAGCTTGTTGGCAGAGCGCGAGACGAGAATTACGCTGGCACCTTTCTCAGCCAGCTGTCGCGCAGCACTGCGGCCCATGCCCTCAGACGCACCCGTGACCAGCACCGTCTGAAAGCACACAATTGAGGTTAGCATCTGATCACCGATCACCCATCTATCAAATCTATCAATCGAGGAGGCCGTTCTATTACTCACCTTGCCCTCGACGGGCATTTGGTTCTTACTCCAAGCTGAACCCATTGCCACGGTTATTAAGAGCACAGCAAGGCCGGCAGAAACGACAATCCACACAGGCTGTGAAACAATGTCCATGAAGAAAAGGTGGATAGTTAGACAATTAATAAGTTAAGCTAACTTGAAGTGAAAGATTGCCTTTTGAATTTGAAATTCATTCCGTTAGAACAGGGGGGAGAATTTGCATCCATGTTGATACTATCATTGATTGATCGTACCGGTACCAGACCAGAGCACACATACCTCGGACTCAGACCTAGGTATTGTACTTACCTAGGTAAGTTAGCAGAACCTAGGTAGGTGCAATTATATCATCTTGGGTATGTACCTATGTACCTAGTAAAGGTGGGATGAGTGGAGACCGGTGGGGATTAGTGAGAGCGATAATCAGACCCCGATAAGATCTCTCTAGAAAAAAGTTCATATGCTTCTTTCATCCAGCACATTCATTCGTTGGCCTGTGTCTATAACGAAAAACCCACAAACAAAGACTTCGCGACGCGCGAATCGTCAGGATGGGGAAGAAGAGAAAGGCGAGTTCGACCGGCAGGTCGTCTGGTCCACGGGAGTACGACCCCAAAGATGGCAAACTCGGCCCGGTATCCAGCTATCGAGATATCATGGACGACCAAGAGCGTTTCGAGGAAGACGACGACGAGATCATGTTCGACGAGGGGCCCAAGACCAAGCGCCAAAAAGCCGAAGAGTTACTAGAAGACGACGACGAAGAGATCCTAGCCTACTCAGAAGATTCCGATTCCGATGAGGACGACGACGACGACGACGACGACGACGAACCTCGGCGCAAACAGTCACGGAAGCCAGGCAAATCTGGACAGGGACAAAATGACGATGATTCCGATGATGAAGAAAAAAAAGGCGAGGAAGAACATGACGATGGTTACTGGGGCTCGTCGAGGAAGGACTACTACGATGCCGATCAGATCGAGACTACGGTAGATGCCGAAGAAGAGGAAAAGGAGGCTCTGCGCTTGCAGAAGAAGAAGTTAGCCAAGATGTCTGAAGCCGATTTTTTCAACGAGGATGAATGGCTGGCTGGCGAAGCTGAAGATGCGGATCAGGACGAAGTTGTTACCGAAGTGCTCAAGGAAGTCGAAATCCCTCCTGATATGAGCCCAGAAGAGAGGAATCGGTTACTCCAGGCCCGCTACCCGGAACTTCCTTTCCTCGCCGACGAGCTTTTACAGCTACAGCCTCGGCTAGTTGAGTTTCAAAAAGAGGCAGAAGGCCAGGAGCCCGGAAGCTTGGCCGTGGTGCAATGTAAGTATGGCGTCCTTGTCCGCGCCTCTCCTATCCCGATCACTAATCTCATCAAAAATAGATCGAGTTCTTGGTTCATTAATAGCTACACTAGCCATGTACTTTGGCATATTAACATCGCCGGCTAGAGACGGTGATGGTGTTGCCAAAACATTGGACCCATCCGAGTTGAGAGAACATGAAGTTATGAGTACTCTTTTAGAATGCCGCGATGCCTGGAAGAAGGTAGAGAGTTTGAAGGCCTCAAAACCTGCACAGCCTGCTGAGTCACTACCGTCACCACCGGAAGACGAAGACATTGACATGTTGGATGACGAAATGGTGGTGCCTAAACAAGCCAGAGAGACTAACAAGGCCAAGAGGGCAAAGGCAAAAGCAGAGCGCAAATCTAAGGCAATTGAGGATTCGTTGGCTGATCTCGACTCTCTACTTGCTCTTAAGAAGATATCTAAGAAGAAGACTGCACTCAAGGACACTGAAGAGGACAGCAACTCGGATTTTGGAGAAGAGGAATATCTTGACAGTAAGATGGCCGCTGAAAAGGCTGCTAGAAAGAAGAGTCTTAGATTTTACACGTCACAAATTGCCCAGAAATCCAACCGCCGAGCAGCTGGGGGTCGGGATGCTGGTGGTGATATGGATATTCCATACAGAGAGCGTCTCAAGGACAGACGAGCCCGTCTTAACGCCGAGGCTGAGAAGCGTGGCAAGAAAGGTTCTAACATTGGCGCCGATCTGGGAGAGGGCAGCGATGACGAGGATCACGAGACAGCCAGGGCCATCAGAGATGAAGCGAACGAGGAGTATTACGACATGATCGCAGCAGCCTCGAACAAACGGAAGAACGTAAAGGCAGCCAAGGCTGAGGCTGTTGCTGCTGCAGGTTCTGCTGATCGTGTAGTTGAGGTGGAGAAGGTCGGGCCTGATGGTCGGAGAGAGATCACCTATGCCATCAAAGCGAATAAGGGTCTGGCTCCTAAGAGGAAGAAGGAAGTGCGAAATCCTAGAGGTATGTGCCATCGCATCAACCCCCCCCCCCCCCCGGCCCAAATATCTGGTAGTGTTCAAATTGCGCATGACCACTGACCCATCAAACAGTTAAGAAGAAGCTCGCGTACGAAAGCAAGCTGAAGAAACTCAAGAGTCAAAAGACAGTGTACTCAGGTGGCCCAGGAAAGGGTGGCTATGCGGGAGAGAAGAGTGGTTTGAAGACGAATCTTGTCAAATCTGTCAAGCTCTCATAGAGAGTGAGCATATAAGAACTAGCTACGTATTTGTAGATATAAGTAGACGGAGTGAGACAAGCGCATTCAATGATCATTCGAGCGTGTCCGCCCACGATGAGCAAAAGCGAAAGCACGCCTTAACCCGCATCATTATACCAACAATGAACGAATACGCATGCAATGATGTAAACACTCTTGAAGTCGGCCACATAGCGCAGCGAAGGATGTCCATGCTGCTCTGGGGCTTCCTATTGCTATTGATAGTAACTCACTCACATTTCCTACCGTAGTATATATATAGGTATACATGATATATACCTATCCAGGTACCCAAGGTAAATAAGTTGCTACATGTGTACTTAGTATGTAAAATCCAGGCAACAGCGCCCCCAGTAACAGAGGCTGAACAGGGTACGTATTTGTAAGCTTGGAGTAGGGCCCCTCTATATATTTTTCTCTATATATTCGTATATTCATTCATTCTGCCCTCTACTTCTCCAGACATCGTCCCGGTGTATTTACTCGCTCAATCCAATCCAAACTTCAGCATTTCTTCCTACCCATCCACACAAAGATGGGTGCTCTGGGCTCTCTCAACAGCGATATCGCACTGCCCTCTGACGGTGAGGATACTATCCAGTGTCTCTCATGGTCACCTTCGACAAATCATCTCGCCGCCGCATCCTGGGATGGCAAGGTGCGCATCTACGACGTCGCGTCGACCCATTCGGTGCGAGGCGTCGCCACCCTCGCCGCTGAAGCGCCCGTCTTCAGCTGTGACTGGGCTAAGGTAAGTTACTAATCCTACAGCTTATTCTCGTCCTCCAACTCGGATCAACGAAATGAACGAAAACCCTGGTGTACTTAGGTGAGTGAATCTATACACGTTCTATCTGATTCTAAAATAAGGTATCTCGCATGATGATAGGTTGTTAACACGTAATAATCAAGGATGGAAATGCGGTCGTCGCAGGAGGAGCCGATAAGGCGATCCGCATCTTCGATGCCTCCACGGGGCAGCAGCACGTGCTCGGCTCGCATGCGGCGCCTGTGCGAGACGTGCGCTTTGCCGCCGTGCCGGACGCCAACGGCCCCATTGTCGTCTCTGGGTCCTGGGATAAGACCGTCAAGTTTTGGGATGTAAGGGTGCGGCCTGGTAACGCGGTTGCAACCTTGCAGTGCGGCGAGCGCGTCTACTCGCTCGATACGAAGGCGAACTTGCTGGTTTTTGCGACGGCTGATATGCTTATTCACCTCGTGGATCTCAAGAAGCCGACAACACTCCTCAAGACTGTGCGCACGCCGCTTAAACATCAGACCAAGGTCGTTACAGCCTTTCCTGACGGGAAAGGTTGGGCTACGGCCGGCATTGAAGGTCGATGTGGGATTAACGCTGTGGAGAAGGCTGATGAAAAGTATGCATATACCCTTTTTCTGAAATTCCACCTGCATTCTTCACATATTATCGCTTCTTGGATGGCGAAAATCTGCCATGTCCTTATATATCATCCATTTACGATCCTATCTTAAACGCGATGGACTAGAACCTAACATATCGGCCTTCTCGCTTCTTCTCACAGGAATATCAACTTCACATTCCGCTGCCACCGCGAGACCACAGGCGAGAAGATGAAGAATACCGACGTCTTCGCCATTAACGACGTCAAGTTCCACCCGCTGTATACGACGACATTCTTGACAGCTGGGTCTGACGGCACTTTCTCCTTCTGGGACCGTGTTGCGCATCACCGGTTGCGCGGGTACCCTCCCGTCATGGCCTCTCCCGGCAACACCACCGATGCAAGCACACCTCGTTCCGCCGTCACGGCCACTTCGTTTAATCGCGACGGGAGCCTCTTCGCCTACGCGATTGGCTACGACTGGAGCCGTGGGTGTGTAGGCAATACGCCGCGGACGGAGACCAAGATCATGTTGCATGATGTTACGGATGAAGATGCGAAGCCAAAGGGGATTGGGCAATAGCCAGGGAGGATTAGATGAGGGACCCGCTTGAGTTGTAATATGCCGGAAATGTATGGGTTTCCGTGTCAAGGCGGATTATGAGGCTGAGCGGAATTTCTTGTTACATCCCCTGAGATGTGCTTTATTTTTGTAGTGGGAAATGGTTATGAGTACTTGTTCAGTTGTTCGGATATTGGGGCGCAGTGCCCAGGAATCAATGAGTGATTAGGTGGATGAACGAATGAGTAAATAACGATTACTCAAACCCGAATTCGACTTTTGTATAATCATATGAGGCTCCCTAAAGTCAGATTAAATCGTTAAGATGATTACAATAATGATAAGCCAACAATATGAATGAAGCTAAATGCGGTGTTCGGATGTTAATAGTAACGACGAGATAATACTTGAGGTTCAAATATGCAAGTTTCTATATACAGTGCAAGTAGGCTATATATATACAAAGCTGGATCAAGGTGGTGGCCCAGTGGGAATCTATATACATGAGTGAGGGACTGCAGTGAACGATGAGTGGGCGTAACGAATGTGTAAAGTAAGCAGTGAGCCCCTTTCAAGGGTTCGTGTGATAAACTAATGAATGTAATAGCCATGAAGCAGTATGCAAATCATAAACAACCGATACAAGAGTTCCCTTCCAGCGGGAAACTTCCCCAGAACGAGCGAAGTGAAGTGGGCAGGGTATATGTAATGAATGAATGAATGAATGATGAAGCTGAACGAGTGACAGGAAGGAAGAAGTTCCAGACAAAAGCAGGTAGGCAAAGCGAGTGGGTATATCAGTAAAGCAAGCAGAAAACACAAACTCCATCAACATTAGAACCTCAAGTAGCTAGAAAAAGAGCGTGGATAGTCCCGGTAGTCGAAGGACGTCGCCAGAAACCCAGCTGGCGAAGGTCAATAGACCGAATGATTAGACAAGTGGGTAAGTCATCTCATTCAAGCAGCGTTCACTTGTGGAAGACTCCCTTGATCATCGACATCATCCTCTTGAAGAATCCCTCGAGTTCACCCATGAATGTCTTGGTCTTCTTCTTCTTCTTCTCCTCTCCGCCTCCAACCACATCCTTCCCAGTCCCGCCCTCCCTTGCACTCCCACTCGCCGGCCCGCCCACAGTAACAGTGAGCAACTCCGGCGATCCATCGAAGACGGTGCCCGCCTGATCGGGTCCCGTAGCCCCACTAGGGACGACGTCGTCGTAGGGGAAGGCGTATCCCCTGCCGTCGAGGTTGACGCTGTGAACGATGCGCGCGTAGTGGTTGGTCGGGCTCGCCTTGTAGTAGTTATTGGTCCCGTTGGACGAGATGGCGTCAGGCTGGTTCGCGTTGGACACGAGCGTCGTGCGGTTCAGCGCCGCGGCCAGGCGCGCCCCAATAGCCCCCATCTGATCGCGCGTCGCTACAGGATAGCTCCCGAAGGGCCCCGTGCTGCAGCTGAAGATGTCGATGGCTGATGGCTTCGCGAATGTGCCTACGTTGGGGAAGCTCAGGAGGCCGTTGGCGTTGACACGGCCTGTGACGACGCCCCATTGCGCCTGCGTGTCCACTTTGAGGTCCTCGTTGGCGTATTTGGCCCAAGCTTGGTCTACGTAGGATTGGTAGTAGCCGTCGAAAAGGTGGCTGTTGGCTAGAGTTAGTAGATAGACTGTTAGTTATTGTTTATGCGTTTGGCTGACCATGGTATGTGTAGCGGGTCAGGGGAGGGTGGAAACCGAATGCATGTGCTTTGCGCGAGTTCTTCCCAGAATATGCAGATTGGCCTTTCAAGCCTAGTACAGGTATATGGAGGGGCTTAGAAGCAAGAGACGACTTACCAATACGTCCGCTGTTGGGACTCAGCGCACGCAAGTTCTTTCCATCGGCGCCCTTGACGATAAGTTTTCCCCAAGCCGCATTCTCAGAAGCGCCCTGCTGTGTCAACTTGGCACAGATTTGATCTAGACCGTCCTTGGGCAGGCCCTGGACGACCTGTGTCTTTCCCGCAGTGTTGCGGAGCTCAAGAGCGATGGGAAGAGATACGAAGTCGACGTAGCTGATGTTCACAAATAGCTGCTGTTGGTTATCTGTATGATAGACAGTCAGTGGATGTTGATCTGGCGTGCGAGATTTGAACCCCCTATCTAGAGGGGTGGGCAAGTGGAATACGTACTATACAAGACAAAGTTAGTCAATGATTTCTATACTAGTTGCAGCAAATTTTCATATTTATTCACAAGAGTATTGATACAATCTCCATTTCATCCCACTGAGTTAACCGTATAGATGATTCTACTCACCAGGTGAACTCGCAGAAGCCCCAGTTGAGCTTATAATTGACATCATCTTGGTTCGTGACACTGGGCTCGACGATTCCGGGGCCGGGGTTAAGGAAGAAGGTGAGCTTGTCGCCAACGATGAACCAGATGCGGCCGCCAGCAAGCTGAGGAATCGTAACTGTGGTCGTGCTGCCCGGAGCACCTAGTGGGATTGCACAATCGGCCCCGAGAGGTTGGAGTGGCTGTGATGGTGACTCAGGATAGTACAGCGTCTTGCCGTCGGACCGTAGAAAGGCGTAGGTGTAGTTCCTGTTGATGTCTAGACCTGTAACGTAGGCGTACACTGTCGAGGAGCTCGTGGTGTTCTTGAGAGCAATTTGAGTTGTTGGGTTCGTCATGTTGGGAAACGGTCTAGTACCGACGTACTATATCCCGTATATCTGCGAGTCCCGAAGCAATATCCAAACCTGGGAAAGTGATGCTAAGAGTATGTATGGTATATATCGCGAAGAAAACACTGGATCAATATACACGGGCTAATGTAGTTGGAGAGCAACGTGAAGAGGAAGCCACCAGAGGAAAACGATATAGACTGAATATGAATACCATCTTATAAATGAGAAAACATACTCATCATGCTAGAGATCATCGACACCACGAAGACAGCAACATGGAACCTTGTGAGATGTCTTTAGGGTTGCGCCTCGTCCATGTGCTTCGTACAAGCCACTTGTGACCGAAGGTGATCATCTCAGGGGGTTACAAAGGGCCGAGACGATGAGCGTCAACCTGACCCTAATATCTTCTGGGGGTTTTACGTAAACGAGGTCTGACGAGCTAGAATGTGTGGCTTTGTTTGCATGGTATTTGACAGAGCCTGATAAGTGTGTTTACTACTGAGAAGCACGCTGACTTTCCACGGCCTGGGTCCTGTTCGCGATCGTAAATATGCTTGGCTTAAGGTATCATGAGATGCCTAAAGTGGTCGCGTATAAGCCACTTCAGTTTCTCCTGTCTGTCATCTGTGGCATAAATACAATCTGCAGCGTGGAGTGAGATATCTTGTATTGAACCGTCCACGATAGTGGTGTTGTGGCGCCGCGGCTTTAACACATATTTTAATATCACACTCCCTCACCAACACGACAAGCAGACCAAGGCAGCACCAAGGCGAGGACGAGAGCCATGATCCAAGGATATGGCACACGCACCCAAGAAAGCCAGGTTTACTCAAAAAAGAAGCAAGACAAGATATACAGGCTGGAGTGGGAGCTAATGCAAGTAAGCAAAAGGCGATTCGAGAAGGTAAATATCACGCTTCTTTTCCGCTCTCCATGTCTTGAACCAAGGCTTTATCATTGGAGTTTCCCGTTTACATGTGACTTCACACATAAGGAGAAGATCAACAACGGCAAAGAGCGCTTATATATATAATCCCTCACAAGTACCGTGACATTGGCAACTCCAAGCTACGTGAGTTGTTAGGTCGCAACATTTGGCTACCTTGGGCAACTACTCGTGACTGACAACCAAACGGCCAAGCCGTGCGGTATGCCATGCCGTACTTCACTCATCAGAGCCGCTGTCGCATGTTACTCTGTTGTCCTAGAGCCCAGGGCTCAAGAAGCGAGGCTCGGCTCACTCCCTATCCCATCCTATACTATTTTGGCTAAAGCCACTGATCGTCTGAATTGGCTCGCACTCATCCCACCGCGACGTTGTTCTGGCATATGACTGCACCGCTCCCTTACAAATGGACCCGTCGCGGAGTATTCGACAGCGGACATTCCGCGAGTTGATAGATGTAGGTATGTTTTATTTCACGACTACATGCACGTATATGAGTGCGCCTGCACATACCGTGGTGGAACGAACGAAACAAAGCGGAAGAAACTATGTCTCTCAGCTCACTACTAGCGGGGGATTAGCCTCTTCAATAGGCCCGTGGACGACGTACCAGTGCTGCGTCTATATGTGGAATGATTGAGTGATGGTGCCACATGAAACGCCAACATCACGAGCTCTAAAAGCAGGATACTACTACGCTATGTACACGCCTATTGAGCGGCGGTCTACGGCGGACGATCTTCTTCCTCTCCATATATCCATGGAACCAACCAATCCACGTGGACTCGCCATTTAGTTCCTGGTATGGTAGGTTGGTTGGTGGGTAGAGAGTAAACGTGGTGGTCTTCCCCATATTCCTGTCCCCTTCCCCGGATCCATACAATTGATTAATCTACTTGCTTGACTTACTTGCCTGGGTAGTTGCTAGGAAGTAGGATTATTACACCCGTTGTATATATATATATATATATATATATACTGTAGCGGACTGACTACCTACCGTATTTACGATGCTAATGTGGCATTCCTCAGGTATCAGCAGATCGCTGAACGCTGCTCTTCCTCCTCCTCCTTCTCCCACGCACGTCGGCTCATATACATGTAACCGACTACCTATATTAGGCACAGTAGCAGGGTCATAGCCGAGGCATGGATGTATATACTATACCTTCCTACTTGTATTGTTTTATAGGATGCAGTGGCCTCCCCACCATGCACGTTCGACGTCCCCATTCGCACGAGACTCGTGTACATGTGTCTGCACAATACGGGGCACTACACCAAGACGAGGAAAACCTCACGTATTAGCGTATACCTACTAGCGTAGCTACAGTAGGTAGATCGTGAATCTAATTAACCTAAGTCGATACCTTTGACACTAGGTTACGTAGGCACTTACATTAGGTAAGGTATCTGCCTGGCCGGGAGCTTTCTACCCCGGCTTTTCCCCAACTCCAATCTTAGGAGAGGAGATGAGATGAGGGGAGGAGAGGGGAGGGGGTTGTCGTGTGACCCATCCTGCTTTCCCCGCAACCCTCCAACTTTTGCCCAGTCTCGGCTTCAACGCCTTGCTTTGCCGGAATGTAAACTACCTACTTAGGTACTGTAGCTGCTGTGACTACGAATTACTATGACATGACCCTCGTGGAACGTGCTCTATATTCAAGTACATAGGTATATCTACCTAGAGAATAGGAAGAGTAGTTATCTGTACCTAGCTAACATTACGCTTATAACTACGTCACGTAGATCTCTTCATAAGAGGACTACCATGTACCGCGTAAAGTAGCATTACAATAAATGATGGTGCCAACTCATGCTACATTATCAAGAAAATCTGCTGTGAAATACACCGTTATATCTCTATTCTTCTCACCTCTGCTCCGCAGAGTAGCAAGTTTCTTTCAATGTAAACTTAGTTACTTACTTATATGATCATATATTAAGTCCAGTCTTCTAATAGTATGTGTACTACCTTGAATGGCTTAGAACTTAGGAATGTTACAGCTCTCATGACCGAGCTGTGCAGCACCCGTTAAGCGAGAGTACAGTTCGTCCCATCTCGCAGAAAATGAACAAAACAAAATGAGCAGCAATACCTATACCTAGCCTCATACCGTGTAATCATACTCATAACCATCACGCAACCATCGCATAAATTCTACACCAAGACGGTCCGAAAGCAATTGTAGATACCTAGTACCTAGGTCCTTCAACTAGTACAATTCATATGTAACGATCCTGCACTACGCACAGCGATAGACCCCTCGTCCCACATACATACTTCCATGCATGTAGGTTGGAGGCGTGTTCCCTTTCCCATGTAAGTAACCAGGTAAGCCCGTCCTTGACCTTGTAGGTAGTATTTAGTGGGGGTTGGTAGCTAAGTTCGCTGCTCGCTCGTTCATGAGGGAGCGAGTGTGACCAGACAACGCAGCAGCTGATCGACAGGAGACATGCAGGCAGCTATCACGAGCGTTCTCTTCACATGTCAGCCCCTACGTGCGCGAATGCACCGTATGGTAAAGCTCATCCGCAACTTGAACGTTTGCCTGCCTGTTATACTTGCCTAGACGGGTAGATGTTCCCATCGTCTTCTCATCTGTGGTAATACTAGCCCTTCAATGCCCATCCTATTTTAGCTAAACCCCAGATTTTTAGACAGCGCAAGAGAACAACAGAGAAACTCATGAAAGAGACATATATATCTAATCCACCAATCGTACCTCGTAGTGAAGCGTACCCATTATACGATTTTGGGAAAAGACGAGAATAATGAAACAAATCAGAGAGGCAACCCCGTATAATATGCAAACTTGCGCCAGTGAGATAATGCAACCATGACAAAGTTTCAGCGCTCATTCTTCTTTTAAGCGCTGTATGCAGATAGACAAGTCTCCAATCGTTCGCCCCTAGAAAGAGGCAAATATAACAATACCGAAAGCAAGCCAAAAGACCCATGCTTTCGCGACCAACTCGCTAGCTCCATTATCATTATCTTCGTCCCCCTCGTTTCCTGCACCGCCGTATTCAGTTTGGTTTGGCGTTAAGTTATCTCCGGCACTAAAGAAAAAGGTGGCATTGTGGTCGGGTATAGCGCAGACCGCACCGCTTGCCGAAGGGTCTTTGCACCTCGAAGCGAAATCTTGATGGCGCTGCGCGAGCGATGAGTTGAAGTAGGCTTTGACGTAGCTCACCGTCGTGACAGCATCCACAGTTGGAGGACCATGCGACCACCCTGGATTCCCATTGCTCCAATGTGATAACAGGAGATGCCCAGCCGTCGTCGGGACTCCGGAACCAGTGGCCTCAGCAAGCAGGTTACCATCAGCGTAGAAGAAGACCTTGCCAGGTAAGAAGTCGAAGCGGTATTCGTGGAAATCCGTCGATGGGTCGAAGGGTAGATTCACCCGACGCAGGCCGGTCGTGTTCGCGGCATCATAACCAGCAGCAGCAGCTTCTTTTGACTGGAGGACGAAGTTGACGGGGAACAAGCCCTTCTCCTTGTCGAATTGGGCCGAGAGAAACTCGATGTCAATCTCCTGTGTGTCGTTTTGGTACTGCGGCAGAACAGCTTGTTAGCCAGAGCTCAACAGAAACGTATCCCGTCGTGCCATGCTTTGGGCTGATACCTACCCAGAAGAAAGCACTACAAGTTCCCGGCACATCGGTAGTCTTGATGCCGGCCCGGAAGGTGCCATAGAAATAATCCAAACCTGTGGTGGAGACTTCGGACACGGGAACCCTATCATCCTGCATGACGTTTCGGACGAGGAGAAGCAAGCCGGCATCTAGGCCAAGAGTGCCGGGACCATCGAATATCTTAGGGTTCTTGATAGTGTTAGACATGACATTTCGCACGGCGAATGATTCGCCGAACGGGCCACGGGATACTTGACTCGATATGTTGTACCCTTGTGGTGCCCATCCATGGCTAGCATCCCCTTTTCCGTCGCCCGTAATGTCGATGTGGATGAAGTCGGTTTCATGCAGATCGGTGAACACATGTTGGACATTGTCAGAGCTCGTGGTCATCGAGTATCCACATTCGCAATCACCGGTCACTGAGCCGAAGAGAAGCGACAAGACAGCGAAAACCCGGGAAGAAGCCACCAAGGCTTGTACTGATAGTCGGAGCTTCATAGTATTGGCTGCAGCCCATGTGCTACTGACTAGCTATGCGCGCGATTCCGTGCAGCAGCGAGCGATGACAATGGCATATGCCGTGACCAGAAACGAGCGATAGGTGCACGAGCAAGAGATCGAGGCCAAAGCGAGAGGAAGCGAGGGGATACAGAACACGGTGTCTCCGTCCAGGCTATTGACTGGTCATATGCCCATACGGAACACAACGACGCAGAAGAAACGCAAACAAACGTTTCCCTAATACTGGGAAGAAAGGCGGAGCAGGAGGCAAAACACCAAATCAAGGCAGTTGCGCTGTCCGTGCAGCCACCACTTCAGAAAACTGAAACAACAACGGTGCTGCCAGGAAAGAAAGAAAAAAAAGATGAGAAAACTAGGGAAAAACGAAGGAGCACAAAGAGCATGCAGTATAATCTAAAGAAGTAGCTGTCTCATAGACAAGACGACCTGGAGCGGGATGCAACATCTTGATCAGAAGGCCACCACAGACAGCAGCACCTACGGAAGCCGAAAATCGGCTACGGGTTGGTCGGGCAGGGAAATGACCACGCAAGGGCTTTCGAGACGAGAGATTCAACCTGGGAGAGGAATACGAGGGGTGAATTAGGAACGCACGCCAGGTAGGTAGACATACTGATGCGAATATTGGTACAGCCAATATATGGAGACGTGGCGGGCGCACACATAGACACGCATATGCACTCATGATACATCGTACCGTGGGTACCTACATACTCACATATCTATATAATTTACCTAGGGGAAGCGCCTGCAAAAAGAAAGAAAAAGAAAACATGAAATGAAATAGGGAAAAAAACGCAATAAACATGACCGGCGGGAGTGTGGAACGGTGCTACCTGACCATGGTGATTGGTATCACAGCTTAATTTTCCACCTTTCTCTTCAATACTGTGTGCACCGTTTGTACATACGGTCACTTCAAAGCTATGATAATTATACTTACTTGGTGTGTGCCTGGTAATGGTAGAACTTCTATATAGCAGGAATTGAAATCAAGACCCCAGGCAATGGTAAAGGATCATTTGATAAAACACTTATCGAAACATGCTGAACAGTACGCTTTGAATCAAGGTCTGCATCTATACACCCCCAAGAACTCAACATCAAGGCAAGATAAATTTACGGTAAATTCATCATCTTTACTTCTCCTATTCCGAAACTAGTCTGGAGACAAACAGCAATGGAAGCCTAGTGCTGAGAAGTGATGACATATCATTTGTAACGACTAGCTCAATATGGATCTATACATTTGGACAATAGCAAAATTCCATTCAAAATCGATCAATTTGGTGCACCCGGTGCTTCCTTCCGCTTTGCTCGCCAGCCACGCATATTCCCATCATAACCCTCACAACCCAGACCTCCCAGGCTCCCAGCTCTATTACGAAGGCAGGACACGGGCCAGGGTGCCGACCAAATAAGTGTTAAGGAAACCAAAAGAGAGGAGAACGAAAAGATAAGAAAAGCCACGGTCACTATGTAGAACAAGGTATATGACAAACTGGCAGGAGAGAGCGAGAACAGCATGAAAGACGAAAAGGATAGATGAGTGACGAGAGCACAGGCTAAAAATAAGAGCAACGGAATGGAAAATTGACGACAACATTAAACAAAAATATGAATGCCGTAGCTAATAGAACAGAGGGGAAGAGAAGTTCCGGCAACGGACCAGCCAGTCCTGCATCAGACATTATGTGCGCCTTGTCGCGCTGATATCTCTTCCGCCAGGTCACCGAGAGAGCCTAGTCTGCCATCCCAGTCCCCCCCATTACCAGTGACCCTAAATGCAGACGTTGTTGGATGCAAAGACAAACACAGACACAACGGAACTCCAGAGTCAACCACCACCGGCGCCTGTCCTTACGAGATCGAACGAAACGACTAGGAAAAACGACCAGGTATATGCGCAGAATTAAACCTTCCCCATCCGTGGGTTTTCAAGGAAAAACAACCAAACAAAAAGAAAATCGTGGGTCTCATCATACTAATACAAGCTCTCTTCATCTGCCCCCTGCGAAATCATTGACGGCGTCGAGACGTTAGAAGATGCTTCTACGTCATCCACGTAACCGTTAAGTGCCTGCGTGTGTAGACGGAAGGATTCACCCATGAGCCTCGTGATACTATGATAGAATGTTAGCCGCAATTTCAAGATTTCCCAAACAAGTTCAAAAGACTTACCCCCAGACTACCACCTCATCGAGCATGGAGCCCCAAAGGTGAGCGACGGTGCCACTGAGCTGCGGCGAGGTCAGCGTACCCTCGGACTCCTTCTCAAACAGCAATCGAACCTTGTGGTACATGGCCATCTCTTCCTCGGTAGCAGGCTCTTCGTCATGTTCCAGACGGTAGAGCCACAAGGTGAGCGTGATCATGAGGTCCATGCCGCAGAGGGGGTGCTCAATGCTCCAGTTGGTGGGTGATGTGCGGGCGACCCAGCGTACGCCCTGACGAACGGCGGTTTCAATGCAGTTGTAGCACTCTTGGATAACTTTGATCATCTCGCTAGATCGCTTGACGCGATCACGAGCCTTAGACATCGCCGCAGCGACCTCATAGTGATCGTGGTATCGGAGTGCTTCTTGCACACCTTTGAGATCAACTTCAAGGCGCGCACGAGCATTGCGGTACATGGCTTGTGCGTTAAAGATCAACGGATGGCCCTTGTGAGGTGCACTCAGGGGAACGGCGTCAGCCTCAGGCTCACAAAGATCAAGAGATTTCTCCCACGTCTCCAAAGCAAGCCGAAGCTTATACTCAGTGACCACATCTTGTAGAGCCTCGGGGCTGCGCTTCTGGTACCACACCTCGAGGAACAACGTGTTGATCATAACGCGCGTTGCGAAGGCACTGTACTTCAATGTTTCACCCTGAAAGAGATGATCATGAGCAACCATAAAGGTAATTCCAGGAGACGCCTTTAACTGTTCGTACCAGGCTTGGTCGTCGGTCACTTTCGAGTTCCAGAGCGCCTCCGATGATGGCAGCTGCAAATCTTCAAATTCGTTGAAGCTAATGGCAGGGGTGTGGTTGTAGGTCAACGTCAGCAGCCCAAAGAAAATGTACACAGCATAGTAAGTCCTACGGCAGCCTTCATCTTCTACCCATTCAGAGCGGGATGGGAGAGCGCCGTCACGAGCATCCTGGCGTAGCTTCAACTCGTAACGGTTGCCCGCAACCATATTGGCAAGCAGACTCTTGATAGAGCAAGCCCACTCGAGACCTTTCGGATCACCACTCCAGCTAGCAAAGATCATGTTCAACAGCGAGCTCTGCATCGTCCATAAAGGACATTTTCGAGAGCTGAAGTTCTCCTTGTTTTGCAGAAATTGATTCACCAAGACCTTGGATCCAATATGCAGCATGTATGCCTGATCTTGGTCGAATGCATATAGCGCACCGATGGATAATACAGCAAGGAGAATAGCTGGCGAGACTTGAGTCACGTTGAAGGAAGAGGGATGCAGAAAAGGGAGGTGATGATGGAATAGTCCGAAGTAAGTCGCTAGATACCGATTCATCGAGCCCAGATTAGGAACATGGAACCCTTCCGGGATGGCGTGCTCGCTGTCATGAGCCCGAATGTTGTCTAATATCATATTGCGCTCTTCATCATTGAGGACCTGAGGAGCTTTGAATCCAGCCGAGGCCTGGTCTTGGTCAGCTTGCGATATCCGACAACTAGATGTGGGAGGTTTGCTAGAAGCGGAAATGCCAATACTGGTAGGGTCAAGTGTGTTGATCATGGATTGCAAGGCAGTTAAGAGACCATTGTATTTGTATTCAGTAGAAGCTGGCAAGGGAATGGCATGTACATGGGCTGTACTCACACTAGCAAAGGACTGCTGTGACTCAAACGTGCGAGAACCACCACCAGAGCCAGAAGAAGCAGCTGATTGAGCCTTGACTTCAGCAACAGACTGCGCCATGAATGCATCCCAAGGAACGTTCTGGGGAAGGGGAGCATTGCCAGGTGGGTAGACGGCGGGATCCATCAACGGCGCACCGCTCGTAGGGTAGGTCGTAGTTGGGCTTGGCGTGTATGGGCTTGCGGCGTCGTTGTCTCGCATAGCGGCTGTAGCTTTGTGATGAAGGTCGGCAACCAGCATAGCAGCGTGCTCCACGTCGAAGACTCCTTCGCTACTAGCCTCTATCTGCTCACTCAGAGTGGATGTGTCCAGAGCGATGGACTTGGAAGGGCCGTTGATGGCTCGGGCTTTGGCACCGCCAGCGCGACGCTTTCCGTCGCTATGGAGAGGGACACCTCCGTCTTTGGCGTGGACGGTGCGATCGTGTCGAAGAAGAAGATCCCTCCGCACAAATGTACTGCGACACTTCATGCATTTGAAAGGACGCTCTTTCGTGTCTATTTACGATGAGTCAAGTTAGTTTGAAGAAAGGGACGTCACATGAATCATGAAGTGGAGGGGTAGTCGAGTCGCACCATCGGCAACAATAAGTTGCGAAGCGAGAAGAGGGGTCGAGGGAGGGGGTGGTGGTAGGATGATTTGGGTGATCCTAGGAAGGAAGAAAGGATGCGCGCCACTTACGCGACCGCTCATGTCTGCTGCGGTGTTCACTTCTGCTGAAAGCCCTTGCGCAGAACTGGCACTTATATTTGCGCTCTGGTTGAGTGAGAGAGGTCTTTCGGGCGACCGGAGTTGATGAGGCGGACGTGGGAAGAACGGCCACGCTTGCGCCAGGCATCTTGGCTGATTGTCGCGTTGTTGGGCTCGGATGCGTTGACTGATGGATGATAATAACTACGTTGTATTAAAGATTTATTATATCGATCGACGACGACGACGAAAACGACGGTGACTTGGCTTGGCTGGGGTTGGTTGGCGGCCGACTGCTCCGAAAAATACTTCAGACTGATAGTTGAAATCGCCTGGCTCCTCTACTCGCTCGCACGCACGCACGCTCCCGTGGGATTTAAAGTGTGTCTTGTTGACTCGACTGGACGTAGCTGGTCATTTGAATGGCTATATGGGTCATGGGATGCTGTGGGAAATTAAGTCGCGGCCTAGGCCGTGGATTTGTCTCGATACGCTGTGGTATCTGAGATGGTGCGACCGTCCTTGGAAGCAGGGCGACGCGGGTTGCTGAGAATCGTGGGTTGGTGATTGAGTTGGAAGAGGGGTTGATGGGAGATGGAGAGATAGATGAATAGAAATGCAAAAAGCAGGAAATAAAAAAGGAGGGGATGGGGGGGGGAGGGATGAAGAGGGGACAAAAGAGGGAACGAGATTGTGCTGTGCTGTACAGAAGGACAGGGTGCTGTATACTAGCTATTTGGGGGGGTACTCTGCAGTGTCGGGTGTGCACAAGGAGCGAGCCAGCCAAAGGGTAGGTACCTAGGTAGGTAGGCGGGTCTACGGAGGGGTACCACTGTAATGTAGGTGGTATACTTACTGAAGGCAGGTACCTATCTTGCTTGGCCCCGCAGCGTGCATGTAAATACCTACCTAAGTACGCTGGGAGGATGGAGGGAGGGGGTGGTGTGGCACGCTGTAAGGACCGACCTACCTACCTAGCTAGCGTACACCTTCTAGGTAGACACGCACAGTGTGTTTGCGTGCTATACAGTGCCCATGTACAGTGCGCAGCGGAAATGAGGGCGTGAGACGGCACGGAGTAAGCGTGGGTTTACTTGCTCGGCGACGCCTGAAGGGGGGCAGACCAGTGCTGAGGCTAGGAGCAGACAGTATAGATACAGTGTCTCCGACTTGGCTTGGCACGCATTGAGCGCGACGACGCGAGATGGGGCTGTCGGTCGAGGTGGGGTGGCTTGGGAGGTGAGTTGTTCGTTGCTCGCGAAAGTGAAGCTGGCAGAGTCGGGTGGGGTGCTGGTGTGGCTTCGGCGAGTATCTCGATCGGGTGAGTCTGTTCAGATCAGGAATGAGGCGGGGCAAATATCCTAGCCTAGGAATGGCTGGTCAGAGCTGGTTATGTGGTAGTGCAACCTGCCTCCTCCTCCTCAGTACATACCGGTAGGTACCTATCTACATACTTAGTAAGTAGGTAACGCTTGCACTACTGTGAGTGCAGCACCTGTTATCTTACCTACCTACCTTACCTAACAGTACCTATAGGTAAGGGGTACCTATGCTTTGGTCATTACTAGGTAGGTACCGGGTACTCCGGGCTTTGTTACCAACTTGCTTACGAGATCCCGCCTTCTAGCGATTGCAGAGAGTACGGTTACCTACATACATATGTTCGTCTCCAGCTTACATAGCTATCACGCTGGTGTTGTCTTTCTTACATAAATACACTATATCTACAGCTCCTTAACCTACCCATCACTTGTCTATGCACGTATTATAGAGACAATCTTTGGGTTCTACACTAGAAGGTGAGTAAAGGGTAGAAATCTTCAACGGGTCTCGAGGGAATGCAGTCCACCGCGCAACATGACCCGAGGAAATCTTAGTGGGGTGACAGGGCCACTGGGCTGGGATTCCAGTGGGGTCTCAGCAGCTGGTCAGTGGATTCGTGGCCCCTGAAGCAAGCACTACGTGTAACAGCAATATGCCCTATGAGAGGTAGAAAACATGCCCCGCGCCCCTCTCCCCAGCTGCTGTGGCCAGGCGGTCTGAGGTGTTCTATATCTGAATAGGCAAAGCACCTACATATGCCAATGGCCTCTCCTTCACCGCTTTGTAATGTGAAGAACAGGCGGTATAGTGGTGCAACGAGGCGAGGTGCGACGATAACGCACGATGTTCTCTATCTACCTATATTTCAACTTACCTATGTGAAGGAGAAACTCGGAATTGGAGGCTGTGAGCTGTTGTTACCTGGGCAGCCAGGGAAAAGTGAGGGAAAAGTGGGCTGGATAAAATTATACAGTGTGTACCTTGCAGGAGACAGGCTGGCGGGAATGCCGTCGCGCAATCCAAAGATAGACTCCAATCCTGTACCTAGTCCTACTCTGTGAGGTAGGTAGCTACCTAGTGTCTCAGGTAATACACTACACATAGACTGTGCACTCGTTCATTAATGTAAGAGTGGTGGTGTCCAATTTCACGAGACTATCTATACTTATGCTGCTAGGTTTTGTAATAGGCGGTTCTGGGCGGTCTGCCTGGTAGAGCGCGCTCAGACCTTGGTTCTGCCTGGTACACTAAATCCTTCAAACGTCGAGTTCAGTCGTATACAGTGCGCTTAGAGCAAAAGAAAGCGCAGCACTGTAAGCCCAAAAGGGCCCGTTACCCTGTGGCTCGTGACCTTGGGCTGGTGCTATAAGCTGTACAGAGTAGGTCCACCAAGAAACGTCCGGTTTACCCATTGAGAGGCATGGCTCACCAAGACCCTATAACTTTGAAAGCCTGGAAAACAGCCAACTAGATTAATATACCTATAAGAATTAACTCAGTAATGGTGATTACGATAGTAAAATGCTTCGTGTTAACTATATATTTTTTCCATTTTATTTAAGTATTCTAGAGCTGTTTAAACTTATAAAGTCTTGGTGAGCCATACCTCTCAATGGGTAAACCGGACATTTCTTGTTGGACCCACTCTGGCTGTAGAATAGCCAAATCCCAGAAGTTCTGCAAGAGCTCTCATCCCCGCCGCTTTCTGTATTGGGAGTAGCGGAATCTGCAGCTCTATCCGGCCTTGTACTTGTACATACCAAGTAGTACTGGCAGTTACTGGCAGTTATCGCGCCCATCCGACGAGAAATTGAATGCCAGACCGCTCTAGCGTGCTCTTCCGAGGCTTCCAGTTGGCCTTCTTTCCGGCCTTCTCTCATTCCTTCTCACACTTCTGCAAGGCTATCAAGGGACTGGTGTAGTACAGAGTAGCGCAACGCAACACAGCACAGTTCATGCTGCGTACCTATACTACCTACCTACAGAACTCCGGGGTGGAGAGAGAGGACGGGGGTTGCGCCACCATTTCTTATGCTAGTTGTGCAGCAGGACTAGTAAGTACCTACAGTAGGTAAAGCGTCCCTTCGTGCAGTTTATTGCGAACGAAAAGCACGAATCCTCAGCCATCCTCACTTCCGTTCGTTCCCCTCGTCATCACTCAGCAAGAGTCTCCGCCGTTGTGGTTGTGCCGTACCTACTCAAGTATATGTATGATAGGTGTTCGTGAGTGACCTAGTTCTTACATACCAGAGTAGCAAGTCCCCGTGATATCTACAGGCGGAGTACCGGTATTACAATCACTAGATACTACGAAATCAATGGTCCTCTTGATTATCTTCAAAATTGACAAAGGCATTGTTTAAAGTAAAGATCTCTCCCAAGATGCTGCTCCCAAGATTTAGTCCACCATGTGGTACTAGAGTAGGTACGCCTCGCTAATACGAACTACCTACCTACGAAGTATATGTAGTAATAGGAAATTGGGTGGACTCGGACGACCCCACGCTGTTTTATTACCCGGCAAGTAACCTTCTAGAACTTCAGATGAAGGTGGATTGTTTTGAATTCGAAACTTCGGGGTGTCCTCGCACGATTCTTCGCGTGGCTGGCCACGGTTACCCCTTGAAAAGTCAGAGTCTTTGACAGACTTGTCCTTGCCACGTACCGTAGTGTAGGTTTGACGCCTGCTACGATCATCTCCTTGTCATATAAATTGAGGGGTTGTTGTTATTGTTGTTTTGTCTGTTGGCGCGGGGCAGAGCGGTGCATGTAGACATCCTGACTGTGCAAGTATCATGGGTGGAAGTACTACTAGTAGATAGTAGTACAAGATTGAGGGGTCTTAAAGTTGATCTGCGAATAAGAGTCCCTCACCTTGAAAGGGATATCCAGGTAGAGTACGTGGTATCTGATCGAGCTACTCAAGATGAGATAGCGTGGTGTTAGCTGGAGCCTCTGGTGCTGATCCAAAAGGGGGCTGACAACCAGGTTCACAATAAGCAGGCATTCCATAGTATGGTGTGGTGTAGTGTAGACTCGTAGTGTAGGTAGGTATACTTAGCAGATAGAACGCTGATCCCGTTCAGGATTTAATAGACACCATGCTTTTGACAGTTGGTTATCGCATCCCTAGATTGATCGAGGAAACTAAAGGCAGGGAATGTTTTGAAAATTTTCGTCTCCTTCCCACCACCTCAATAAGATAATCCCTTTCTAGGGTCAGAGCCGTCAGCAATTGAGATTCGCTGCCCCACCAACGACCTGACAGCCGTGGGCATGGAACATTTCAAATAATCTCCCACGGCAAAGGACCGGCCAGGTCTGTCCGCTTTTCTAGAAACCCAATAGAATTTCGAGCATTAGAGAAGCCCCCCACCAAAACTACGTGTATCAAGCGCTTTAAGTGGTCGCATGAGTGGCTGTCCCTTCAACTCGGTCAGGTTGGAACTGGTATCTACTACGCTCTGGCCCTTACCAGTCACACGGATAGCAGCACGTATCATTCATAATTCATACTACCTAACACTAGGTTATCTTACAGGAGGAAAGCGATAATCGATGTCGATGTTAAAGCAGAATACCGAGATTCATTTCTATCTCCTAATAGCAACTTGAGCATTTTCCGAGTCAATCACGCATGACAGCAATATGTGGAGGCTTCATCTCCGCATTGGAGGTTGGTCCAAGGTTTCGTCACCAGTCCCAGCCTAGTGTTAAGGAGACGTTTCCACTCAACTGACGTGCTAGACTTACTTAGTATCGTACCGGCCTCGAGGATTCGAAGACGATGACCAGACAATCAACAATGATGCAAGGTATTGGTATTCTATGAGTAGGTGTCTACTTATATATATATCCCTCTACTTGAAGCATGGATCTCTGCAGGTACGCAGTCGCACTCAGGTCCGGAATCTTTTTTTCCCTTGCATAGGTAGTCGACGATGTTGCATCGAGCACACTAGTTCATATTCCCGGCAACCCGAAATCGAACGAGCCTGTCACACAGTACGTGCTACTGTAGTGATGAGTGAGCAGGGGCTTGAATTCGGCATGGTACGAGACCAGGAACAAGATGTTGGAGTAGTCTACGAAGTGTACGCATCCTAGCGCACGTGGAGCTTCACCCGGAAGCTCCCCGCGTAGTGTGCGCACACTAGGTAGACTTAGCTCAGCGTCGTATGGGAAAAGTTGGCCACGTTACTGTATCGAGCCAAGGACCTCTCCACTGCGATGATGTCGGCGCGGTAATGCTATCGTACTAAAGCAAATTGCGACTAGACGGCGCTTTTGTCACTGATGATGCGACGATAACGCCCTTCGACGTCAAGATCCCATTGAGGCCCATCGCGGCTTTGACGGAAAGCTGCTTCGAGTACTAGCACCTTTGACAGGTCCAAAATTAGTGTCCCTGCAGTTTGAGCTGCTGAAAGATAGCGTACGTTGTGGAAATTTTTTTCCCTTCTCCCTTGCGTCCACCAACCCGAGCGCCTGGTCGCTGCTGATAATAATATCGATCTAATCATGCTTTCTCCTGACGATCTGCTCGTTCCTGCGTATGGCTGCACATCTTATTGCCACCAAATTTTGAGACCTGTCTCACATGGTACCTAATTTAACTTATGTGTACAAAATGCAAGGCAGTCATTCAATGACTTGCAGCAGTTCACCAACGTTGCCGAATGCTAAAAATGGCCAATTCGGGGTCGCATTAGCCTAGTGTACAATTGCGTTATTCTTATTCAATGTTTTCTTATCCTTCACCGTAAAGTACGGACGAGAAGCTGGCCCTCCGGTCCCGTTCCGAGATCTTAGATATGGCGGTCAAGGTCTTTTTGGACGAACCTCGTTGCGCTAAACCACATATTATCGCCCGCCGGATGAGTTCCGTTACACGTAGTGGATAACAACCCATCCTGTTGGTGGTACGTGGTTGGTTCGAGTTTCAACAAGTTGAGAGTTCGGGTGGACGCAACGGTCCGTCTCGTAAGTCTTGCCGCCACCTACTTACCTACAGAATCTTCCCATCTGTGCCACTTGTAGAACGCCTCCGGAGGGGAATGAGGGCGACTACCAGGCCTCTCTGTTGGCCGCTTACGCAAGTGCTGACTTGCAGTAAGCAAGGGGTCATCCCGCTTTGTCAGATCACTTATAAAAAAAAATAAAAATAAAAAATAAGACCAGCACAACTGTTTGCCAAGACATCCCTCACATTGAGTAGTTCGTGATGGCATAATACATGTCATTGACCTCTTCATCTTGATAGAGTATGCTCTGATATTATGTTCAATCAACTACAGTGAGCATGCTTCGGTATTCTGTCTTATAGTTGATCCATGCAAGATGGCCATGTCTTGCTCATATGCCATTCCACGAGTTCTGGGAAACTATCTCTCAAACCTAAACTAGATGTATGCTCATGTGAGCCTGGCCCGATAAATTGAGGATGAGTGTGGCTCTACCATTGAGGGGCTCGAAGGTCATTTGAAAGGTAGACATCCGGAGAGTAAATATTTAATTTCTTGCGATGGAAGGATAGTGGAAAGTTAGCTGGAGTCAAGTCAACTAAGAATCGACATCAAAATATGGTCATGTTGGGTTGCGATCTTTTCTTGGTTTTGTTATCAATATTTACCCTAGTTTTCCCGAATGCTTGGAATTGGCAGTAGCCATACATTTCATTACTGAATATCTCACATGAACCTACCGATATGAATCATTATATGAGAGTGGCATAAATATAAGGCTAAATAAGAGACTTGTGATTCAACCCCAATCTCTGACATCCTACCTGTTAATCTTATTACAACATTTGCCTGCAACATAGAATCTATATTGGATTTTCCAGCGACAGGCCAAGGGTAGAAGAATGACAACAATACCTATACTTTCAAGTCGGGGGTTTCTATGCCCGGGATTGGTCGGGTAGCGCTTAAACTGTGTGTGTCTTTGTAAGAGCAAAGAAGATGACCTCGATGACGCAGAAAGTTGTGAACACGGCCGTTATTATACACTCTAGCGCTGGATGAATCCATATCCAGTCAAGGGCTGCCGGTAATGATTTTTCAACGGCTCTCTACGCTTGCCAGTCTTTCACCACATCTAAGCCTGATGTTGGAGGATGGTATCACGGTGAGTTGGTCCCGTTCAGACGCCTCATACGCTTGTGTTCCTGGAACACCGTTTCCTATGCGCCTGCACCAACTGAACCCGCTACGCCAACCTGATCGTAGCTAGAGTAAGTACTACCTCCGATGGCCATCTCTCTTTTTCTAGCCTCTATTGCTGGCTCATGTGGGTAACAGCCACAGCCAAAACACGACTGTCACCGCATGGATAGCAGTGTCCGCGACAGCGGCAACGAAGGTAATCAGTTCCATCCGTGAAATCACGAAATCCCGCCATGAGCTATATGCTGCAACCGTCAACTCGAGACGTTTCATCGTCGAAGTGTTGAGTGTTAGTGAGCATCGCAATGATTTCATTGCCAGTTGCTTTCAATACAACCGAGAGAATAATGAGCACGACCGAAAGGTTTGCTTGGATAACGCAATGCCGGTATACACGGTCATTTCGATGGAAGGGAATGACCAAATGGATCGTCTCTGCCCACAGAATAGCGAGTAAAGCAACCTCGAGAGAGACCGCTGTTATGATCTCAAAGCGAAGCAATCCATTGAGAAGCTCATAGAATGGGAAATTATTGGCATCCTCGCGAGAATAGTCCACGAAGCGCTCAGGCGAGCCGATGGTCACAATAGAATTTGCGACCAAGGCTGCAATCAAGGGTCACTATGATTGAGGGGATGAGCACTCATTGTCGCCATTACACAGCCTTGATATGCTCAACAACACGCCGCCTTTCGTCGCGTCCGATATAATGTATTGCGAAAGCTTCGATATACACGCTTTTCGCTAAGGAAATTATGAATATCGAGGCTATCCATGTAAGAAACCCCCGGATCAACTTCAGCCTCGAAGACTTGGACTGGCTGAGCTCTAGGTATGCCGGCATCTATCTCTCAAGATACTAGGGGGTTTTCCTTTTCAGCAACCGTACGGCAATCCATATGAGCGTACAAGAACCTCTCGTTCATACCTCAGTGCGTTTCGAAAATATTAGTTGGCACCTTACAACTCTTGCCAATGTGTATAAGCCTTGTCATTTTGGCCACGAAAACAACCACTTCCCTCATATCACCAAATGGCCAGGCTTCGACGCGATTTGTACATGGCATCGCGGATGCCGCCTCTATCCTCCAAGTTGTAGAGTCACGCTGTCGCATAGCGAGGTGTTTGACGTCGAGCAAGTCTCGCTACCGTCACGATACGTCGAGATCGAGTCCGATAAAGGTATCATAAAGCACTGCATACTACGAGAGAGACACCGTCAGAAAGGCAAACAGCTCAAAGCCATTGCTGTTGTGGCGAACCAGAAGTTGTAAGGACACTCGAGGAGAACTACAGCTGTCGTATTGGAAAATGCACCACCGCTTCGTGTGAAAACTATACGCTACCTGCGGCTCATCACGCATGCCTAGGAGCTCTCCGTCAAGCTCAACATCAAGCACGTCTGGGTAGACTCCCGGTGACGACTGGAAGTGGGAATCCGCAAATATGGCAGATCACTACCAGTATGCGTGACTCGCAGTCGCAGCAACCCGGACGCGTAATGACGATGGGTTGGTCGGGGAGTTTGAGACGAAGGGCCTGGCTCGCGTGACGCATCTGTTACATCAGGACTATTACGGCTCGCAACGGGGGTACTTCTACCTCTAATGCTCTGAAGTAAGATGACCTTATGGGACTACAGAAATGCCGTAGGGCGGATTGAGCTGCTCCATCGGGGAGGGGTGTTACTCAGGAGTGGCTTCTAAGCTGACGAATACTGGCGTTCGCGGACCTTGGCTTGTTCGTTCAGTGTTATTCGATATGATGAGGATGGCGACGAATGGGAGACTTCGGAGAAGCCTGACAGATTTTTCAAAATTTCTGGTGAGTATTTGTTACAACAATTTTGGCCCTTTCTCTCCGTGCCAGAGGGAACGTCAATTTCCCGCTAAATCCATAATGACTGGCTGATAAGTTCTCCTACTTACGCGAGATTACCCTTCAGTGGCAGATATCGCTTCAAGGGTAAGAGATGTGTTGTATTATGTTTTTAAACTTGATTTTGAAGTTTTTATTGTCGCCAAGGGTTTAATTTAATAACCTATCGCAGTTCTGAGATTCTCGGAAGTCATACGCCAGATGACCGTTGCTAACTTCGAATGGTGTTGTGGCGAGAGGCTGTCGAGTAAATACTTATGCCTTTAGCTAATGACATTTCCTGAGAACCGGCTTGTGGCGCTCTCTAGTATTGTGAGTGAGTATGGATGTGCTGCCAGTTGGTGTCCAGAGTGAGTAATCACCAACACCACTCCCCCCCCTTTGAGAGGTTTGGAGGTGACGCTTTTCTAGGTCTTCAAGGCACTTAGCATTTCTACACCACTTACAATACAGCTCAATCTTGCACTGGCGATTCCCAACCGTGACTATTACAGTGAGCGCAGAAAGTCAGGAGCAAAGAGTGGTGGTGATGAGACACTATGATATACATATCTTTGCGGTTCCTGATTCCGGGAAGCTCGGGATCATTTGTAGGAGTAAGTTGAACCAGGTCCGTGTGTTCGTGCGAAGTGTATATCAATGTAGTCCTAAGTATTCATGGAGACTAGAATAGCAATTGGCATGGGAAACAATGTCCCCTCGGGCCCCGCGGTGCGGCAGAGCAATGTCCACTGATCGTCTACTGATGGCTTGCTTGAGGGCTTCATACGTATACTCATCGACGCTGGCACCCTGAAACCAGGGTTTGGGCTTGCGGACGAATATACGCTGAGCAACATCTAGAGAGATGATGGGCGGGTTGCGGTCTTGGGCATCCCGGGTTTGCTAACATAAATACAAGCTTCATGGTACATTTGCGGACAAAGATGGCCGTACCGCAGCCGCCAACATAGCGGGCTACGGACCTAGCTTCGGTCGCGAGATGTGGCGTCGCGTCTCAGACGCCCGGTACCGTCGCCGGGTGGGCCTCGGTCCAACACCCGGGCTTCCAGTCCATTCTCTCAGGCGAGTGCGAGGGGCCAACTTTCGCGCTCGTTGCGGCAGTGGCACGAAAATTACAGGTAGGCTGGCTCATGGGTAATCTCAATCCTCATCTTACATACAGCATACGAGGTGTTGTACAGGTCCCGGGGTTCGAAACCAGAGACAGGGACCGCTAGGAGCGGATTGGCGTCGGGAGACTCTTCGGCGAGGAAGTGGGTATGGCATATGCGGTGACGGACAAGTCGGGGGTTTGGTTGGTTTGATTTACCTAGGATAAACGAAAATATCCCTTGTCTTCCCATATCACGCCGTCAGGTCTGTCTCTCAGGAACAAGGTGGTATAATGCTAGGAGAGAAGGGGTATTGACGCATGTTTATTAAGATCTGATTCTGATTCGCATCGCTTGGCCAGGCCGTGGAACATACGATACCATGTATCCAGATAATTTTGAGGTTGTACAACATCGTCAGCATGCTGTACACTACGCATTCATCACTGGCTTGGAGCAATGACCTTTCGTACGAAGTATCGTTGAATCAAAGTCTCTTGTGACACCACACCTCGCCCTTGAATGATGTCCTGCGAGTCTCGGGGCATGGCATCTTTCATGCCACTTCGTCCTGTATAGGCTAGAAAGCACGCACTAGCAGCAACATACCTAGTCTGTCCCATTCCTATGAGATGCATTGTAGTTTATGCCGTGTGCATTTATCCCCCGCGTCGTCCGTATCGGGCCTAATATAGCATAAACTCGTGGCAGCTCGGCTGCGTTCGGATTACCAAGCAGCTGGGTATTTTGCCGTCATGCCCAGCCTACCTACACACTGGCGGTTCTGTTATGCTAGTACATGTAGCGTTAAGTATGTGTGAATGAAGGTCGACGAGAGAGTGAGTGCCCGCCAAGTAGGAAGAGGATTCCAATGATGCTAGTACTTGCCTGAACTCGATTTCTAGATTCCCGAAACAGTAGTGTACACACTCCTAGTGCCAACCACGAAGGTCGCCGTTATCTGTCATGGAATCGAATCCTACAGCTACTTTCTATCAACCGGCGGTCGAGGAGGATGCATTAAGTTTCGAGTTTCACAGAGTAATGGTACTATGGTTGCTGGTTCTGAGTATAGTGGTTTCTGTAACCTCGGCTAGCATCCCAGCATCTGCGATCTGGGGAAAATGCAGTAGTCCGATCATTGTTCATCCACAGCCCCGTGACCGTACTACCTACATAGTCAGGACAAATTCTAACGAGTCTGTTCAAGAGAATTCCGCCGCCCGCTCCGCTGTTCTCCTTCACAGCCTGCTATCAGACACCACCTATCTCAGTGCTCCGCTGTAGCTTCTCCATCCAAAGGTGTACTTAAAGGCACCTACGTATCTAGAAGCTTTCTTGTTCCGGCTAGAGCAATGCAGGCGATCCCATGCCGGGGAGAGTTGCTGTTGATTGTTAACGCTGGGTACTTAATAGCCTTGCTAATACCCACACTCTCTTCCAAATTCTCTTCAACAAAGTTGGAAACAGCCATGCTACATCTGAAAATAGAGAGTACTATGTAGGCCATCAACTGTGTCAATAGGTCTGGTTATGGCACTAATTGTAAATAGCCTACCATAGTAGTTTCTTCATATCGTGCGTGTATGTTGAAGTTGTATGATAGGTAGTAGTTTCTGCCATGTTAGTACGAGTAGTACGGGATTATCTTGATCCCGGTGGTAAGAAACCGAAACCACTCCTTCTCAAGAAGTACATACTTATGCTATGTGAGAGATGCACTTCGTGTAGAAAGATGCAAGATACAGCAGATAGGCTTGCGGGTAGGCCTCCCCGGCTATTTACCTTCGCTCGTGTCCAGCTGCATACCTAACTATTAAATAGTGTACTACTCTATGTAGATCGCTGTGTAGGCAGATGGCCAGACCGAAGTCTGGTAATCGAATGATTCTTATCTCCCTGTAGTATTGGCCGGGCTCTTCCTTGCTCACTGGCGAGGCTCAAGCGTCCTCGCCATTATTCCACTAGGTACTTAACTGTGTATACATAGTATGTAGCGTAGTAGTGACCAATGGGAGCCATACAAGGCCAGTAATGAATACCATCTATATTCAACTTTATATAGATATACCAAGTAGGGATATTTGATGAACTCGGTGAGGCTTGTTCCTTGTCGATTGCCCTCTTGGATACCCACATGGTACTTACTTCGTAGTATACATCGCAGTAGGTACCTAAGTAACTACATATATCGCGGTGCTGGAGGTTCGCTCGCTGCAGTCAGTCAGTAGGTAAGCATCGCTAGTGTCGCTCACACATTTTGAACTCTTTCTAGAACCCTTCCCCGGTAAATAGAAGGTTCCTGCTTCCGAGAAGCTAGCAATGGCGAAAACACGTTTTCTAGGTCAGTCTGTCCGAGAGAAGAAGTGTTGCTTCCTGACCTGGCAAGTTGCAGCTACCTAGGTAGACTAATGGTCCCTTGCTCTTACATATATGTACATATGTAGGTACCCATTTACTAAGTTACATACATGTAGTTAATGTAGGTACTGTACTTAGTGCCTATATGTCCCTATGCTGGTAGTTAGGTACTGCTAGGTACAGAGGAGGAGTAGGGATGCCCACGCCGGGGCTCTTCATTGTCCACCACGTGTGGTGAAGGTATGCTACTTCGTACGTGATACCCTCATTGGTTTAGTGTATTTCATGCTGTGCAAATCATGACTACCTACCTACTTAGGTATTGGCATCTCTGTATGTTTTTTTTTTTTTTTTTTTTTTTTCCCAATCTGCAAATCTGTGTACGCGAGACGCCAGCATTTGGTGCAGATCTCAGTGTACATCTGCTGTCTAAGACGCATAAACGAAGGCGATGGGGAACCGGTATTCTCGCCCCTTTTCTCATCTGGAATGCTAACCTTTGTGGGTATACATAATCCATCGAGCCTATTCAATGACTACACTACATGGCAAATGACCACAGCCCACGGTGCAAGTGCCGTTGTGCCCATCAAATGACACCCCTCGTTGGGACCAACTGTGAAGAATTAATAGGGCCTTGGGAGGCGGATAGAAGTCTAGGCGGCCCGCCGGTATATCTGTGGATTGGCCTTACCTAGAGGATCATCATTCGATGACCCGAGTTGTAGATGAGGGAATGCTTGGAGCAATCTCAGCACAAATCAACACGCATTCCATTGGCCAATGGCTCAATGCAAGCCTGGAATGGCACATCGTACTCAACACACGAATATTAACCTACATGTAGGTATACGACGCCATCGTAGGATGGTCGGCAACCTTGCAACAGGGTTTAATAGAAGATGCTTATAGTTATCCTGCGTGTTTGAAGAGGTTGGTAGCTGTAATGTACGGGTAATATTGAATAAGGTCATCCGTCTACTCTGGGTATCGTAGGTATCAGCTCCCTCGACCAGATCGGATCATGACTTGAGTTTTGAGGCATTGTCGCTGAATTCTCTGTCTGTTGAAACCGAACAACCAACGGATAGCCGAGCTCTGATGTGAGTGAGATCCCGATACCCAATTTTGCAGAATATCCTTACTCAGTATCTGTTGTGTAATCTGGACATCACACCTGTCGGGCCTACATAACCTAAGATTCTTACCGCTCCAAAGAACCGAGCATCTAAAGCAACGCAAATGCGTTTCTGCAGGACCCGAGAACCTTGTTGAGAAGCGGTTGATGCTTTTCTGAATGCATCTCCCGCCTTTCTCTTTTTGTCAGCTCCTTTGACTTGGTTCGGAAAAGTGTGCACAGCGCCCTGCATACCTCCACTCACACCTCTCCCACCCAGCTCTCCCATACATCTGTACTATGTAGGTAGTACTGTAGCATGCTGGAACAGACTGAACGAGCCCTGTACCGTGACTTGATGGCGATGTAATACTACATGTATGTAGGTATGTACTTCGTATAGCTAGACCCCATCGGTTTGTTGGGATAGTATTGAAGTATGTACAGTAGTGCCCCTAGGCACATGTAGGTCGTACATATACTACTGGTTTGGCTCTTTCGATGGACTACCGGGTATTCTGCAAGCTCTACTCCAGCTTGCAACGTTATCAGTCCGTCTCAGAGCTTGGTCGAGACGCATCGAGGAAAGTCGAGACGAGGCATCACGTCTGATTTGAGCGAACGGGCAAACGCTCTGGGGAGGGGTTGCGCAGCACAGACGCGGAAGGGATTGGGCCAGGTTCTTCCGGGACGGGAGGCTTGATTACATACCTATCTGCGTACACTAGGTAGACTATGGCGGGCATATGTAGCGAGGTACATGTATGTAGGCATGTTGTACTGAAACTAGGTAGGTACCTACCTACTGTAGGTAGATACTGCCTACTACCAGTGCCCATTGAGTAGATATTCCGTATTGTACGGTTTATTGATCTTGAATTGATTATCATCCCTGACCTGGGCATCCGAAAGCGATTTGACGTCAACAATGTTCAAAACCATATACTAGATATAACATGATAATCAGAGATCACTACGAAACAACCCGATGTCCATTTCTATTGTTTTCATTCGCGGTATTGTGAAGCTACTTTGGTAGCAGTAGTCCCAAGCGAAAGTCCGTAATCTGACGTGTAGCATATTTAGTGTAAGTGTACGCTGAGTTTGGTAACAAGCGCATGCATGTTCGTATATCTAGGTATGCATCCGAGTCAATCCTTAGAACACAGATATGTCATGATACATGATTGACCTACCTACCTACCTACCTGTAGGCAATAGATAATGCACGCCTGATATATTCGATATAAAAGAAATTCTAGCAGAGGTAGCTACACGAGTAGGACAGAGGTGGGCACTTAAGTAATAGTACCATGTATGCCGGTAGTAGGTAGAGCGAATGTTGGATAGGAGTGATGGCGTCGTCCTTCTGCTTAGCTGATGGAGGGGCAGATACCATGCCTATGTACGTAGTACTGTATGTATGTAGAGTGGGCGGCAGGTACACTATCTAATAGAAGTAACATGGGACTCTACCAGGTACACAGTACAGCAACCTCAAATGGATACCGGTAGCTAAATATGTACTTAGTACCTCTTCCAATTCTACTAGCACCAGGAGTGCTGGCACAGCGTACCTACTTAGGCCAACCATCGATAGGCCCAGCACGCTTCCCTCTACTTACGTATATGTATACTGTACCTAGGTACTTCATAGGTAAGTATACCTAGGTAGGTTAGCTACTATTGCATGTAGTCGGATACCGGGCCCTCCCAAGCGGTTTGCTTAAGACGCTATGGCCTCCCTGGGGCCTCCCTGGGGCATACTGGGGGCCAACAGAACAAATAGTGTAGTGCCGTCAGGAGGACAGGTAGACCCCTTGTCTTCTGCCCCCTGTCTGCAATCCCTGCACAGCTAACGCACGCTACCACAGTAGCGCCAGGTAGCACCAAGTACCTAACCTGTAGTGCGCACCTCTGGGCACCTGCACGCAGCAAAACCGCAGCCAGAGAACCACCAGCATCGCCTCCTCTTTCGCGAGTAACCCCCCAATAGCCCCCCCCCCCCTAGTCAGCATCGAATTCGTCCTTCGCCTTTACCTCACTGCCTACCTACCTACCGTAGCCCACCGAACAACCAGGGCGCTTCTTCCACCACTCAAACCTCGTCGAGCCTGTCCTCATTTCTCGACCTGAGATCACAGGTCGACCCCTCCTACGTATATGTTTGTCTACTATATCGTCTAGTACGTTCGCAGCGCTTGCGAGGCAATCGCGAATCTATCAAACAAACCCACGCGAGGCCAATAGGAGTGCCATTGACGGGGACCTGGGTATTTTTGGCTTGGTTGGCTCCGTCGCACTCCGCCTTTTCCCCCCTGCCTTTCATTCATCAATCAACCTGCGCTTGAATGCTGTACCTCCTTTTATCGTCATCCAGCACAGACGCTCGCTGCTCGACGACCCGGGTCGAAAATCTCTCTGTTTCTGCAGTCTGAACAACAACACTCGCTATCCGTTACGTCGCACGAGAGCCGCCGGCCTGTCTTGATTCATCCGACCAGACTGGCCATCCGGCCTCGGTGTCTCACCTCATACGACGTGGTCCGGTCTACTGTTGTGCTTGTCTTTAGTCCAGGCAGACTATGACTTGATCTTACCCGCATTTTCTGTATCAACTTCGCCACAACCAAACAGCTTGTGATATCACGATGCTCATGACACAGTCCCCAGTCACTGCAATAGTCACTGCACAAGACTCCAATACGTACAACTCACGTAACCGTTCTCGATCTAACACGTACGATACCAACCCTGATTCTGCTGTCGACCTTTCTGCCTCGGCGTCATCGTTGGGCCGCTCCAGCGGTGATCGCAATTACTACAATTATAATTTCAAGATGAATGGGTTAATAAGTGCCTCACCTCCGGGCACCTTGTTTGTGCGGGCGCTTTACGATTACGAAGCCGACGACCGGACAAGTTTAAGCTTCCATGAAGGCGATGTTATTCAGGTTATCACGCAGTTGGAGAGTGGATGGTGGGACGGTGTGATAAACGGGGTACGCGGATGGTTTCCCAGCAATTATTGTCAAATCATCACGAATCCAGATGAGATGCCCGATCCAGCGCAGAATGGTGAGCCCTATCGAGAAGAATATGATGATGATTATGGAGACGAGGCCGAGAATGAGATGGAATCGGACTTGGATGAATTGAATCACTCGTCCTTTGGCGGAGAACGAAATACAAGCAGCAGGTCTGGAGCAGATTTCTGGATCCCACAGGCTACACCTGACGGTAGGCTATTCTATTTTAATACCATGACAGGTGAAAGCAGTTCGGAGCTGCCTCTCGAGTCACCCACTTCACTAAACGAGAGCGGGCCTCGTGATAGAATGCATGTAAACATCCCAGAGAAGACGCGACCGCCACCTGAACTATTGGCACGAGGTCTCGTGGATGATGACTCGGATGCAACTTCAGCGTCCGAACTCGACGGTGAATCACTACTGATGAGTTCGATGAGCTCAATAGTAAGTATCACCACTTATGGCACTCTTAGCCTGATGTAGCTGCTTACTTCTCCTTGCTAGCCCTCACGACAACGGCGCGCATTTGCCCACGACAGTATAGGTATATCGCCTTCGCCTTCTATGGACTCGATCAATGGTGCCTCAACGGGGACAAGATCTCGAGCTGACACTGGATTGACTAATACTACAATCCCAACGTCTGCTGGGCTGGGCCCCGCACCAGTTCTAGGGTCGGCCACATCCTTCACTGGAACCAGCTACAACTTGCCGCAACCTGCAAATCTACCCAATTCCTGCTTTGATTCTGGCAGTGCGGACCCCTTGACATGGCCCCTGCTTATAACAAATATGAAGAAAGCTATTGACAGGTACCGCGAGGCGATTACAAATGGCAACCGGTCCGAATATGTTAGCCGAGCTGAAGATATCTCAGACCATCTACGATTACTTCTCGCTGCCGGTTCGGGCACCACAGATAACCACTCCGGACAGCCTTCCATCATTTCCACTAACAAAGCGCTTTACCCTCACTTCCGTGATATGATGTCAAAGTTCTCAAAGCTAGTAATCTCATCACATATCGCAGCCGCTGACTGGCCAAACGCCGAATCCGTACAAAAGTGTTTGCAAGAAGCGGAGGGCGTTTTATTGGGAGTATTCAGCTTTGTTGATGTTGCGAGGCAGCAAAGAGGCGAGGCAATCCCTCGACTCTTTCCCGGTTTCGTCATCGGAAGCACCGTCGGAGGGAATTGGCAAAACAATGCGCTCGGCCCACGTGACCCCTTCATGTCGAACTACTTGGAAGACGACGATGGCATACCTGAGCCCACGAATGTGCTAGACGGTAAACTTCTAGACCGATTAGACGAACTCCGTCGAATGCTAGTCTCAAGTATTAGAGAGTTGGAGAAAAGCCTCAGTGTTCCGGACAAGATCGTCACGCCTTACAAACATGAGCTCATTGCAAATAACGTCTGCTCAGCGGGCAGCAAGGTTTTGGAAATGTTCAAGCCCTGGTTTGCCACAATCGAGTCAATTGACCTCTCATCCTTAGAAAATAACTTTCGAACACCTCAGTTGGCCGACTTCGCCATTAACAAGCAGAGCTTATACGACAATATCTCCGATATACTCTTGGCTTGCCAAGCTGTCGCTGGACCGTTAGGAGACGAGTGGGCTGAGGTCCGTGGTGAGCCTTTGGACCTCAGATTAGAGTTTACTCGGCAGTGTGCCAGAGCTTTAGAGACAAATTCTACGCACGTCACATTTGCATTACAACTTCTCTCAGAGCAAGTACATGCTAGTCTTCAACAGCAGCAAGAACAGCAGAGTGCCCGTCCACGTGACGATAACGTAAGAGGCACTCTCCACAGAGGCGAAACAATGCCGTATAATGGAACCGCACATGCTCGGTCCGAATCTCGCAGTGTATTAATGCGACCGCCACTTATCAGCTCGCAATCGTTCAGCGAGGGAGATAATACTGCACCTAACAACTTCAGGAAGGGTGACTTGTCAAAAGTTAGGAAAATTTTGGGAGATGACCCCACCCCTCAGACTGCTATTCCGCCGGTCGATGAGCCATACTTACGCCTTGACTTGGAACACGATTTGTCGTGGGATATGAAGACATCACCACCCTCGGTGAAAGGCGGTTCCCTGCTGGCGCTGGTAGAACAACTTACTCGTCATGATAAGCTTGACTCGAACTTTAACAACACTTTCCTGTTGACCTATCGATCCTTCACGACCTCACGAGAGCTTTTTGAACTACTCGTCAAACGTTTCAATATCCAGCCTCCAGAGGGTCTAAGCAACAGCGACTATGAGGCTTGGAGGGATCGGAAACTAAAGTTTATCAGATTCCGTATCGTCAACATTTTGAAGAGTTGGTTCGAAAATTTCTGGATGGAGGAGCCTAATGAAGAATCCATGCAAATAATACGTGATGTTTACGCATTCGCGGAACATACTCTCCCGTCCACGGAAACGCCAGGAGCTAAAGGTCTTAGCAGTGTCTTGGAAGCACATCTTACGGGCCAAGAAGTCTCCAAGAAGCGTCTGGTACAAACATTCGCTAACAACATTCCTACACCGATCATGCCCAAGAATATGAAGAAACTAAAGTTTTTGGATATCGATGTAACGGAGTTTGCGCGTCAGTTAACTATCATCGAGTCGAAGCTATATGCGAAGATTAAGCCGTCAGAGTGTCTTAATAAGACATGGCAAAAGAAGGTTGCTGAAGGAGAGCCAGAGCCTGCTCCTAACGTGAAAGCCCTCATCTTACATTCGAATCAAATGACAAATTGGGTGGCAGAAATGATCTTGTCTCAGATGGATGTCAAGAAGCGAGTTGTTGTAATAAGGCATTTTGTGTCTGTTGCAGATGTAAGGAACCATATCTTACTGATCTTATAACAATGGTCACTAACGATTATAGAAATGTCGTGGCATGAACAACTTTTCGACGCTAACATCTATTATTTCTGCCCTCACAACAGCTCCTATAGCTCGCCTGAAACGAACGTGGGACCAAGTCCCCGCTCGTACCAACGCAGTATTAGAGAGTATGCGGCGACTAATGGCCAGCACAAAGAACTTTGCCGAATATAGAGAGGCTTTGCATACCACCAACCCTCCATGTATTCCATTCTTCGGTGAGACTCATTATCGGGCCATACGCAAATGGATAACCACTAACAGTTTGCCCATTTTTAGGTGTGTATCTTACGGATCTGACCTTCATAGAAGACGGCATTCCTTCGATACTGAAGAAGACAAATATGATCAATTTTGCCAAGCGTGCAAAGACGGCCGAAGTGATTCGTGATATCCAACAATATCAAAATGCCCCATACGCCCTGCAGCCGGTTCCCGAGTTGCACGATTATATTCTAAGCAATATGCAAGCTGCATGCGATGTGCATGAGATGTACGACAAAAGCTTGCAGGTCGAACCTCGTGAACGCGAGGATGAGAAAATTGTCAGGTACGTATCATCACTCTAGCAGTGCAAGAACTTGAAGCCCCCTCTTGATGTTTCAGTCATTATCGCTAATTCAAATGAACGTATAGAGTCTTAGCTGAATCTGGCTTCCTGTAAGCGACTTGACGTCACCGGGTGTGTTTACTATTTCAGGCATTGCTACTCCCTCGCAGAACAGATGTTCTAGGAGGATATCAGAGCCTTTGCACCGTGGCCCCTTCCTGTGACCACGGGTTTCACTGTGACAGGAGTCGACTTCCCTCCCTTCCCAACAGGCACTCAGGCAGATAGATGTACAAAACACAATTCCATCGGACAATCTGTTAATGAGAACGATATACAATGATGGGTGCAAACAGCGCCAAGTGCAGCTTAGCCTGCCAAGATTAGTTACGAATATTACAGGGACTCCTGGTAACGTCAAAAACTGGAGTGTACGAGATTTTCACAAGCGAGCAGGCTCTAAATTTACATTTGCAAGAATAGGATTTCACATGGCATGTTAGTCTTAGGACCGGGAATGTAGAATCCCAATAATTGTTCGAATGGACTGGAAATTGGCGGGGGCAGTTGTTAACAACGGAAGGGCTTAAAAAGCCCCCATATTCATGATGATGACGGAACAAAATACAGCTAGGTCAACGAGGCATGAAAGACGATCTCAGCATGGCACAGGATTTGTTATATCTCGATATCAAACTCTCAAAGTTACCATGTTGGACGGTGTAAAGAGAGGATAATCCTGTTGGTATTGTCCTATTTTTCTTCTACACGGTATAGACAAAGGTTAGAAATGCCTTTACAATGGAAGTTCCTCCCCGAACAAGTTTGTGGGACTCCTACCTACTACTGTTTATGTGCCTTTTCTGGTTGGTGATACAACCCACTCTCAAAGAATATCGTCCGTCTTATGCGCAGTAAGAAACGAACTCGCGTCAAAACATGTCAAGCTATGAGTTGGTCTAACCATTGTAGACGTGACATATTGTTAGGCTATCCCTTATTCTTCATCACAGGTTTATCCTATCATTCTTGCCTACGCTGTAGGGGTAAGTTAAAAAAAAAAAAAAACAGCAGGGGGGTTAAGGAGGGGCAGCTCAGCTGCGAAGAAGGAAGATCAACGCCGGATTGTTGATTGGACTGCTGAAGAGTTGGCGGGACGCACCGTTGCGGCGCGGGGCATACCTTTCTTATAACAACACTCTGTGCGTGGATCAATTTAAGCAATACAGCGAGCATTAGGGAGGTCTTCTTTGTGTATAACACATACTGTTATAGCATAGTAGATAGGCTTTTCTCGCTTATATGTCTATGTTTAGATCGTGCTCTCAAGTACCAAGTATGGTACCGTACTCTACTACCATGTAGATGCATGTCAGTCTTTGCTACCTACCCACCCACTCACTCACCCATATCACTCAATTTTTTTGTCTTTGAAACAGTCTGCTTGGTAGTGGTAGCTCTGGAGTATGGTAGGGTTGTTGCAGTGTCTATTTTCAGACATGTTTGTTTCTTGCACTGTACTCGTGATCTTTTTTCTTTGTGTGCCTTACCTACGCCTCTCGGTCTCCGTATGAGACGTGAGCTGGGAATGAGAAGAGAAAACGAAGAACTAGGCATGCGTCTTTCTGTACTCAGTTATGTGACAAGTCACACAGGTTGCGTATGTGCACCTTTGACAAATATGTAGGCAAGCAAGATTGGGCGAACAAAGAAAAACAAAATCATGTGATCTGTCTAGTAATGGATTACTGTGTACCTTTGGTGGGATCTTCAGAGATCATCCGCAAGGGATAATTGAAATCATGCTTAGGTAGGTGGCCAATTACATGACTTATACATACGCAGCGTAGTAGTGTAACATGAAAACGACCGTTTGAAGACCAACGAAAAGGACGGGCACGATGAAAGTTAGAGAGAGAGCGTGGTCTATCAAGCCGGCCGGCTCGGCTGCTGTAACTAATCTGGTACATTACCGGCCCGAATAATCCATAAGTATGTGGGATGTTGTCAGCCATTTCCCGATTTGAACGGTGGCCGATTGACTAATCGCAATAAGGGCGAATAGAACAGGAGAGGGATAGGGCTTTCGTGGATGCTGTTGGGAAAAGCAGGATGGAACCGAAAGGCGTCGGGATCAGATGCCTACTTGGCAGATCCTTCGAAGGATGTGTTTCCACGCGCTGAAGGAAAGACCATGCAGGAAACGCCGCCTCTCGTTGTGCCTGACAGGTATATGATTGTACCGCGAGGTAACTAGCTGGCTCCGGCATCTTGACAGCGGAATGACGAGTAAGTATGCTTATCACTTTGTGTTGCATTTCTGACATAATGGTGTAGCGTGTGTAGATCAGCAGGTCAGCGGGAAAGTGACAGAATCCTCCTTAGGCGCGCGAGCCTTGGCATGTTGATATTGTTATGGTTGGATTCCTTTGACGTGCATATGTGATGCCGCAGGTAGGTACCGAGGTTGGCAACCGAGATGTGCGTAACGTAGATGTCAGTGTTTCATTCTGGAAGGAATGGTGAAGGATGATGTTGGAGAAGAGGTGGGCGGTATACTGATTTGTTCGATTTCCGTTAGAGCGAAGTTCCGTTTTATCTGATCACATGGCCAACGCAACGCCATATGCTAAATTAATGAGATGAATGTGAGATTCCGGTGCCGAATGTGTAGTTTGTGATAATATGCATGGCCTCTCATAGATGTACAACTCGTTAAGTTGCTAAACCAACGGACACGGAATGCAGCATGAAACCTCACTTTTGAGAAGGAACAGTCATCTAGTAGTTATTCACAGATCAAGTGTACTCAGATGATTCTCGAGTCCGATTTACTTTCAGTTACGAGCGTCTCCTGATAGTGTATGATATCTGCAATCATGGTAAAAAGAACATACCTCCTTCAGGTCACTATTTACATACGTAAGGATGAGTATATTCAGTTGAAATTGGGATTCCTGATAAGAAGCGTACCTCTGATATACAGGTTTGCCTATTGATATCTCTGCCAACAATAGCCGGTGAATTGTTATGTACCCTCCAGAATAACACGACACTTAACAACCTCTTTCGCGTTAACGCAGAATAATCATTTCATTTCATGTCTTTGAAAGCCTCTAATGTTTGATCACGCTCTCCCTTGGCGAAGTTTAACAGGATCTCGACCTTCTCTCCTGGGCACTGGTGAGACGATGGTCATGTAACAAAGATTTTCTACAGAGGGTTACATTAGCCTCTTTCCCGTTGTTACACGTGTACAAGCTGAACATGCAGTACGCCTTGTGCTTCGGCCGTACGAAAGGCCATTGCGGGCTGTTCATCGTCTTCAAAGACATGCAGGCAATTTTGGAAAATGATGTTATACAGACTTCGCTTCATGAAACAAGCCAATGAGACCTAGGCGGTCAGGGCTGGAAGACGAGTTATATATAGAATCGAGTCAAGTCACCAACGCCAAGAAGGAATTGGTTGGTCAAGAACTCCTGTAGCCCTAGTGGACCATTGTAATGTGAATAACTTCAGTTCCAAGCCCAGTCACCTGCCCTCGTTATACCCATCCTGTCCGGGACAAGCACCGTCGTCTATATCTCATTAGTCGCGATTAAGACGACGAACGCAATTGCTCGCTAATTCAGTTGAATGATAGAATGAATATTATGAGGATTAGAGACAGTGAGACGATCTCCTTGTTGTGCTAAGTCGTAGGTCGGATTGGCCGGCCAGTCTTGCGAGTGCTTAACTCACATAATCAATGACTTAACCATAGTCTTGTGATATCGTCATTGGGCCAATTGGCTAGGTGGAGCGTAACTTCATGAGATTATCATGAAAACCTCCAGTATCTGACGAGGGGTGGTACCAGTTTAGAACACCTGTCTTTCCATAGTTAGCACATAGAGTAATCTTAGAATATACTCTTTCCTCAGTACGCTATACATCGAGAAATCCAAAACCACTTTATAAGCTAAGAGGCATAATTAACGCGACCAAAAAAGATTCCTATACGTAAAATGAAACATACTTCCACCAACTCCTAGATTATTATCTATAAGAATGTCTAGTTCAGGACACAACCCAATTATCAAAGTTACCAAGACACACGGTCAGGCATTATACTGACTTATATATGAATCTCGTCAAGCCAATTATATTCATTTTGGAAGAAGTTTGATGTCTGTAATCAGTGGCGATGGCTTCTAGGTGTGACACCCTTCACTCCCATGCTGACCGCAAACTCCATAGAGGAATTTTGAATTGTTGTGATTATTTAGATTTACAAGTTAGGCAGCTATGTATGCGCCAGTATGCAATTATATTCAGCTATCGGCACACGTAGATGGAGGTTCTAGCAAATCTCACCACTAACAGTATAATTATGTCTATTTACGGCCTACTACCTCCTACAATGCCAACACGCCCGCCTTCGTTGTGTCGTAGTAAGATTCAGACAACAGTATGCTTCTAAATACGAATTGTTATTAATTTTTAGTCCAAATAAATATGATGCCCAGAAGACTAACTTCAGCGGCACGAAAACGAGGCTGGATGTCGCAAGGGATGCCCAATAAGTGGCGCATGAAATACCCAGTCGAGGCGGTGTAAGAAAAAAGTAAAAGACTTAACACGTTTATATTCAATGCAAAGTCCCTCACTTTTTTCTTTTACCGCCTCACTAATCTAATCAATTTGGGATTTTGCACTGCAATCTTAGCGCCCTCTCAAGGGCTCAGGGACACCAGATCTGATAAAGAATGCTTACCCCTTATCCTCACGCCCCAAGTCAGGTGAAAAGGATTGTACTTATCTCGCCGCAATGCTCTTATAACACAAGGTGATATACTTCAAAGTAATCGTCTCTGTGTCTAAGAAATAACCGTGGGTATTGGTCTCGGAGTCGCTCTCTACGTTCAGGAAAAGGGCGAAGAAGAAGTCAAAAGTAATAGTGTCTCTAGCAAGATAGGACATCAGACAGCAGACTAACACTCAACGAGACTGTACACTGAAGGGGCCAAGAGCCGGATACAAGTGCCAGTCAACATGCGCATCGCAATTATATATAAAGTACATGAAATATATCAGTAGAAACAGTCATTCAACGTGCAAAAACAACCAAGTCAGTCGACAGGTGACCCCTGTAGGAAGAGATAGGCCAGTATACTACTCAAGAGTCGTGAGTATGCGTATATTGACTGGCTGCTGAGGGGCAGCGTTAATAGGACACTCATTAATCAATTGTATTCCAGCCCTTCTGCCATATCCAATTCTCATCATCGCCATGGGGAATATGGTCAAATAAGCGATAGAGATACTCGAAGCGCTAGACGCGAATTTTAATTCACATACTTGAACATATTCGACACTAGCAAAGTATACTCAGGGGGAAAGCCTGTTGCTTTTGTCATTGAATAATAAAGTCATAATTTAGTAAGCTAATTATTGAATAGTACATAAAAAGAATATTTGACATAGTACAACGCTGCCCACGTAATTACACCTTGTCAGCCGACATCTAGTGTCGGTGCAACTTGTCCTTGATCTTTTGACCTAAGCTTTTCTTCCCCGATGTTGGGCTGTCGTTGTTATCGGCTGGGCCGCTTGATGAGTCGGCGGAGTTGTGTATGCCCTTTTCCTCCATTAAGCCTTCAAAGGAGGGTATGTTAGTCATGCATTAATTGATCATATAAGCGTGAGGAATGACTTACGATCGGCCTCTCTGCCAGCGCCGGGGTTGGTAGCATCGAAATCTCCGCCATCTGCTTGCAGACCACTGCTCTTGACGTACTGCTCTCCAGTTCCACTGCTCTTCTTGCTATCATCATCTTCAACCTCCTTCTTTTCGTCCTCTGCTTTAGTTTTGTCTACCGAAGACGAGCTGTCGTTGCCAGCGTCGCCACCATTCTCCTTGGCTACCTCTGCGAGTGGCTTGGGTCCGGGACCGTCAAGCTTCTGAGCCTCGTTTACACCCGCTTCGTCGGCATCATTGACGTCGGTAGGGGCAGACTTTGGGTTCGTCTTGGGGTCTTCTGGAGGCCTCGTGTCACCCTGGCCACTACTGGTGTCATCAGGGCCAGACTGTACTTTGAGGTCGTTTGATGGATTATTAGGAGTATCGTTGCCCTCGGCGGCAGTACCGGTCGTCTTAGCAAACTGCGCAGACTCAGCAGCCTCACCGTTGACTTGGCTGTGAGTTGTGTTCCCAGCCGTGTCTTCAGTCGACGCTACTTTCCCCTGGTCTCCGCTTATGGGCTCTATGGTGTAGGGGTCAGTATAAGAGGTTGTAGAGGTAATCTAGCGTGTGAATGACGTCACACAGAGACGTGGTCAGTAAACCTAACATACCCATGTTTCCAGCGTCGTATGGCTCGCCTTTTGATGTGTCCCCAACGCGGCCGGAGACAGGCTCCTCAGTGGTTGGATTGCTTTCGCCCCAGACTGCCTTGGCAGCGGAGGCGGCCATGTTGTTGATAGTCTCCATGATGAGAAGTATTGATACTATATTGGGGCTATAAGGCTCGATTGATTCAAAGTGGCTAGGTATATGTGTAGATCTGATTGGCGGCCGTAGTCGTTCAAGGTGGCTGGTCTATGAGAGAGGAGTGTAGGTGAGGCTTAGAGATATAGGGAAGAAATAGCACAGGACCTAAAGTCTTGGAAGGAAAGCTTATGGTTATATATTTTGAAGAGGGGCAGACAAAATTCACTTATGAAGTTGGCAGGAGCTTGGAAATCTCTGACGTCTTCTCTTTGTTTAGGCCGGCGCAGTTATCCGACCAATGCGCCTTCGGGATATAACTTAGGTAGGTATTACATACCTATACCTACCTAGGTAGCAAAAGGATGCATTGTAGCAGTGGGCTACGCTACCTGTTCGGGGGACGGGATGGACAATGAAACAGGTATTGCTTTCGTCGTCCTCCTAGGCGAACGAATCCCTCGGAATACGCCAGTGGCAGCCTGACGCAATACCCTCTCCCAACTTGTAAAGCTATTGGTGTGGTTAGTTTGTTGGTATACAGGCTCGACAGGGTCTGACAGGGCGTAGCCCAACTTGTGTTTTCGCGCCTGGAAGCATTAGCCACGAAGCTGCCGTAGCCTGGCATTATTTGCGAGCCCGCATGATATGGCCAGATATGGCCAAGCAATATCTCTCAGCTCCTAGTACACCGTCTTGGACGGGAATTGATGTGATGATTACTTAGTCTCTATTGGTGTAGTGCTGGAGCTTCATTCATACCGTCGACGACACAAAAGTGGGTGCTTTAGAAGCAATGACGTCGGTGGGGTAAAAACCACCCTCACCGACGTCATCCTTCTTCGACTTTATTGGTGCTTCGATACCGACACCCGAGAACTGTTGTCTTATCCTCCCTCAATTAGGTCGCATCCCTTTGTTATATCTTATCATATTGAAGGTAAAGTCTATCGTTGTGCTGCCATTTTCGATTCGGAAAGGTATTTTTTTTTTTTTTTTTGAGGGAGGAAGGCAGTACAGGCGTTGGAAGAATGTAGGCTATCGCGAAGGATCTTTGAGATCATATATCTAGACCAATGAAGAAAGGTAATGAGATTCTAACTACCTACTTCTGGGTACAGCCGCAATCTTGACCATGCAAAATCTGGCACCACTGCTTCGGGCTATGCTGTGCTCCTTCCCGTTAAGAGATGACTTTGAGAGTCTCCTTTGCCGGGTCTGGCCGGGATAATATTACCATACAACGAGTGTCCAAATAGATCTTCACGTATTGTTTCTCTACACGCCTATCCAAATCTTTACAATCGAAACATGCCACTCCAAAGTTGATGCTGCTCTTCTATATGCACATTGTTGGTGCAAATCGTCCCCAGCGCTATTCTATATTGCACACTATTTCTTTACTGACCACCAAGAGCATGTTGATTATGTGAAAGGTTGGGAATAGTCTGAACATGAACCTAAAAAAGGAAAACGAAAAGGTAGGCTGTATCCTATCAGTCGTCTGGCGCCATGATATCCACTACTTCGTAAGTCGTAGTAAATCCAAACGTCGGACTATTCCGACTGCATTTCTAAGAGTAGCTCGGTAGTGGTCAACCTTCGGTCGCAAGGTATTCTCGAGAGGGCTTGTGCTTCCTTCGGTGACTGCAACGAATCATAGCTGATCTAGGAGATGAACGGGGGAGAAGATTATGCTATTTTTGGTGTTAGTTGCCTTCCTGGGCGCGGGAGCCACTAATTGCCGTGAGCTATTGCAGTGTAGTGCGTGTCAACTGCCCTCGCCGCCCTCCAAAGTCAGGGATATGGCATTGCTCATTAATCGTGCTCATTAGTAGTGCTCATTAGTACCTGGCGAGCTGGGCATTGAGCAAAAGTGGCCGGGAATTGTAGTACCGAGTACCGTAGGTACCTACCTATGTAGGTAGTAGGTACGAGATAGGTAGGTGGATAGCAAGTATGCCGGGGATGGTAATAAGTAGATTCAACACCCAGGGTAGGCAAGGCTCTTGAGCTTCTCAATCTAGAGCGATTAAGTGCTTATAGAGGGTATTTCTGAGAGCACCAGACTTGGGCAAGACATGTAACTATAGGTAGGTAGTTACATGAGCCACAAGAGTGTGGTCCGGCAGATCTCACGTGCGGCAAGAAAATCCATTGACCACCGACCACATACCGTTCTCATACCGATACTACGATATCTCGGGATAGGATACCTGCAGAGATCCGGGACCGTGACGTCAAATGATCGACTATTGTAGTCCTCTTTCCGGCAAGGATTCAAGTCGCGGTAGGCCCGAATTACTTGACACTGGCGAGGCGGTGCAAGAAAAAAGTAAGAGACTCTGCACTGAACACAGAGCTGTTAAGTCTCTCACTTTTTTCTTGCACCGCCTCGACTGGTATATTTACGGACAGGGTTAAATCTGCAGTAGGTCCCACACTGGATCTGCAGTATACAGCTGCCGACAGCTGCAATAGCCTATAACGCGCCATTAGCACCGTTTTCCCCACACTATCTACACCTTCCTACACCTACCTCACTACTTCACTTCTATATAAACTTTAACAACCCTTACGATCTATTAACTTAATCACTTTTATAATACTTCTATTAACTTATTAACCTATATAGTATAATTAATTTATATAAAATTTATATATAAATTTATTTATATAGAGGTTTTCGAACTTAAGGAAACGTAAAGCTTAAAGGGGTAACCAACAACCTACGATAACCTTCCACTTTGCGAGCCTCAATTTAGGTTTTGGCATGTATACAGTGTGCAAATGTCGCAGCCAGCTGAAGTGCACCTGTGAACACCTGATTACTGCAGATCCAGTGTGGGACCTACTGCAGATTTAACCCTGTCCATATTTACGACCTGCCCTCTGCATAAGTACATTGCTCGATCGGTTGCAAACAATGGTCACCAATTCTCAAGCAGTCTTCAGTGCATCTCTTGCAACGTCGGATGGCCCGCTTGACGGGAATTACCCATGTATGAAGCGGTATGTTTAGGCCACCCCTATCGCTCGACCTGCCTCTCTGAGATTATGGGGAACCGGCTTCAAAGCTGCCATGCAGCTGTGTTGTAACGTCGATGACCAGCTAGATAGTATGTTCGGGTTGAACTATGAAATACGAGCTACAGCAGAGAATTAATCATCATGAAGATATAATGTACCATACAAAGAGAAGGTGGAAGTACCTACCTAAGTGGGTAGGTAGCTGATAAGCCGAGGCTCATACACAATGAATTCTGCTGATACTTCGAGGCTTGGTGTGTTACCTATGTGGCACACCTACTTACTGAGTAGCACATAACACATACCTAACACAGAAGCCGAGCATGCTGATTTTAGGACTTCAATGCTGCACAGCCTTGCATCTATAAGTAAGCTTAAATCCAAGGGCGAGATTTATACGATGACTTTTACACACTACCGTTCCAGACACCGTTCGATAGTGGATACGGGGTCTGCATGATCATCCTCCAATCCTTCGTTCAAGGTCACGTTACAGGCTCGACTAGCTCAGGCGATCTTCATCGCGGAGGAACGCCAGGTCTGCGCCAGGGATGAACCATGAGGGGAAACAGCAAAGCTACCTTCTCTAAATAAATATGATGGCGTTAGATCCGGCGTCAGCCCGGTCTTCGTAAGCGCGCAGCGGGATGGCCTTAACAAGGCGTATAAGATGTCGTGAATGACCCTGCGTGGTTGAGACGTATCTCACATATCAGCCCTACCCGTTTAACCGGTGTGCTGTCGCCCGTACGAAGACTCGAGCTACTCGAGTCCAATTCCTCAAGATGGTGGCCTTCAAACCTGCGAGCTGGTTTGCCCAGTACTTTGCTCTTCTAGCACCGTTTGTTTCTACTGCGAACGCTGCCCCTCCGGACGACCACCGCGTGGTTCTATACTACCAGACCGGACTGGCATCTGGCGATAGCCATGTGTCTTTGCTGCCTCTCATCCAGGCCGAGGACACAATCTCGGCTACTCATGTCCTCATTGCTGCATTGCACGTAATTGACGATGATGGCGGCCTCCATCTGAACGACGATCCCCCGGATAGCGACGTCTTTGACGAGATGTGGAGCGAAGCTGCGCAACTTCAGGCTGCTGGTGTTAAGGTTATGGTTATGATCGGAGGCGCCGCACGAGGCAGCTTTGAACGTTTGGATGGTGACGACGCTTCATTCGAGAGATACTATGCCCCGATCCACGATCTTGTTGGCGCACATAACATCCAAGGCTTGGATCTCGACGTAGAGGAGAGCTTCTCTTTGAACGGCATCATCCGCCTAATCGACCGCCTCAAGGCAGATTTTGGCTCCGACTTTAGTATGCATTCTCGCATTTCATTCATTTTCAGTGGATAAAATCCCTGCTGCTACACATTCTTTGTTATATCGGCGAAGACCACAGAGCTGGTCCAGGGCCTGTCACACGCAAATACTCTCTAACGCTGGTTTTCGTATAGTCATCACGCTCGCACCCGTTGCTTCTGCGCTCACTGAGGGCGGTGGCAATCTCAGCGGTTTCAACTATTTCGATCTTGAAGCGCAGCGCGGTAGCTCGATTGCTTTCTACAACGCCCGTGAGTTGACTCCGCAAGAAACACTTGTTGTGCCCGTTGCCCTTCGAAGGCAGTGGCCACTCTTGTGATCACTGCACGTCGTATAGCACTACTTCTTTTTTTAATTTTTATTTTTTTATAAGAAATAGCTACTGATGTGGACCAGAGTTTTACTTCGGCTGGGGATATGCTGGAAGTGCAAGCGACTATGAGAGCATTATCGACGACGGCTTTGCTGCAAACCGGGTTGTAATGGGTCGTAAGTATTGTTTCTTTGGCAACTTTCCCTTTTCGCTCGGTATCAAGGGTAAAGAGCTCTCACCTGGGCAAAGAGACAAACCCCTAAGAGTACTGCCATTTGAAGACGCTCCTAAGTCTTGTCCAAATCGAGAGTTTACTGACCGAAAATGTTCCAGTGTTGAGCAGCCCCGACAATGGCAGCGGCTACGTTTCTCTCGACTCGCAGGCTCCCGTGCTGCAAGAACTCATCACAGAGAATGGAGCATTCGGCGGTGTCGCTAACTGGGAGTACTTCAACTCGCTCCCTGGCGGCAAAGATGCTCCATGGCAATGGGCTTCCTGGATGGCCGAGCATATGGTCGCCGCCAGAAAGATGGAAAGGGCTGAGGTCTCATCTTCGGAAGCACTCTGGCGCGGCGTCAGGAAGCTTGGTCGCCGGATGCGCCGTGAGGCCAAGAAATCATACCATCACTATATCGCATAGACAAGGTGTCAGTCATGTCGGCGGGTTTCTTAACGGATACCCCATCTCTCAATCCGACAGAGGGCAGGCGACCATACACAATATTGGTAGCCATGAATCTGGGGAGATGGCCATGCACATCTCTTATCGCCCAGTCAACTTAAAGCCTTGTCATTCAGGAGTAAACTTTCAATTTGCGTAATCTGTGTGTCTGTGTGTCCCCGCGGTGTCCGTGTAACTATAACAGTAGCTTTAATGTATTCCGCTATTCGAGTGCCTGATTCTGCACCCAGAGGTCCTTCACCATAATCCAAGTGCTTGAAGCTATGCCATCTGTGATTCATATCTACTATCCATTATCTTTCCCTTGAGGTATACTCTGTACAAATAGAATAATCGAGCACCTTTTATGTGCTAAATAAGCAGAGAGAGTAGTAACGTCGCACCAAGCGGCATCGGGACATTAACAAGGCTCATCCTGTCGAACGCGCGGCTGTCGCATCGCGAGTGCTCTACTATGCCTACTATATATATAAACATAGTTCCATTGCAATCTCAAGGTTTTTAAGAATTGTGATAGCGGTTTTCGTAAGCCTCGAGAGTTGGATGTTGTCGTGTGCTCGTTACGTACATAAGTACGAATTTCCAAGGCTAGATACCTTAGACTAGGTACCTACCTACCTACCTTAGGTACACGTACAATGAGTGCTGTAGCGTATTTCTAGGTGTCATCACAGCAATTCTGGTCTGCCTGATTGGCGCATCATCGGACAGGCGGTACCGTACCCGACGAGAACCTCTGGAACTTAGGTACCGTAGTCTATCTACACAATAGAATACATACTTAGTAGGTATATAGCACTACATATAGGTACCTAGGTAGCAATTCATCTCACCCCGGGTTGTTTCAAGACAGACCTGATCCACTTAGTTCATTCCCCTTTGGGATGCTTACATGTACATTTGCTGGTTCAAGGCCGGCGATGGCATATTTTTTATTTTATTTTATTTTCTTGCAAGCTGTTCTTATTGGCCTATAGTACTGCTACAGCTCTAGTAGTGGGAATGCATAATTGTTCGATTTGATCGATTGGTGGACCCCTTCAATCTGCGCGTGTCCTGTCTTTCTGTCTTTCTGTCTTTCCTCCTTTCTTCCTTGATAACACACTGTTGAGACGCAATCCCGATCCTGTCCCGGCCATTCGCTGCGCGAATTTAAACTACAGTAAGTTGTACTCCGTACCTAGCAGTCTGCTGAGATCTGCGCCATACCAGCCATACCAGCCACCAGCCTGTCGAGCCTGTCGCCTGTACCCTCCTCACACTTCACGCTTCTGACGCTACTGTAAGTGCACTAGCCTATCTAGATTCCTAGATTGGCACTCCACTGCGCTGGATGGCACGGGCAGAAAACGGGGATCCTCAGACCCTTGTCTGCGAAGTTATTAATATTTCCCTGTACATACAGGACAGTGCCTAGGCGCAGTTAGGTACTGCCGTACAGATCACTGCCCTTCTCGGTGTCGACAGCCAGACGAAGAGGCAGGAAGCACCGCAGAGACAGTGTACGTAGTAGCGCGGCATTCCACACCTAAATCGCACGCATTTCCAACTCGGCCTCTTCCCAGCCCCTTGCAAGCGACAGCCCGACATCCAACTCCTCCTCCTCCTCAACAGCAGCAGCAGCAGCAGCAGGGCACCAGCCAACGACAGGGGCTCGTTAGTGTAGGCAATATCGTACAAGCCCAGGGAAAAAAAAACCAACAAAATTTACTCACCCTCTCTCAATTTGATGCTCTCAATTTGATGAATTGATCCATTCACCCAGCGTCGCCTTCTTCTTCAAGGCTTCGAGGCTATCTGTCCCACTCTAGGTCCATGCCACTGGCAGCCTCGACCACTTGCTGGCCAAGATGACGAGACCCCAGATGATTCGTGCCGGTATGTCCCAAAAAAAATCCGATTAGAATAGTTGATCTATCTCTCTCCGTTTCAAGAAGGGGGGGATTAAATTAGTTGGCCTGGACCCAACGGCGCGACGCCCGCTCCTACTCGCCTGCCCGCCCACCCATCTATCTGCTAAGTGTGGTTCGCGCCGCCTTGTCCTGTGTCATGACTGCTAATCTTCCTGCCTTCATACCAGATTCCATTGATCTTCAAGATCACGACGCTCCTTCTGCCCAGGACCACAAACATCCCAATTCCAAGTCCACGTTACACGCAAACACGAACGGCTCGCTCGCGCCGCACCAGGCTGGAACCATACGGGAGGTAATAGAAGAACGTGTAGAGGAAGAGGCACGAAGTCCGAGGGTCTCGTGGGCTAACGGTGATGGTGGCCACGATCGCGATCTACAGTTGTATGCCGAGGAACTGGCCTCTGGCATCGTCAACTCACTGAATGGCAATAAGATGCAGCAACAGGACGCGCTGGCCATTGCGCAGAATGGCGGTGTTGGGGGACACGCTGATGACGATGGCGATATCGAAGTGAACACAGACGACGACGACCTGGACGATGATATGATGGATAAGATATCGAGTTCTCCTTCAATTGAGGATGGTGGGTACACCCTTCCGCCTGCATGGCCTGCGCGCATTGATTCTCTGCGCAATTCTCTTTCGATCCACGATTGTTCCAGTTCTCCGGTCGTCACTGAGGCAAGGTCCTCTTCACCATATCTCGAACTCCCTGACCACTTTCCCCTCCAGCTTTCAGAAGAACAGTTAAGCAAGGCTTCTGTTGATATCCGTGACCCTAATCTTCTTCTTCCTGGTGGGTATGCCGGAGCCAACGAACATGAGATTCACAACGATGCCCCTGATTACAAGGTACTATCCGGCGCTGAGGCGCTGGCACACGGTTCCGACGATATGGTGGCCATTGTACAAGATTCAGAACGCCTTCATGAGCAAAATTACTTGACCCAAGATCGCGACTCCGGTGTCGACCTGAAGATCGAAGATTTCTCGCTCAGCCGACAAATTGGCGCCGATGATGAGCTCGTTGAAGACGAGATTATCTCTCCCTATGAATTCCTGATACCTTATGTGGCTTCCGATGACGATGATGACGAAGAGGAAGAAGAAGATTTTCCTTTCACTGATGATTGTCGATTTATTGATTCCGGCTGGGGTGGCGAATGCTTACAAGATACAGAGGATATCGATTTTGAGTTCGTTTACGCGTTACATACCTTTGTCGCCACGGTAGAAGGTCAGGCCAATGCTACGAAAGGCGATACAATGGTCCTTCTTGACGACAGTAACAGCTACTGGTGGCTAGTTCGAGTTGTAAAAGATAGTAGCATCGGTACGGCCCCCTCTCACGCTTCATAGTACAGAGGTTTATAATTTCTAGGCTATCTACCGGCTGAGCATATAGAGACGCCGACGGAGCGGTTGGCGCGACTCAATAAGCATAGAAATATTGATGTAAGTATACATACATATATATACGTATGTATGGTAAGTACCCAGCCAACAAGACATGCTGACTTTTGCATAGCTGTCCGCAACAATGCTTGGTGATCAGTCTGATAAGGCTAGGAATCCAATTATGACAGCCATGAAGAGACGCAAGACCAAGACTGTTTCCTTTGCACCACCTACTGTCGTCAATTATCCTGACATAGATTATTCCGACGAAGAAGATGAAGAGGATGATGGTCAAGATCCACAGCAAGTATCGCAACAAGAAGATCAGCAACAGCAGGTGAGCTCCCAGTCGGCCACGGCCGACTTAATAGAAGATGATCAATCAGCCAAGGTTGAGCCTCTGAAACCTCGGAACCAAAAGCAGGCAAAGGTGGACCCTAGTAGACCTGAGGAAGCTAGTAAGGGTGAGCCACAACTCAAAGAGCTAGGGTCTAGAAACAGCGACGAAATCTTCGATGGCAAAACAGAGCGGACTACGAAGAATGGAACTGTTCGAAATACGGATTCCTTTTTTAAAGATGAGACCATTGAGACCAAGAAAATCACCCTCACTCCCGGATTACTGCGGGACGATAATGAATCTCGAGTCTCATCAGATTCTAAAGAGTTACGTCAACGTCCTAGTCTTGAAAAAGATTTGGTGCCTGATAAGAACAAAGATGAGAAGAAGAAAAAGGAGAAGGAAAAGAAAGATAATAAAAAACCGAGCGCTATTCGGAGTTTCTTCTCGCGGAAGGATAAGAAGAAATCCCTTGATGATGACGACGAATCGTTTGGTAAGCGGTCTATGGACGCCGGGGCTGGATTTGGGGATACGGACATGGTGGAAGAGCCGGAGGAAATGGAATCTTCGCCACACAAAAGCCCGCAACGAAACTCAAGCAAGCTCCAGAAACAGCAACCCCGGACTGAACAATCTCCTACACGAAAATCTGGCATTGTTCCAACGGTGGCAGCAGATTCAAACCGTGGCCCTCCATTGGCTGCTGAAGTTAAGACAAACAATGTGTCTAATGTTCCTCCCGCGACTGTGAGAATGGTAGAGTCCGAGCAACCTGAGAATCAAGTGCTACAAGGGCGAAAAGATGAGAACAGCAATTCCGGGCTATCCAAGATAACACCAGCGAATGCAGAATCGAACCCTCCAAAGGTGACGAAAGCGAAATCCCGAATAGAGCTTGACGACTTCGATTCTTCCGAAGAAGAGGCTGTTCCAGAGCCAACTAGAGCGCCTCCTGCGGAACCCATAAGAGAGCCGTCTGATGACAAACTAATGCGCCCTAGTCTTCCAGGATCATTTCCCGACAGCTCTACTAGCATATTGCAGCAGAACGAAGCCGCAGGAGTTCGGTCGCCCGCCGATGAATTGTCTGAGTCTCCCATTCAAGTATCCCCAATCACGTCGTCCAATCCTCCTGCTCTTATGGGCGATACTTCAAGCCAGGAAGACCGCTCTTCCCCTGTATCTTCGCCATCACCAGAGCTTGCGGATGCACATGGTAACGCGTACAAACCTCAAGAATCCGCGGCTCCCTCAACATCAGTAGCGGCCAGCTCAACATGGAACGATGCTAATCTCCGTGCCTTTTTTGATTCCGGATCCGAGATTCGCGATTTATTGGTGGTGGTATATGACGATAAGAACGATGCACCATCTGTTGGTCCTAACCACCCCATCGCAAGCTCATTATTCCGCGAGCAAAACGCTAAACTAGCTGAAATAACAACCGTAAGTTTCCGAAATCGTATTTTGTTTTTTATCTCCTTCCAAGTTGGCTGACATTATTTGTAGCAATTGGACAATATGCTGGGAGATTGGCTCGCTCGAAAACAGCGCCTGCGAGGTACGGTCTAGCGCGGGCTTAAAACTTGTATTGCTCCAAACCAGTACGCGACGTTTTGACTCCGCCCGATATGGCACATGATAAAATTTTTTCGATTCGTTTATATCCTTTTATTTCGGCGCATGCATGTTAATCTTGTTCGTGAGAAGCGGCGCAATGGTGAAGCGAAACGGACTTATATCACATAGGACGGTCTGTGGGATGAGCTGGAATCACAGGGTCAAGCGCTCACCCACATTTCTTCAATCTACTTTGTTTTAGAACGATCTACGAGCATAATGGCTAACGTCTTGGCGCCTTTTTGTCTTGTTGGCGCTTGAGACGTAGAACTGTCGCAACCTTCCGCAGCAATGAGGATGACTAGCAAAACCTAGTCTGCTGGAACATGTAACTCTAGCGCGTATATACAACCAAGCTGTACATACTGGTTCCATTCGAAACTGAAGTCTTTTGTATGCGCTCTCATCATGAGTTCTGAACTTGACGACTATAATCGCACTCCTACGATGAGAAGAATTGCGGGCATTGGGCCATGACGACACGTAATAAAGTTGCACCACTTGAAGCTCAATAGAAAAACAAACCATGACTAGTCGACGGTTGATACGTTCCAGTCTTAGCTATACGGTCTTGTCATCTACAAAGAAACCTCTATATAAACATCGGGTAGGCGTGTTTGCGAGTCAAAATGAGCTACATTGTGAAGGGCAATTAAACGTGATGATCTTGATCGGGTGATGGGGTGAGTCATCGGGCATCCTTAGTATTATGCGATATGGAACTCGGAACTCCATGATCACCGCTCATCAAACACCAGGCATCCATTGAACATGACTAACAATGGATTGAAGGTCAAGTCTATGTATACCATAAGTGATTAAAACTTCACAATCACAACAACTGCTGGCTACCATTTCGATTTGATGCCCGTTTTGGCGCTCCGGAGTTTCGGAGGAAGCATTGCCCAGTAACTACGGAATTTGGGCGCTTGATCTAACAATAATCAGTATGTCCAAATAATGGCATTATAAAACTGCGTCAGTGTCCTTCCTGCCATCTCCTACACGCTAGCATATCTGTACGCTCCCTTCGCAGAGCATCTCACATCAAGTGTTATTTTAGCAGTTAGTTGTCTTTCTGCCTCTCTCGTGTGTGACACCACAATGCCTGTCTCTCACATCTCCCTCGCTACTGGTGCGGCGAATTTCGCCCGGATGCGAGCCTTCTATCTCGAGGCGCTTGCACCCCTTAACTACGTCACATACTACGAACATGCCAACTTCATGCTCGGGCTCAAACCGGTCGGGAAGTTTCCGGACTTTTGGCTCCACGTGGGAAATGGGGAGCAGGCTGCTTTCCCTGCGAGTGGTGATGTTAATGGACGACCGGGACGCACGCATGTCGCTTTCGATGCAGAATCGCCCGAGGTTGTGGATAGGTGGTATGCTGCGGCTATGTAAGAACTTCCTTTCCCCCTATTTATCTTTTGGTGCTTGTTTAGCCCTGTGTCCGGTGGATGGATCAATGGATGGATCTACGGTTATCCTACCATCATATCTTGGTCATCCATCGAGTCTCGACCAGCACCTCGTAGATCGATCACATAGATTCGATGCGGAAGTTATGAGCTGGGGGGCGCAAATGAGAGTTAAAAAAAATTGGGTATGCTAGTGACGTTGTACTGACAAATGTCTCCCCTCTCTACAGAAAAGCCGGTGGCGTCTGCAACGGGAAGCCCGGCTTGCGAGCGGAGTACTCAGAACCGTATTATGCTGCCTTCGTCCTCGATCCGCTGGGCAATAATGTAGAGGCGGTACACTATCAACGCACCAAACCGTGGTAGTGAAAGGGAATCCGAAGAAGGAGGAGAGGCTTAAGCTTTCGAGCCAAGTGGATTTCTTTCTTGATAATTGGATGCTGTCCTCCCAATCCGTGGCTAGGGCGGGTTGGCTTTTCGTCATGAAGGACAATTCGCCAATTGGAACTTCAGTGGACGCGAGCCATGGTTTTCGCAGCGTGTAAACATTCGATCATGGATTGAGGTGTGCTGGGTGGATGTCAACTTGTCGTTGTTGCGCAATCAACCCTCCTGGCCATCTGCCACATGGGCAACAGTGGTGACGCTGACACCAAGCTCTATGATTCAATGTATATGGAGGGGTTGCTGGATACTACTAAGTCTAGATGCCAAAATATATAAAATCTTATCATTCTCAGGGGAATTTTCTGAATGCGCCCAGTTTCTACTCTCATCATTCACCTGCATTCAACAATTATATCATCGAGATAAGCTCTATTAGTTCAATCTCTTCAGATCATTCGAAACAATGGCTCCGAAGTACCACAACGGCCAAAGTGTTCGATACAAGCCTGTGGGAGGTGAGCAACCCCTTGTACCATTCCACCCGGCGCTTGTCCTTGAATGACGAGTCGTTCATGGTTGAAAACAGCTCCGAATATCTCCTTACTGACATATGAGATTTTACCAGGCCCCGACTCTAACACCTCAGAGTCCACTGGCAAGATTATGAGTGTACTCACCGAGCCTGGTGTGCAAGCCGACCGCAACGTGCAAGCTTCTGCTAGTGAGCCTCGTTACGAGGTTCGTGATCCCCGAATCTTTCTTTTGAGGGTTTGTGTCTTTGGATTAATGATGGTCTAATTGATTGTACAGATCCAAAACGACAATACTGGCAAGATGACCAGCGTGTACGAGGTGAATATTCTTGGCCGGGCCTAGATAATTAGCCTACATGAAGTGTATACACAACGAATAACTTTGGCGTTGGTGTATTATGAGACATGGTTCGAAATATACGGAATATAAGCATAAACCTGTAACATTGGAGTGTAGTTATCATTACATAGTATTTTGCTACTATTTCATAATCTGCAATGAGAATCAATCGTTGTGTATGATACTCAGACATGCGTTTGGCAATGATCTTCGTATGATTAATCACGGAAAACTCATACTTGAGGCTCACAATTCTCATTATATTGCCGAGTTGACGATCAACAGTATCAAATGGCTGGCTGCGTACACCCCAAGAGCACCCAAAGAGTGAAATGGCTCTACTGGCACTAGTGGCAGTGCTGGTCTCTTTCGAGGGATGATTACTTAAGCGGAACCGGATGCTCCGACAGCTCAAACTTGACAAAATAGGATAAGGCCGATTGCTACGGAGCTGCCGATGCTTCGGCGTACTCGCTTTGTTCTCTCCACAGGCATGCAGAGCGCCGCACAACACCAGGCCTCACATATATAGCCACCAGCGTAAGCTGGTGTCCCCCTGATCGGATGTCCGTCGCACCGATCCTCTTTCGCTAACAGCTTAAGTACAGCAGCGCCTTGGGTTGGCTCTTCACCCAACCATCACTCTATAATGTCCGCACCCCCTTCGGGCCCATCACCTGTTGTTCCTGCTGCCGCCGATCCCAAGGGGACTTATAATCCGCGAAAGAGAGGACGGACTGCCTGTACGAGATGCAAACACAGGAAACAGAAGGTTGGTGTCTTTCACGCCTGTTCTTCCCACAAACCCTGTACTGTATATATTCAAAAGATACTCAATATACTGATATGGCCCCAATGCATACGTAGTGTGATGACCAGTGGCCAACATGCTCCAATTGTAGCAAGGCGGGCACGGAATGTGACAAATCTGCCGTGTCCGAAGACGAGCCTCCGGCAGCATACACTCGCGCACTGGAGCAGCGGATTGCCGTTTTAGAGGCTCGTCTATCCGAGCGGGTTCACCAGCAGGAACCAGACCTGCCCCAACCGCAGACTAGCAGCATTCGGACCCAGTCCCAGAACAATGTCCTCGCTGAGGCTGTTGAGCTACTTGCCCTCGGGAACATCGAGGCTCCTGCTTACGTTGGCGCCTCCTCGGGCCTAAACTTGGCTTTAACCTTAGGTGAGATGGTTCAAGCAACTGTCTGGAACAAGGCATTGCCTTTCGATGCCAATGGGTCTCGTTCCAGCAGTACTGACGGCTCTGGGAATTCTAGAGGAGCTCGTGCTATCAATAGACAAGAAATGGTTGCTCGAAGCGCGGAGCCGCCGGCCGATGAGCACGGTACTGCCCTTGTTAATGCCTACTTGAACCAACCCCAGTATGTATCCTCGGATTTTTAATTACTAGAACACTTACCTCTGCCCAACGCCTCTAATTCTTCCCATAGAGCGCACAGTAGTCAGCACTATCTTCCTTATTAACCTGGATTTCTTCTTACATTCGAATCGGGTCGTGCGTCTAATCAGTTGATCAATAGGACTCGGTATCCTTTCCTTGACGAAAGAGAGATTTGGGACTTACACGCAAAGCGTATGACGCTCAATACAACTCCCGTACAGCAGCTGACCAAAGCTGAACGCTTTGGGTTATTCAAATTGTACATGGTGTATGCTATTGGTGCAATGTTGATACAACTTACAGAAAGAAACACCCCAACTCCACCAGAGGTACAACGATATCACTGATACGATTTTTGCCACAGTGGACTAACACGTGAATCAGAATTACTACATGACCGCCTTGCAACACCTGTTCACTGCTCGTGAGTCAAAGACAACTCAGAATGTAGAGGCTATGGTGCTTCTCGTCTTATACCATATCCGAAGCTCTAGTTATGGCATATGGTATATGATTGGTCTGGCAATGCGGACTTGTATCGATCTAGGATTACGGTACGTATCAAAACCTGTCGTGCCGGTTCTAATACCTGGACTTGGCAGAGATCTATTGTCTTGCAGAGCAGAGCTAACTGTTGCCACAGTATGTGAACTTCGGATCCAGAAACGTGACCACGATCGTCTGTTTAGATCTAGAAAGTATGCAATAAGGGACTGGACTAACACTTTTGATATGGCAGATACGAGGCGACATGAGAGCAACTTGGATCATAACACGATTCAAATGCGCCGGAGGCTATTCTGGAGCGTTTACTCATTAGAACGGACTATTGCGATCTGCTTAGGACGGCCGCTGAGTATACCAGATAGGCAGATTGATGTGGATTTACCATTAGACCCCGAAGATGAGGCCTGGAGCGAGATAACACCTACGCCGCCAGTTAAGAAAAGGTCCTTCTCAATGGCGATCTGGCTCTTCAAAATGAGACGAATCGAATCACGAATTCAGTTTTCAATTTATCGAGCTGACAAGCCCCTTTCAGCACTTACATCCAAAATGAATCAGCTATATCAAGACCTAGAATCTTGGAAGACATCCCTCACTGAGCGCTTCGGCGATGTTGATCTGAACTATCCAATGTTGCACTACCACCGCGCTGTCCGCTTGTTGATACAACCGTTTCTACCACTATTACTACCGTCTGATCCTTATTATTTAATATGCCTTCGCGCAGCCGGCGGCGTTTGTCAAGCACATAAAAGACTACATCAATCACTGGAGTATGGGCATTCCTTTATTGCTGTGCAGCACGTGTTCGTCGCTGGAATAACTTTACTGTACGGTCTTTGGACGCAACAACACGCCATATGGTCTTACAGCTTGTCGAACGATATTCGGGCTTGCTCGTTGGTACTTTTCGTCATGGGCGAGAGAGCACCATGGGTGAAAAAGTACCGCGACGCTTTCGAAGTGCTTGTCAATGCGACTATGGAGAAATTGGAAAATGGTGTTAATAACCTGGCCGAGACAGCAGCAGTGCAGATGAGGAACGTAACGAACAGCAACACTGACTTCACAACCGAACAGTTTGACAACCTTGCCGACGGCGAAGAAGGAGATGCCTGGAAAGTTGTTGCCGAACTTGCCAATTGGATTGACCAACCGGAAGGCTCACTGGTCTGGATGCCGGACTTTGAGTTACTCCAAAATCTGTCACCTATGTAACGATCGGAGTATTATTTTGCATTTTCATGAGAGCAATTTCACGTAGTATATTATCGATCCCCTGACCTATGAATCGCAACGTTAGCCTCATCGTCTGAACTCCAGTCTCAGATGGATACCCATTGGTTCCCCATCTTGCTCATCATTCCTTCTTTCCCGCAGCTTTGGTCCAGCATTTTTCAGAGATAGACATCCAGTAGTTCAGTATGCATATCGAATGAATCAAGAGTTAGCAATCCTTTTCTACGGGCCGATATGTTGAAGTCTATAGATAGTGTCTACTCGCCGCTCACCTCAACTGGCTAGGTATACTATAAGTCTCTCTGTCTATGTTTGCTTATGTGTCAGTCACTTCTACAAATCTAGACTAAAGCCTGATTACGGCCAGGTAACTACGGAATAGGGGTCACACTAACTCGCGGTTTGAATGATTCAACGACTGTAGATGCTTGCTCACTCACCCAGCTCACCTAAATAGGTACCTACCTGTACATACCGATTTGGTACAATGGGAAGGGAACCACGTCGATAAGCCCGATAAGATTAGGTACCTGAGTACATGCTCCTACCCACATTTAAGATACATCTACAAGGTATTTGTGGGCAAAAAAACCCTTTGCCTGAGCAGCCACCATCCATTCACCATAAACACATTCCTCAAGTTAGGTTCCGCAGCTGCAACCAGCTGCGATTATCACCATCTACCAAAACCCTTCGTCGACCTGACGACCAACTGCCAGCCAGCAGGCCAACAGGCGACATCAAACCCAATACTTGATACTTGCTGGTGTAGTGGTTATGAAAGGCATCATCACACCTGCGCGAGGCCGTCCGGCCAAGGTCACTAAATCGACTGCCAGCCCGCGCCCCCGTACCGTGCGTCGGGGCGATACCGTCCCCAATCAAGATCCTGACCTCGAGGGTCCCATTGTAGACGAAGAAGAGATCGACAACCAGGACGTCAATGTCGACGTCGACGCCGAGAACGAACAAGACCACACCCAGGAAGAACATCATCACCAACAGCAACAACTTCAACACCAACAACAGCAGCATCTACAACCACAACACCATGCTGACTTTGACTCAGAGGCCTCTGCGGCAGCGGCAGCGGCGGCTGCTGCTGTTCATCACCAGCAACAGCAGCAACAACAACAGCAGCAGCAGCAGCAACAGCAACAGCATCATCACCAACATCACCAACAGCAGCACCACCAACCCCTAGACTTGACCGCAGCCAGTATCCTCGCGAGCAGCGTTAACCCTAACGACCAGCCACACCATCCGGATCTAGGCGGTCCTCATGAAACACCTATGGATGCACCTCCAGCCAACGTGAACACCACCGAGAACTTAGCTCAGGAGTCTGGATACTCCAATGTGGTCGTTGAAAGTGCCCTCGCTAAGCGCCTAGCAAGAGAACCTGGCATGCGTCTTGCTCAGCAACGACGCCCAGAACAGGCTCTGAACCTGCAACGACGTAGTAATGTTGAAGCTTTGTTTGCTCACATTGCCGGTGAAGCTGCCCCTATACCGTGTAAGAATTGCCACAAGGGTCACGGCCCGTGGACGACATGTGTTGTCGTAGACGGCCAAATGTGTGGTAGCTGTGCCAATTGTTGGTTTAATGCCTCGGGAGCCAGATGTTCTTTCCACGGTAAACCCTACTAGCCTAACTTTCTCACTCTGAGTTACATTGCTGACAAGCTACTAGAAACTCGGAATCCTGCCACACATGCTGCCCAAGTCTTAGCAGGCGATGCTATGGGCTTTCAACTGCCTCCCGCACCACCTCAGGCCATGGCTCCCTTCAATTTCGCGTCGATTCCGGCATCTTCTGACCCTGTCGTTCGCTATACAGTGGAGCAAGCCATGGCCCAAGTCCGAGGCGCTGATAAGAAAACACGGTATATGCTTATGATTGAGGCAGCGGCTCGCCAGCTTGCTTTTCAAATTGCTATGTATGAAGATACGGTCCAAGAGGAACAGCAACAACAAGGCCCGCCACCTGCTGTCATGAATGATCCCGAAGCGCCTTAGTAAAGCCCGGTTCACAAGGCGGCCAGCTCTGCTTCGTTCTCTTTGATTGAGCCTATGAGCCATGCTAGTCATCCTAACCAACCTTGGGTCCTGAAACGAGGCGAGAAGTTGAAGATCTTTTACATTTCGCTGGACCGAATCGGATGTGCGGATAAACTTCAACGTAGAGTCTGAAGAACTCTGGTTGTTAAAATTCTCTCAAACCCAAGGATTCTGGATCTAGACTTCACTCCCACTCTAAACTACTTCTGAACTAAATATAATGACCTCACCCGGCACCTATCGAGTGCCTAACTAGGCTTCAATCGCATACTGCGCGGACTTGTGGCTTTAAGCTAAGATTTCGGTGCAACCGGCGTTAGTGAAATGGTTCGTTGTCAAGGATTCTCTATACCCCGTGTTCTGGTCAACGGTGTTGTTGCCTATGCGGCTGGTGGAGGGGATCAGGATATTTCTTTTATCAAACCAATACTATGGTGGCCCAATGGAAGTAGGGTCATTTCTCCTCCACCTCTCACTATGTTATTTGTATAAAGTACAGTGTAGTCATGGCACTTTAAGCCTGCGCTTTCTCATGACATTACGATACGAGAATTGAAGAATGATCACATTTCCCAAATGGTTATTTCCTTCTGCTCAGTTGTTGTTTCGAAGCAGTATTTTAGCATACTTAATGTACCTACGTGAAAGGTTGCTACGTCAGCCACACAGCCACGCAGCCATTTAGGCTTAAGCCTTATCACCATTGAGACATCCATGTGTTCAAGTGATTGGCCCAGGCGTTTAGTTAGCGCTGACGCTCTGTTACAAGTCATTATTATAGGTAGGCACCTCTCGCCTAGGTAGTTACTTTCTGAGGGAAGTAATATCACACTCCTTCTGATCTACTAGGTTAGAACTTGACGACTTGCTAAGTATTTAGTATTGCTTGTGTCTAACTAACAGCCTCGATGTGGCCATGATGAAGAAATATAAGTTCTAGATGAATGCAGATATCACCAACCGAGCTTATTTAGTAGTCTCAACATGCATTCACTGGCCTGGCGTGTCGTAGTAGTCCTTTCGTCTTGGATCGCAGTACATGCCCTCGAGCAGCAAGTTCTCATAGTTCCAGAGACGCAGCATATTTTCGGAGACCCCGGCGCCGAGCATGAAAAGATATCTGCGTCGTCGGGCTTCCAGCAAGATCATTATAACAGCTCGAATCCTACGACTGGTTTTATTGCGCTCGGAGACTCGTATAGTGCGGGTATTGGAACAGGAGGAGAAGGAAAGGAGAATGATTGTCGACAAGGCATCTCTGCTTATCCTCAGTTAGTAGCCGCCGACCGCGACCCGACTGCTTTTCAGTTCCTATCATGTACAGGCGCTACAACAAAAGATATCATGGCCGGAGCTGAAGAGAGCCAAGTGGACCGCCTTGATGTTTCACTCCCAGTCGACTTTGCGCTTCTATCGATCGGTGGAAATGACCTTGGCTTCTTCGATGTAATCAATGCATGTGTCTTTCGATTCTACAACTTTTATTCGGGGACCTGCGAAGATGCCCTAGCCCGCTCGCGAGTCCTTCTAGAAAGCGATGAATTCGAGATCCATTTGCGGATTTTGGTCATGGAAATCCTTGACAAGATCCGCTGGGAGAAGAAGCCGTCCTTCACCATCACCGTGACAGGATACGCAAGATTCTTTAACGAGCTCACCGATGGCTGTGAAGACATGAGCTTTGGTGTTTGGTGGAACGGTCCAAAGCTTACCAAGAAGTTGAGATCCGATATGAATGCTCTAGTCCTCAGCGTCAATGCCAAGCTACGCAAAACAACCGATGCCATCAACCACAGCTTCACTAAAGACAGACTTATCTTCGTCGACTATGAGTTAGTCCCCTATAGTCCTTTATTCCCTCTAGGCAGGGCTCGAACCTGATTGCTCCGCAATGCTCCCGAAGCATGAACTGCACTCTTCTTATACTCTCTGGTAAAGCTGACTCTAGCGTGTAAACAGCGCCGAATTCGATGGACACCGCTTCTGCGAGCCCAACGTCATCGAGCCGGATTACGAGCGCCTTGACACTTGGTTCTTCCTTGTGGGAGGGCCTGACAACGCAGGCAACGGAACCAAACCGCAGCAAACTCCAGACCCCAAAGCTCTGTCACCAACTTCTCCCCTAGTCGAACCCCTTTCATGCTTAAGGCCGGCACAACAGTCTGGAGACTGGGGGATGCTTGCGTTATGTTATATGGCCATGGCAAAACACGGCGATCCAACCCTTCGCCTAGCTCGTGAGGACGTCTCAGCGCAAAATTCAATGTGGTACGTCCCCACATACTACGGGAAAACATTCCACCCTAGAGCTCGAGGTCACAAAGCGATACGGGACAATATATACAAAGTATGGCGGACGGTTGATGAAGTTCAATCCATGTAGCCGTCGTTGCAATTCCAATGCTCTTGGACTCTTTTTGCTCATGAAGTCGGAGCCTTTGGTACGCTTGCCTACTTATCTACATTGCACTTCGATTACGTGGGGAGTATACAGGTAGCTAGTCAGAAGTCTTGATATTCACCTATCATCGGTCTGTGGTAGCAATCTACATAGGTATTTATTTATATGGATAGTATACATATGCGTACATTATGTAACCCAAGGTCGGGGATTAGGCCACAGTAGCGCATCTGTTGATCATGTTGCATTCCACCCAGATCTGGTCAAGTGACAAGGATCACCTACCCGCTATCTAAAATGGTCATGCCGCGTTATCGATAAGTACATGAGATGAGCTGCCTAGGAGGCACACCTAAAACTATACTGGGATTATATGCGTCATTCGGCCAATGCGTAGTCGCTCCCTTATTTGCCATATGATTACCAGTATACCTATATCTACTACCATCTATCTTTGCCATCATTCTTCGACCTATATCCGTGTGCGGAAGCGTGTGCCTGTCGGAGGAGCCACTTTAGAACGCGCTTACCTGTGCACTGCTATGTTCCTGCCTTTCCTTTGTCCTTCTTTGCAGAGGCAGAAGTTTCGGGTTTGAAGCTTCTTTCCAAATACAGTTCTTGTGCCTCCTGGGCAGAAATGCCTCTACTCCTCCACTGTTTCATACTGATATTTCCGTCTTCCTGTCATCTGTAGACAATTTCTCCAAATCTTCTAAAATCAGAATATACTGTGATTACTGCTCTGAAAGGATGCCTATTATGCGCACCTGATACCAGCTATCTAGGCGTCCTTTCTCGAAATAGGCAGGGACACCTGTCGCCGATTCTGCGACCTGCCTGTCCTACCCACCTCTATCTGCTCACCGAAATCTGCAGTCTCACGCTTAGTCGCCTCCTAAATACCCTAATACTATATAGCACTGCCCTATCAATAATGGAGGCAACTGGTGCGCAAAAGGCTGGTGATCATGCCGCCGAGACCAACGACAATGCTGAGAGGGAAGGATGTACTGTAGTAGATCAGGCAACAACAACAGCAACAGTCGATACGCTACACAGTGGGGAAGGAAGTGATGACATTATGGGCAATGAGAATGGAAGCGTCAACAACCTTCCCTACGGCATACTTGATGAAGCCTCTGCCCTGGAAGGCCTTGATGCTGATGTACGCGATCAAGACGATCTCGAACGAGACATCACGTATCAGGCTAGTTTAGCACTTAATAGTGCTGAAGACAAGAGGGACGAGAAACGGATCGAAAAGGCCCAAAATAACACCATACGGTTAGAGGCCCAGAAGAAAACCCAAGAGGAGCGCTTCCGTAAAGCTATTGGCAGACCGGAACTCAAGCAGAAAATACGGGAAGAGATTTCTAGAATTGACTCTGAGCTTGAGCTAACTAGAAATGATATTGCGCAATTCGAGAATCGTATCAGGAAGAGGCAACAGGAAACGCAGGAAGCAGATCAGGTCGCAGGGGGCAATCAGAAACTTGCCGGAGAAACTCACCGTGAATTTCTTATTCGTACTGGAAAGATAACCCCATTTGACATCAGAGCACGTACGCAAGGTGTTGGAGGAGAACTGGCTGACGTCCTGGCTGATGCTGAAGAGGAAGCTGCAGCAGATGAACTAGAAGAAGAGGCTGGCTATGAACCACGGTCTCACCAGAATCTACGCGCACCTGGGTTTGCCGAGGATGTCGAACTAGCCACCACAGCTGTACAGAGTGAGTTTTCGTTAAGACCGCGGAAGCGACAGAGGGCTGCACACCATGATGCGTCATCAGATGAATACACTCCACAAGCGACTGATAGGCCTGACACGGGATTTTCTGATAGTCAGGAATCAGAAGATTATGATCTTACAGAGCGTCCAGTTAAAAAAGTGAAAAAGGCCCCTAAAGAGGATGCGAAAATCGATATAAGCAAGCTTGATGACGGAATTGAGGCCAACTATCAGAGCCGACTCACAGACTGGATTGACAGACGAAGCCGCGCAAGACTACGACGCCAACATGTTGCCCATCAAGAGGGGGATAGCGAAGGACAGCCTCAAGGCCAAGATGAGGACGAGTGGTTCAAGCCATCACCTGACGAGCCAGATCACCGCCTGAAACATGGGCTCAAGCTACCGGGCGACATCTATCCTGCCCTCTTTGACTACCAAAAAACTGGCGTACAATGGCTCGCGGAGCTATATTCCCAACGAGTAGGAGGGATCATTGGCGATGAAATGGGACTTGGTAAGACAGTACAGGTCATATCGTTCATCGCAGCCCTTCACTATAGCAAAAAATTGGATAAGCCTGTCTTGGTCGTCGCGCCAGCCACTGTTTTACAACAATGGGTCAACGAATTCCACCGATGGTGGCCACCATTGCGCGTTTCAATGCTTCATTCGTCTGGATCTGGTATGCTAAACATGAGTAGAGAGAATGAGATTGAAGATGAAGACAGAAACTGGGATAAAAGAGATGGCCCTCGCGTTGTGAACAAAGCGGCGAAAAGAATCATTGATCGAGTGGTACGGCAAGGTCATGTTCTCGTAACCACTTATGCCAGCGTCCAAATATATGGTGACATGTTGGCTACCATGGACTGGGGCTATGCAGTGCTCGATGAAGGACACAAAATTCGGAATCCAAATGCCGCAGTCACCATTGCGTGTAAGGAATTATGCACCCCGAACCGGATTATCCTATCTGGTACGCCAATTCAAAATAACTTAGTGGAGCTATGGTCACTGTTTGATTTCATCTATCCCATGCGACTGGGGACGCTCGTCGACTTCCGGAAGCAGATTGAGATTCCTATCAAAATTGGAGGGTACGCCAATGCTTCACACCTTCAAATCATGACAGCAGAGAAAACCGCCCAAGTACTTAAAGAAAACATTAGTCCATACCTCCTGCAACGTCTCAAAGTTGATGTCGCCACTGATTTACCCAAGAAGAGGGAACAGGTCCTTTTCTGTAAGCTCACTAAGCTACAGCATGAGACATATCGACTGTTCCTTGACTCTAAGGAGATGGGAGATGTTCTTAAGGGGAACACACAGTCTTTTTTTGGAATTGACAGGCTTCGCAAGATCTGTAACCATCCTGACTTGGTTGACCCCAATATCAAGGTTAGACACCCTCAAGAATATGGAGCACCTAATAAGTCTGGAAAGATGCAAGTCCTTAAAGCACTTCTTGGTATGTGGAGAAAGCTTGGCCATAAGACACTGTTATTCTCGCAGACGGTGCAAATGCTTGACATCCTCGAACAGTTTGTCCAAAAACTTGGCAATACCCAATATTTACGAATGGACGGTAAAACGCCTATCAAAATGAGACAAGTGCTCGTTGATAAGTTCAATAAGGATCCGGATATACATCTTTTCTTGCTGACGACGAAAGTGGGTGGTTTGGGAGTAAACTTAACTGGAGCCAATCGCGTCATTATCTACGATCCCGATTGGAATCCTTCCACGGACGTGCAAGCTCGTGAGAGAGCGTGGCGCTTGGGACAAAAGAAAGATGTGACGATCTACCGATTGATGACTGCTGGCACAATCGAAGAGAAGATATATCATAGGCAGATCTTCAAGCAGTTCTTGAGTAACAAAGTGCTAAAGGACCCTAAACATCGCACCACTTTCAACCTCAATGACTTGCACGATCTCTTTACATTGGGTCCGTCGGAAGATACAGGAACAGAAACTTCAAGACTTTTCAAAGATTCTCAAGTGAATATTCATACGGAAGTGCCCCCCGCAACGATGGATGCAAGCCGCAAAGTCCAGGCGGATAGCGAAAAAAATGAACCGTTAGGCGGAGATGAGCACAATGGGTTGCAGCGGTTAGACGGTGTTGCTGGCCTAGAGGATTACGAAACTGGCGAGGAAGCTAAAAGCGCTACTAAAGAGGAAGATCGTATCATGGAAGGTTTGTTCGCTCGATCCGGTGTACATTCGGCGCATGAGCACGACGCGATTATCGACGGCAAGCAGAAGCCTCGGGCAGACCGCGGAATACTTCAGCAGGAGGCGGCACGGGTTGCTAGTGAGGCTGCTGCTGTGCTTCGCCGTGCTAAAGAGCAGGCCCGTCACGTCCCAATCGGTACGGTAACATGGACAGGTGAATTCGGCGAAGGCGGCCGTCCCTCGAACATCCGTCGTGGGCGCGGTGGCCCAGGTTCCGCCTCCGTACTCTCTAACCTATCCGATCGCCAAGGCATTTCACGTCCTGGATCGCAAAGTCCCCGACCAACTATGCGTCTCAACGATTTCATGAAGGCTATACCACAGTTTATCAAGCGCCAGGGTGGTCGGGTCCCCACCAAATCCATTGTGGATCATTTCAATCCTCACTGCAAGACTCGCGAGCAGACGACTGAATTTAAGGAGGCTCTTAATCGCGTCGCGAAGATGGACTCGCGCGGCTCCTCTATGCGCGGCATTTGGGTTCTACGAGAGGGTTAGGGCGCCCGGTAATGATGACGATAAGGATAATAATGGGAAATAGTTAGACATTTAGTAATGTATAGAGAGCAACAGAATCTAGGATTGGCATCCACTGATTAGATTCGGGACGCTCAAATACGAGAGCTTAAGCCATCTAGATAGGCGACACGACCGCTTGCCTACCTATACCCCCATTGTACAACGGAAGGAGTAGAGGGCCAAGGAGCTGGGATTGAATTCATCGATGAAATTTGAATGGAAAGGTTTAATAGATATCCAGCAGGCAATGCCTGCTTTGGTCGAATGGCGTTGAGCAATGCTTCATACCAGGAATCTTGGCAGAAAAGTAGAGTTTCTAACTAGCTATCAATATCACTAGGTTTAAATTCAATTAAATATGCAGTCAAACGTCTGATTCATTGTTTTGTTCGACGTACACAATTCAGCTCTAGTCAGCAATAGATTGCCTGTCTACGACCCTCGTGTGCATTTTGGAAGTCAGGCACTGAGGGTAATCAAAGAATTCCGAGAAACCGCAGATTCATCACACAGCATTGTGGCAGACATTAGTTTTCCATGTTCGTCGTGAATCAACGTTTCTTTTCGTGTCTATCTACTGCGGCCGTGCCAGAAGCATCATGTGACATTTTAGCAAAGCCATACCCTAAAGGGCAATAGAGACCAGGCATACTTTCTCTTCATAGAGACGCACGCCGTTCTCCTCGTAAGTGTCAACGCCACAGAGACGAGGACTTTTCAAGCCCAAATGTGCCAGAAACCGCGTGATCCTCTCGAGAACGCCTGAAGAACTGCCCAAGCCACAGCCGAGCCCATATGAATGGTGAGTCGATAGGTGGCGAGAAACTGCTGGATATGGCGAGATCACAGACGACGACCACGGCGACCACCCTTTCTGCGGGTGCTGTCGGAGGGAGTAGGAGTGACATCCTCAATACGACCAATTCTCATACCGCTACGAGCCAAGGCACGGAGAGCAGACTGAGCACCAGGGCCGGGGGTCTTGGTTCCGTTACCACCAGTGGCACGAATCTTGACGTGGAGAGCGTTGATGCCCAGGTCCTTGCAGCGTTGAGCAACCTGTCGAGTGTGATGGTTAGTTGACTTCAGAAGCATCCCACATAATTCTGGGCTGCTGGTGCAACTTACATCTTGGGCTGCAAGCATGGCAGCGTAAGGGGAAGACTCGTCGCGGTCAGCCTTGACCTTCCTATTGTCTAATTAGCATGCGAGTGTGAATCCAGGCGTGCAAGTATATCCGTATATCGCATGATAGGCATCATATGTAGCCTTCACCGATCCAGTATACATCACAACCAGGGCGTGGCCAACTCACATTCCACCAGTCACACGGGTAATGGTTTCGCGACCTGATAGATCGGTTACGTGAATGAAGGTATCGTCTAATTCCCGAATTAGTTCACCTGCAGAACCATACCAAGAAAGCCACGACTGAGAGTTGATATTCAAGGGGGTAAAATGCGGTCTGGGTCTGAATACTCGTTTATCGAACGGGAATGTCGAGAGAAGGCTGAACTATGAAAATCGAGGTATAGGGTACTAACTGAAACTGGCGAAGATGCGGCAGCAGCCGAAGACAAGCTCGCCTGAGAAAGGAATGTTAGTCTCTGGTGATATGATTTATGGAGTTGCTTTGTGTTTTGCCTTACCTTCTCTGGCATTCTAGAGAGCAGAACAGTTATTAGATCGTGTCTCCCATTTACACAAATGACTTTCACAAGATTCACATACAGGGCCGATGGAGATGTTCTCCTAAAACGGGCGTTAGCATCAATAAATCAAGATCGAACGTTCTGTCACGTACCTTGGGGGCAGCAGGCTTCTTGGGAGGCATGATGGCGGCTTCTCTGGGTGGTCTGTTGTTAGTGCTGCGAGGAGGAGAGACGACGAAGTTCACGGGATGCAATTGAAGATGTGTGGTGATGTTTGGTGGGGCAGTATCTTAAGCCGGCAGGCGGTCAGCGTATCTACAGAGGCAGAAATTCTGGCGGTGGGCGCGATAAGTGAGCCCTAATGAATTTTTTCCTGGGCTTCGCTTGAGAGGGTTTGGGACCACAGCCTAAGAAGAGGGTGGGTCACATGATCCAAGCGTCCGCAGACCCGCCCTCACACAGCGCCATAAGTTAATTTGCATATGTGCGAACTTTTTTTCCCCTTCCTTTTCTAACACCATCGCCCAACGCCCAATCTCCGAGTCGACAACACGATCACGGCCCCCTGCCAACTCGACAACAATGGCTGCCTCTACGTATGCTACCCTTCCTTGATTATGTTCTACCTTTCGAAATAAAGGCGGTTCAATCCGTTTCTCCGGTTCCTGGATTGTTGCGCAGATTGTCGTGGTCCTCTCGGCTGGATGGCCTGCTTCCCGAGATACACCTGAGATATGGTGTGGAAAGCATTGCAAACCAGCTCGATCTATCCTGAGCTTCTCCCTCTTTCCTTCAGGCCTGGAATATGGCTTGCAGACTGAGAGATGTTGATCGGGGCGTTGGAGCCGAAGGCTTTTGTCCTTCTCTCTCAAATATAGTGCCACGTAACAAACATCTTTGAGCTTGGTAGATAAATCTCTAGCAGCTCGAATATGCTTCGTACCGTGTGTATCATCTCTTGGATTTGATTCCGAGGTGTTGTCGGATGAGCGATATGCTGAGGAAACTTGACTGTGCTCGCACATGCACAGACTTGGATTCCAAAGCGCAGTCCACCGATTAAATTTATTTCTCGAGTTAGCCACCGCTGAGAATGTCGCACACATTCGGCAATTCTCCAACCGGCGCTCTTTCATACATGTTATCATGTATGCTGTGGACTATGCACTAATCTGAATAACAGTACCGTCCCTACCCAGGACCAAGTCCTGGTCCCTGAGACTCTCCTCAAAAAGCGCAAGAGCCAAGAGAAGGCCCGCGCTGAGAGAACTGCCGAGCTTGACCAGAAGAAGAAGGTTAGTAATACTTTGTTTTCCACTCAGAGGACGAGCGTTGTGATGTACAAAAACCTTTTGCGACTAGACAACGTCAATGCTGTTGCAAAATTAACCATCTTTCGGGTCTGAATGACGACGAGAAGAAAATTTTATTTGCCTTTTTCTCATTTGATTACTGGCGATACTAACTTGTCTTCCTCATAGGCCAACAAGGAAAAGCGTGGTGTCATCTTCAAGCGTGCTGAGAAGTACGTAACCGAGTACCGTGATGCCGAGCGTGAGAAGGTTCGCCTCAACCGCATCGCTAAGCAGGAGGGCAACTTCCACGTCCCTGCTGAGGAGAAGTTGATCTTCGTCATCCGCATCAAGGGTATCAACAAGATTGCCCCCAAGCCCCGCAAGATTCTCCAGCTCCTCCGTCTCCTCCAGATCAACAATGGTGTCTTCGTCCGTGTCACCAAGGCTACCGCTGAGATGATCAAGATCGTTGAGCCCTGGGTTGCTTATGGTTACCCCAACCTCAAGAGCGTCAAGGAGCTTATCTACAAGCGCGGTTACGGCAAGGTCAACAAGCAGCGCATTCCCCTCACCGACAATGCCATCATCGAGGAGAGCCTTGGCAAGTACGGTATCATCTGCATGGAGGATCTCGTTCACGAGATCATCACCGTCGGCCCCAACTTCAAGCAGGCCTCCAACTTCCTATGGCCCTTTAAGCTCAGCAACCCCAACGGTGGTTTCCGCCCCAGGAAATTCAAGCACTTCATCGAGGGTGGTGACCTTGGTAACCGTGAGGACAAGATCAACGCTCTGATCCGACAAATGAACTAAGAGGTTTGACTTTTCTCGTGGGTTATTGGGCTTGGTATTGGCGTGTTGTTTCTGCATGGTCGGCCGGCGTTATAAAAAGGCTTCGGAAGCTATCAATGAATTGAGATTTGTGATGATTACGACTTCTCAGTCCCCGTCCATGATGATGTTCGTGCTGCACTGAGAACGCGTATGCCTAGCTGCAACAATACCATGATCATTACGCCACTTCTCTATCCTTTGTTCTAAAGTAATTCACTGTCTTAGTATTTGAACTTATGATGAAGCCTAGTTTTGGTAATTATGTAGTTCCACGGGCGTATTGGAGACGCTGTTACCTACTGAGTACTATGTACTGGCTCTATGTAACGGGGCCGATTAGGTGTGGCCCCATGACGAGGCCGACTGATGAGCGAACCTGAACTTGAGCTGGTGTGAAGGGTAGTGAATCGTATCACTGATTTACTAGTATAGATATCATGTCGGGCTCCGTTATTTCAGACGCAAGGCGCGAATTGCTGAGAAGCTTGGCGCATCAGGCTAATATCTCCCAAACCAAGGTACTAAAATAGTAAGACTGTTGTTAATTATTGAAAGTTGTATCATCTTGAGTGGTTTTATTAATTGTTTGTTCGTTCCATCCGTACTGCATGGATCTATTTCTCTCGTCCGAAAAGTAAGTATCATACACATGTATCATACCCGGGTACACATTGGTTCTTCTGGTACGCAATTCCATGGGCCTTCCAGCGAAGGCACTTGTTTCGTTCTTGCTTCCGCAGGCTTTCTCTTACAGATAGACGTATAGACATACAAGTAAAAACCGTAATTTATACACAAAAAGGCCCTGAAAGCAGATTTGCACAAAATCTGAAGACTTGAGTTCATAAACACTTGAAAGTAATGGCTTGCTTGCGAATCGTGTGGTACATCTCCAGCTCATAATTAGCTCTATTGAAAGCGCTCCGTCTACGCAGTTCACTCGTTTGGAGACAGGAGCCCGGGAAATCGCATCGCATCGCATCAGCGGAAGGCAGTGGAGAAAAAGGAAGTTCGAGAAAGCTGGTAGTTAAGTAGATGCTCAGCTCAGGCTTTGATGTCGAAACTCGTTCCGCAGCCACAGCTGCTCGTTGCGAGCGGGTTGTCGACAATCTTGAATTGACTGCCGATCAGCTCCATCGTGTAGTCCACCTTGCTGCCCTTCAGGAGCTCGAGACTGGGCAAGTCCATGACGATCTTGGGGCTCGTGAACGATGCGGATGCGGGGGACTCGGCGGCAGCGTCGTCTGGGGCGAAGGCAAAAATGGTGTCGTCGTCGTTGAGCGCGGACGGCGAGGGCGTGTCCGAGGTCGTCGTCGACGGAGTTATGTCGTCGGCTACTTGGTCTGGTGCGAGCGATGAACCGGGAAGCGTTGTTAGGGACATCAGGTATTGGAAACCATGACACCCGCCTGATTCCACCTGGATCCGGAGCGCGAGGTGCGGGTTCTTGTCCTTTGACATGATTTGCGAGAGACGCTGTTGCGCCGACCATGATGGTTAGCTAAGAACGTAGAGGAGGGTAGAAATAGCAGGGGTAGGAGAAATATCACGGACATTAGCGGCTCGGGGTGTGATCTCTAATGCCATTTCGTTCCCATCTTCGTCTCTCTGGGGATTGTGAATGGCGAAGGTCTTGGCTAGTGGTCTCGAAGTTGTAAAGGCCCTCTTGCTCAGGGCTGTTTGGCCCTGAGGCTTTATCGCATTTACAACCCGGCTGGCGGCTGGCGTGGTACTGATTCGCACGGGCTTGTGGCGGGCTCCTCTGACATGCAGGGCTCGCGCTTGCATTCTCGGTGGGAGCAGGACATCGAGTATGGTGCTGGAATTTGACGTTACGGCGAAAGATGTACTACGGCGGACGCAGAGCTGCACGAACAGCCTTGCTGCCGAGGGAGGGTTGACACAACCTATGGGAGGCATATTTGTTGTTGGTCGATCTGAGACTAATAACAGAGACCGTGGGTTAGTTAAAGTTGAGCCATTTGTTTCCAAGTTAGCATATTATTAATTGATTTTTTGAGAGGGTGGGATGATGTCAAATCCGAAGTTGGGGATTGGGGATGCGGCCCCACCGAGACCCTTCCTTCGTCTTATTATACCGTTCTATCCAACGAGTACATCCTCAAGCATCCATCTACTTAAGCAGGATCATAATCAATACTACCTACTAAATCGCTAGGCTTTATTCCTGATTGTTATTTATTTATAAATTATATATGGTTATCATCAATTTGTCTACACATGCTCTGATTAACGAATGCACTATTAATTACCCTCCTGCCTGGTGTGGCCGCACGTCAACCACCCTCGCGTTTTCTAAACGCCAATCTTTCTCATCTTGGGATATCACAGGGGCTCTTATTCACGCCAGCATTACGAGTTTCTTTAGTGATTCTTCTATCTGAAGCATGTTTCAACGGGCTTGCCTGTGCTGTGAAAGGATTAAGACAGGTCTACTGGGCCTTGGCTCAAAGTAAGTATTAGGGAGCCTTTGATTTCACTCCATTCCAAAGTTAACCGCATAAAGGACCTTATAGACGTTACCTGGCGCCTATATCAGAATATCACTAGCTTGCAGGTATCTAATGCTTAGCATTGAGCCCTGTACCACTTTCACCTAACAATCTTAATTGCCAGCCTAATTGACCACAGCGTCTGTCTACATGGACATAATAATTGTACTACACCAATGCCAAGGTGATGAATTATTTGGTCGATCCCCTTCCAGAAGCCTGGTATTCAGCATGAATAGTTGTAGGATTATGCCCTACTGGTTGTCTCATAGTCAATCAATTACCAAGACGTTCATATCCAGCAAGCAATGTCCTGCTAGCCAGGAGGTAGCCAACAACCCCAGCAGCGAATATTTGCTCTACATCTTAGTGATGACGTCGGGGACACCCAGCTCAATGCTCTCCTCCAAAACCGCAATCCCGTCTCCAACATGCAGAGGATCCCGATGGAAACGGCCTTCTTCAATATCTTCCTTAATCATGGGTGTTATACCTCCTCGATTAAAGTCCTCAGACAACATTCGCGACTTTACCGAACTCAGACTAGCCCCGAGGAACATAGACTGCTCGGTCGGCTTGAATGAACAGATGGATTGAAATTCTTCGATCTCGGCTTCGTCTAATTCTTGCTCCATGAGGCCTGCGATAGACCTAACGACCTGGCGATGGATTTGATAATTCGTCTTTAGTGATTCTGGACTGTAGATGACTTAATAATCGACAACGAGTCGACAAAGGCATATAACTTACCTTCTACCATCGCATACGAAGGGACAAGACTCAAAGTTCACCGTACCGTTTTCTTGCTGAGCGATACCCGTCCAACATATTGGGGTTGAAGGCGGAGTGAACGCTGGTCGTTGTTGTTCAAAAATGTTGACTTCTGAAGGTGTTGATGTGAAGCTATCAATCGTAGAGCCCTCTCCTGGTTCTACGTATTCCGTCTCGAGAATTGGCTCCTCGGTTATATCAGATAGCGACCACGTTGACTGCGAAGATGGCGAGGACGGGCAAATATGCGCCTTGACTCGTGGCTATAATTGATCAGCGCATTGCCCTAGTGTCAAGTGTGTAAAGAATGCTACAAACCCACGGAACCGGCCGTAATCCGATGTCCCTTATGATCGTAGCATCGACTATTGGCCTGGCTTTCATTCGGTGGAAACCATAGCCGGTAGCGACAGTGGGAGGCACCTCGCCGCTCATAATACCATTGAGGCTAAGATACGACCGTGGCTCACAAGACGGGCGGCAGTAGTGGCAGTATTTGGCCTGGCACTCATCGTCCTCACGAGGGACCCAAGGCTTTATACCCGTTGGTACTGGAAAGCCGAGTCCGGCGGGAAGCTTCAATGAGTTCCTACGGTAGCTTCCTGAAGGATAGTATAGGGGCGGTGTCGAGTCAGAAGCTTGGTGCTGTTGTGAGACAATGTTCAATACCTGCCCTAGTTAGGTCTGGTTCCGTGATACAACTCGATGTTTCTCTTACATTTTCTCTCTGCTCTAAAATGGTTGCAACCTGGGTAGGCGAATATGTCTTCATCTGGCCAGGGCTAATCTCTTCGAAAAAACTCAGCTTACTCGCTCTTCTCTCTGGGCTTCGGAGACCTGGGCGGATCTCATTACCGAACACAGTACCTAGAAAGTCAAAGCTCACCTGAGGATCGGAAATATTAAAAAAAAAGTCCAGTCTATCTCCAATAGCAAGGCGAAGGGTTAACCTTACTGCTTGATTCTTCTGAAGAGCATCTGCAATCAAATGTTCCCGATCTTGCGTGCATCTATACAGCCATCCCTACTGGCCAGGTTGACGACACAAAGAACAGTTGAATTCCGTGTCATACACGCGTGTCATGGTCAGATGCGTGCATGTTGGCTGGAATGTTTGTGGTTTGTATGTCGAATAAGTCGAGACTGGCACAGGCGGTGCAGGGGTGCCAGACCCGGTGGTAGACGTAGGAAGTGAACTTTGCTCGTCCATAGCTAAGTGGGCAATGTGCTTTATCATATTTTCGATGCTCGCAGACTTGGATTTGTTGTGTCAGCGATCTCATCTCTCTTTCTTCTGAATATCTTCTGTTGTTGTAGACTTATGCTTGTACTTCTCCGAGCAATGAGACGCTCAGAAGTAGACGAAGTAGAAGTCAGAGTGGCATGGCGGGTCTGGGGAAAACTTCAAAGTCATAGTAGTTATCGAATGTTGGTTGAATAGAGACGAAGCAGATAATAATTATCTCATTTACTTCATGTGCAAGTTAAGTGGTGGTACAGGCAACGACCGCCAAGTCTGTGGTTGAAGCATGGACACCTCTCCTGCACTACCTATGCAAGTAGTCTGTTTACCTTTGCCTCCGCTACCTAAATTAACTTGGGCATCACAGCAGTTGAAGGTAGATCTCTACTTACGTAAGTTTAGCTTAGTAGAACCGGCACCAATCTCAAGATTGAATAAGTTTGAAGTTTACGTACTATGGCTTGAACAAGATCTTCTTCTGCTTCTTAACATGGGATATGAAGTACCTAGGTACACTAGAATTATGGCCATGAAGGATACCTGTGAAAACAGGAAGAGTAGGTGCATTAGTGTGATGGCAGAAACCAATCAGGTGCGAGCGAGCTGAAATGACTGGTGTTTTAGGTAGTCGTTCTTGAGCAACTGCACATCAATTAGGTGCCTACAGTCTGCCTATAGACAGGTACGATGCACGATCTTCAGGTACCTGATGGTCCTTAGCCATGTACGTAAGTATCTTGGCCCACAAGTAATGCGGCCATGTACCTATGAGGTGCCTATCAGGTACCTGCGCAGACTTGCAGGTAGGGCAGAGGATCAGGTCAGGATTCCCCAGCATGAGCCAGTATGAGCCAATAAAATTTGCGCGTCTGAAACCGGGGTACGTACCTGGAGCAGAAATGGACAGAAAAGAAGGGCAGACCTATTCAGAGGCAGTTCAGAACTTCAGAGACGCCAGAGGAAGGGGTGGCAAGCTGACATTTGTGGCTAGCCTAGGTCTGTCCAGGCGGGCTTGGTGCAATCTGGGTGCGCGCTCTGGTGGTTGTCATGCAGCAACTATCAGCAAACAATTGGCGGAAACATCCCCCCCCCCCTTCGGCCCCTAAACATTACGCGGACCCACCCAGCCACGGTCGCGCGCGACAACAAGAAAGAGCAAGCAAGCAAGCAGTACCTAGTGCCTACTGTACTTACCTACCTACCTACACTAACTACCCTGGCCTACCTACCCTACCTGGGCAAGTGCAGCATCCCCCCCTGCCGTCCATCGTCCAACCTCGCCCAGCCAGCCCAGTTGGCCAACCAAAGACACCAGCCTCCCCCTTCTACACTATTACCCACCGCCCGACCCAATTCCTCCCAACGACGACATCAACGTAGACGATAGTATACGACGACGCCGCCGCCGACGAGATCGATGATACCCGCATTCCGCCATCTCTGACGGCGATCGCGAGCCTAGGCCTCCCTGGACATCAACCGCTTCCATTACCTCGGGCCCCTGAGGGCGCTTGGCGAGCTGCCACGATCAAAACAACATTTGCCGAGGCTTCCTGGGCCCGTGTAAACAAACCAATTGGCCTGCACAACAGCCTCTTCACCCGCCTCTTCACGACCGCACAATCCCCATTTGACAAGCCCGCTCTGCGCGATTCTTGCTGGCAATTGTCTGGCCCAGCCTGTCTCACCAGTTCTCGTGCGATTGATCAATTGGTCGATTGATTGTTCGCGACCATGTCGGTCAAGGTCGAGCGGGATACCGTCCGAAAGGTGACCGAGTCAGTTGGCGATGGCGCTTCTGCCGCAGCCGCCGCAGCTGCCGGTGCTCCTCGCGATGGCCCCCTCCCCGGAACCAGTGGCAAGCACCCTTTCGCCGCCGCCATTGGCACGGCCCTCACGGGTGGAAAGAAGAATGCCGGTACCAAGGGCTACTTGATGGTATGTTTTGTGCAAATAAATTTTATGCTCACACCTCGCGGTAATGGTGCGCGTCAAGCTGACCTCGGGCATAACAGGCCTACATTACTGAGCTCGAGAAGAACCCGCTGCGCACAAAGATGCTCACATCCGGTACTCTCGCTGGTCTCCAGGAGTTCCTCGCTTCGTGGCTTGCCAAAGACCGTAACAAGCATGGCCACTACTTTACTTCACGGGTGCCCAAGATGGCTGCGTATGGTGCGCTCGTCAGTGCACCACTCGGTCACTTCTTGATCTGGCTACTACAGAAGGCCTTCAAGGGCCGCACGAGTCTAAGGGCTAAGATTGTCCAGATTCTCGTCAGTAACTTAGTGGTAAGAATAAAGCTCTACCCCTTTCCGGTCGGATATTCGTCCATTGACTCAATTATCTATTAGATTGCACCAATCCAGAACTCAGTATATCTCGTGGCCATGGCCCTCATTGCTGGGGCTCGCACATATCACCAAGTCCGCGCCACCGTTCGTGTGGGCTTCATGAAAGTCATGAAAGTCTCTTGGATTACGTCGCCTATCTGCCTTGCTTTCGCTCAACAGTTCCTGCCCGAGTTTGCCTGGATGCCCTTCTTTAACTTTGTCGCTTTCGTTATTGGTACGTATATCAATACCGTCACCAAGAGGAAGAGGCTCGCTGCCCTGCGCAAGAAACACTTCGGTGACGGCCGCCCAACTTCCATGGGACCTCCCCCTCCTCCTCAACGACCTGAAGACTACCCTCCTATCGGACCTAACCCTCCTTACTAAACGACCAACACTACGAACTGGTAAAGATATTGTATAATGAAGTAAGCTAGCACTTGGGTAAATTCTGGAAAGTATCTATGACACTCAGTATATTTCGGACAATATGTAGTGTTAGATTACATGGGTTCTGGGTAGGGGGCTGAATGTGTTGGACAGACGATCTATCACGCTCGGGAATATTTACAGTTGTATAGTTGATTTTGGCCGCTTTTCCCACACCAATTCAGTATTTCTTATAAAGTATCTAGGTATATTTACGTGGAAAAAGCATGGATGCTCAGAGACAGGGTCGATTTTCGTCTTTTCATTATGGCGACCCAGACTATACTCTCAAAAAAGATGATATCGCAAAACAACACGTAAATTTCCCGAGATCTCGACTTGCTCACACAAGGTCTAAGCTGCGGCGACCGTGAAGTCCACACAGGCCTCGTATGTCTGTTTTGCTCCTGTACCGTACCACCACCATTGGATCACCTAGCACAAAAACCTATCAGTATCCATGGAAGTGCTTTGTTTAAAAGAAGAAAAGCTTTGCGATGAATTGAAATCAACTTACACATTCACCAGCAGTAGCACACTTGCCGTCAAGCGTCGTCGGGATCGTAATTTTGAAATCAGTCTGGTTTGCCGGCAATGTCTTCCCATAGAACTGCCTCTCATCGGCATATCCGGACGGCCAGCTGAGCAGAGGCCGGCCAACGATGGCATTCGTCTTGGTGTCGACGATGGAGACGTTGGCGCTTCCCGCGTGCGGGATCGTCAGCGCGACCTTGATCTCGACCGTCTGGCCCGGCACGTACGCCTGCACGTTGGCCACGTTGTCGCCGAACTGCACGCCGCGGCACAGCCAGAGGTTGCACTGCGCCGCCTTGTAGCCGGCGTCCTTGGCTGCGAGCTCGGGGAGACCCTCGACGTGCGACGTCTTGTCGCGCACGATGTCCGCTACGACGGAGCGCCCGCACGCCGTCGTCGTGGCGTTGCCGGGCATGCGCATCGGTGGGCTCGAGATGTACCCGTGGGCGTGGACGAGGGCCGCGAAGGCCGTGGCGCTGAGGAGAGGGGAGAGCATCTTGGATTGTCCTGGGTCGAACTACGGAGTCTAATAATTCGAAGTCGATTGCTACAGAATATCCTTCTTCCTGTTTTCTGTTTGCTGGATATACAGTTGGGCTAGCTCGCGGTTATGCTACTCAGTCAAGCGTCAACAGCGAGGACTGCTACGCCTTTTGTACCGACGTTCATCATTTCCCGCATCTGGCAGCATTCATATCGGTCGCAATATACATCACCCCGGCGCGTCCTCCCATCTATGGTCCCTGGGGGCCTTTTGGCTTTACGAGGTATTTGTAAGGGTAATCTATTCGCGATGCGCGGTCGGATGCGGTGCTCACCCCTTTTTTGATGTTCATTTCGCCGGCAAAATAGATGGGACAGGCGGGTAAAAGAGTTGAAAGCACTGTCATTGACCTATTCTGGAGAATAGGGAGGGCGTAGTATATTGTTCTTGCAGCGGACCGTTTTATTTCCGAGATCTTTTTCTGTCTATCTATCACGTACCGCGATATTAGTTGCGGGATGGAAGCGAGTGGGATGGATTACGACGATGTGATGCTATGCGAATAGGTCGGCCACCCATGCGGGCGGCATGGCATTCCTAGAGGTTAAGCAGAGATCGACAAGAGCAGTCTGCTTTAGGAGGCCCCTTTCCTGCGATAGCGCATTTGGTGTGTTCCGGACTAGAACCCCCTCATGGACTTGGGAGTCTAGATCGCAAATATGTTATGTGATGAGAGTAGACATAGCCTGTTATCTTGCATCGCAGTCTTTCCGAGATACGGCAAGATACTACCATTCGATTAGAGAGAGGACGAAGAAAACAATAGTGATAGGCATCCTCAACGTTCCCCTATATACATACCTCTCGTAAGGACTTTTATTGTTGGCACTTAGAAAAAGAGAAAGAAAAAGATTGGCATCTCCTTCCAGTAGTCTACGATCATATTGTTGTGTCGGCTCACCTTAGACACATCTCTACCTCGATATTTTCACGATGTCTATTTACATACATCATATGCCCGAGGTTTTACCGATAGACATGGCAGCCATGAGCACGCCCTACACATCACGAACTTTCTACCGCAATCATTCCAACTACAGAGGGGACAGGTCAACTCACAACACAGCAGAGTGGGTTGTCATACGTAGTCCTGCCGGCCAGAGACGAGCGGCTCAAGTAGTCTTTGAAATGACGTAAACCAGAGGCCGATTCACTAGGTGCAAGCATGCGCATCGTTCGGCTATCAACAAAATTCGCTTCACTACCAAGGCACCAATTCCGTGGGACTTGCACACGGCTTCTTCATTCCAGTGCTCGGATGGAGAGTGTCCAAACCGGGCGCGAGACGCCACCAGCATGGCTTCAGCGGATCGTGCAGGACAGCACCAAGCCCCCAAAGCTATACGCCTGGACCCTTGAGAATCTATCGGCAGACACCGAAGCGGGAGCTGGATCCCGCCAGGTTGGTAGCCATGGTAACGCCGATGCGGACCGCAGAATCTACATCTTGGGCGTCGGCAACATCGGCCGCTTGTACGCCATGTGCCTGTCTAAACTCGCCAACCGGCCGCCCATTACACTCGTCGTGCACCGCAAGGAGCTCCTCGAGCACTGGGCCGCGGCCCCGGGCATCGAGCTCACGCGCCATGGCCAGGTACACAATTGCGCTGCATTTGACATAGAGTGGTGGACGGATGTGGCGCCGCCGCCGTGCGGGGCACCAGTAGCCGAGGTGGCTGCCGGCGGCCACATCAGCAACCTCATTGTTGCAACGAAGGCCGGGGACGCCGTGCCGCAGGTCGATAGACTGCGCAGGTATCTAGGGAGTCGCTCAACAGTCGCGTTTGCGCAGAACGGCATGTGTAAGCTGTGGCCGCCTGCTGGCGAGGCGTATGTGCGCGCGAGGTTTCCAGGTGCGACGAGCCCAAATTGGATCGCTTGCGTGACGACGCACGGGGTCACCTCTCAAGGCCAATTCAAGAGTGTTCACGCCGCTCCCGCGAACGCGTTGGTCGGCCCGGTTATGGCAGGTAGTGCGGATGACGAGCAGACGGGATATCTTATGCGAACGATCGCGGATGCTCCGGACTTGGACGCGCGGCAGGTATCGCGAAAAGAACTCTGGATCGCACAATTAGAAAAGCTGGTCGTGAATGCCATCATCAACCCATTAACAGCCGTCCTGCGGTGCAAGAATGGCGAGGTCTTTGCACCCAGGAGCGATGCATTGCCAGACGTTATTGATAGGCTGGTGGGTGAGGCTAGTGAGTTGCTCGGCGCGCTGATTCTAGACTCGAAAAGCGACGAGATCCTGCTCTCTGGGTCGGTGAGCAAAGGAGTGGTTTCGGGGGACGCGACGATCGAGACGCTGAGAGTCGGTCGCGAGGAGCTTCTAGCACGGTTTTCTTTTACTCAGCTTCGAGCCTTCGTTGCGGACGTCGGTGCAAAAGTCAGTGCCAACACCAGCTCAATGCTACAAGACGTGCAAGCTGGTAAGTTGACCGAGATCGACGACTTCAATGGCTGGCTCGTAGATACGGCGAGGTTGCTCGGTAATGGGCTTCGTTTGCCGACGCACGAAAAGCTGATCGCGCTGGTAAAAGGGAAGGCCACATTGACAAGGCCCGAACTCTGCGAAAGGCTCTTGTGACGACAATGATCTCCAGTTCCGAGGGGAAAGTCTTGAGAAAATATTTCTATATACTGCAATTAGCTTTAGCGTAAGTATGTACGAAACGGCGCAAATAGGGACGAAAATAGCATGATATAGCTTCATGTTACTACTCTTCATGATCATCATCAACACCACGAGACCAAAAAAAAGGCACGAACGTTTATACTGCATGACTCTTATAATATTCCATGGTCTTATATCCATATTGTCAGACTCGTCCGCTTCGATGCTGTGCGGGGATCGGTTCAATAGTATAGTCTTATGAAATCTATATGTTTAACCCCTGAGAACAATCATGTCTCCTATTCTATAATTCTGGTTCAATAATCTGACAATATGAAAGAAGCTAATGCCCGTACGATCATCGCTCCCGCAGCATAATAACAGATCATAAGATTTCCGTCGTCGTAATCCATACTTGTAGTATTTTATTACATATAGTCTATCCAACCTAAGCCGTTGTTCGATTTTACAGGCAAGCAACACCTGATTAGATATGTCATGCCCGACGTCGGCCCCTATTGAGGAATTTCCCCTCCTCTTGATGCTTACAATGTCCTCTTGAACAAATAGGGACAGTGCTGGGATGTAGGACATGTATATATACCTCAGACAACGACTGGTAGTGCTCAAGCTGCTTTATACCATTAGGTTCTCGTGCCCACTTACATTCATGTTTCCAGAGTCCATTCAGATCGTGTTCTTTCATTCAAGTCAATAGTGTACAACCACAGCTGTTTGAAGAGTCTACACCCCCCAAAGGCATGAGAATTAGGGGGCTACAGAACTAACGCATAAATCTATATATTTGAGAACAATCTTTAGCAACACAATATACCTCCTGTTAGTTGAGAAGGCTCAACCAAATGTTGCGAGAGCCAGCTGGCTTGCGGGGAGTCGATGAGACGTAGCAACCATTGCACCGTCTTAAACCGATGGTCCCTAACATAGGTATCCTTTGCGAGCCAATGAACCAACAATTTGGCTTTGGGATGTGTGGGCAGGGGGGCGGACATCGGAACTGAGCCAGTGAACAAGTAACGGGCTACGGATAGACCGAGCCCTGCCGTCGCCGGAGCGCCTGAGATTTTTTAACGGCGAGCAACGCGGTTGCAGGTGTTAAATGGGATACGAGCACTACTGCATTCTAACTCGTAGAGGCTTATCCTTACTAGAATCGTGCCCCGCGAACGTTGGTCCTGTTGAGGCGTAGACGGGGCCTTCTCATCATTTTAGCTCGTCAAAGTAGGGCCGAACCACGGTTCTGCTAAGAAACTTATGTTCGTCAGCGGAATATGCCGTTCGAGTATATAGTATTTGGGAACTGTGGCTTTTGGCTATGGAAAGTCTTTGGTAGCCCCATACGATGCCCTAATGATGAGTATCATTACTGCATCGGTGGCTTGTGAATCAGTTGTTGGCTCGATTGCCTTGATGTTACTAGCTACCTAGCATATCCCGTTTTCACTCTATTACGAGTAAAGAAGCTGGTGAGATTCCATCCACTAGGTATGTACATACACAGTTGATCTTGGCCCCGAGCCCCGGACTCTGAAACTCGACACCCCTCCTCTCGCCCACTGTCCCTCGCATATCACAAGCTTATCTCACAGACACGGCAGACGCATTTGATTGTCACCGATATTGATCTACCGGCAAGCGAAGCCTACGCAGGGCTGTAACCTGGCGTACATGCGGTGTCCAGTAGTGTAGAGTGCTCTAGGTAGATCATGTACTTTTGACGTAGGCAGCGTATGTCTGTTTCGAGAAGGACGAACAGGAATATTCGATACACGTATGACTTACAAATCGGAACCAGTAGATTTCGCTGGGTGCAGGGCGTTTATCCCCCCTCACCGCCAACCGCCTCGCCTCGCATAATGTTGGCGGATCATGGGATAGGATGGCCACTGCTTTTCGCATGACACACTCTTGTTTTTTCTTCTGTCTGTTGTCGATGCGAGACTCGGGTGTGTCCAACCATTTCCACCCAGTCTCTCCTCCCCCCTGCACACAGAGCGGGTTAACTCGGCACGCGTGTTGCGTGCGTGTGCAGAGAGGGTTCGTCACCATTACCACAGAAAGAACGATCAGTGGCTTATCTGGCGACTGTTATTGTTGTCTCCCCCCAGTTCGCGGGCTCTTATTCGGCTGGTCGTGTTATTAATACCTCAACGATATAGGTAGGGGACTGGCTGACAGGGTCGACTTACTTGATCATAAGAGGTCTTGTTAATCCCTACCTACACTACCAGCACGCTACTTAGGACACTGTCCACCTGAGAGAAAGGCGCCAATAGGTGTCTGAGGGCGATGGGAAGAAGGCTATAGTACACAGTGGTTGTATGTAGATAGGTCTATGCGAGCCTGCGCCGATAAGGCACGGTAGCGAAATAAGTTCTCTACACTCCATGGTGATAATAGGTTAGGAGGTTCTGCAACCCTGATCTGATCTTCTCTCGCCCCCATTGGCGTCGGTCGAGGTGGAGGAGTATGCGACTAATGAGCACTGCGTAGCCAACCTGGCTTCGTACACACAGCGCCTATCCCGTCTCTCTGCTGGCGGCTCTGGATCCCACCTGAAACCCGTTCGCTACTGACGCTGGCGGCAAGCTTGGTAGATAAGTGTTATAACACTCTGGTCTGTTGTCTGCTGTGAAGTGGATTAGGTACCTAGGTAGTCAACGAGAGATTCCTTGACTCGTATAGAAGCGTAGTGTTGTTTAGGGCAGCATCATGGATGAGCACAGATTACTGAGCAATATCACATGTGTTCCTGTCGCCTGGAGGGGCGCGGCACGGGACGACATCGTTATTTTGTTCGGCGTACTGTAACCTAATTAGGTGCAGGGCTAGTCACACCGCAATGGCTCTGGACGATACATACATGCATGGATAAAAGAGCTTAGAAGCCAAATTATCGGAAAAGAATAAGCACGGCGGGTTTCGTGTGCACATAGTGATGGGACTTTCCTAGAGCAATCGACCGCATCAATCTACCCTTAGATACCATTCACTACCGTAAGTTCGGTATTTGCTGTTGATGTTTACATACTTAAATTAATATCTACTTGTTTCGGTTCGAGCCGTATCCTGTCGTGTCGAAATTAGCCTATCCACCCATCGTTACCGTTTTCAGTCGGTAGCGCGATCCCATCTCGTCATTCTCACAAGGATATCTCGGCCGTTTCTTTCCCAACGGTCGTAAAACCCCCGATTGGTTTAGAGCGAAATCACTTGGAGGTCACGGCGCAAGGAGAAGAAGCGTAATAAGGTTAGAAAACCCGCGCTCTAGCATCGCATAAGAATGTCATACATGATACCAAGCATGATGGTGTTAATGAGATTAAGAGATGGCTAGCCCAGGCGGAGTAGGTGACCTGAAGCGATACCTATCTGTTGACACAAGCACTGCAGTCCCGACATACTCAACGAACAGATACCGGTAGACAAGACAGGTAGGACATATCTTCGCGGAAACATCCAATCATGGTATCCCAGCTAACCGAGTTGTTCATTTCTGTCTGTGCGGGAGTGAGACGTAAGTAAGTAGGTATTTCGCTCTTGTGAATTGGTTGCCTATTCTGGTAAGCGAAATCCCATGTCGGCATTCATTAATGAAGATAGCGTCTTGTCGTAAGCTAATCTACGCGCCTTACTGTAATTATATACCCATCCGAAATTCAATCAACGTGGTTATTGATGTGGTGGTATGCTGTAGTAGGAGTAGGAGTAGGAGTAGTAGTAATAGTCTGTCATTTGACAACAAGTGGACAGGAGCAATTGCCTTGTCCTCATAGTAGCTGGTTAGCAGAAGAAGTGGGAAAGAAGACAGAGACAGAGAGAAAGCAGATGAGAAGTAATAAGGGTGTAATCTTAGAAAGCGCTTATGTGCACATTCGGATGAGGTTCCGTAGATTTGGAGCCTCAAGTCATCCAAAACGGTTGCGGATATCTGGCATGAACGTGGAGAAATGGTCGCATGTTAACAGACCGCTGATCGTCTTGTCTAGCCCGCTTAGGAATCCTCCGACCGACCACCTGCATCTTCGCGAGAAAGCTGTCTGGGGACGGAGATGGGGCTAATTATCTCTGGTCGAACGAAGTCGGGCCAGTTGAGAGGGGTGTGTGTGTGTGTGACACGGGTATCTACACGTACCTGGCCGGGTCTATCTAACTATACACATCATCCATACATACATACATACAGACAGACATAGTATGTGACAGAGACATACCAGATCGTTTACGCCCTGCTACTGTATAGATAGGTAGGTATGTTACGTGCCTCATGTAGGTGTTTGCGCTCCGCATCTATTGGCTTGGCTTGGGGTTTTGTAAAGTAAAGCGGAGTGTGATGGCTATAACACGCTTGATACCGAGGTACATATCTCGCATACATGGCATATAGTAGAGAAAAGAGTTGTATAGAGTGAGTTACCTAGGTGTAGACGATCTACACCACGCCTGTACATGCACTGAGTGGCTCAGGCCCCGTGGAATCGAACGAGCAGTTGGCGGGTGGCTCACGTCCTCCAACAAGTCGAAGAACCAGGTCGGCGCACTATCTAGATCGATCGAAGGACGCATTTCGCGCATGAATACCTAGCCCAGACCAGACCACTGACTCGGAGGACGGCTAGATCTGGTCGCAGGTATACTTAGTACGGCCGAGTTTCCAAACGGGTCGGTTGGCCTTTCCGAGATGCAATCAAGACCAGCGCAGCAGCGCATGCCGTGCTTTTCTCCTCACGAGTCGACGACGCAGCGGCACGGGAGGTGGAAACAGATACCACCTCGGTGATGAACGAACGCGTGCTGGTTGCAGCTCTGGTCGCAGTGGCCGACCCGCAGCAGGGACCTTGCACCAGGCCCTGTTCATCTTGACAACACTCCAGACAACCAGGACCATCCAGGACAATCCCATACCATCCTATACCATCCCACCGTTGACCCTGCAGGGTACCTGGTCTACTTGGGTCTCGGCAAGCATGATCTTACGCCGTAAGCGATTCCCCATTGCGCCATCGAATTCTCCAAGACATGCTGTGCAACAGCCGTTCTGCGGGCATGACCCCTCACCGTAAGGCCGCAGGGAAATTCGACTGAGATTTGGGGCAATATTAGACGAAGACGAAAGTGCCGTTTCTTTTGTTTTTTTTTTCTTCTTTGCTCGAGGTATATATCCAGTAGTAGGGTAGTAAGTATATGATGAGGATATGTAGATAGAGATCACAGTAAAATACGAAAAATAAAAACAAAAACAAAAACAAAAATAAAGAATTGCTCTTCTCGCTACTCAATTACACCATATACAAGTAGGTAGTTGTATACACACTTGGTAGTAGGTAGGTAGGTACCTAGCTATTCGGAACGAACGCATGACTCGGTAAACAAGGCGGCCTGTAGTCGCACCGGGGAAGTCTGTCCCTGATCTCTCCGGGTAGGCAGATACCTGGCGGGAAATGCTACGCGAAAGCGGGCCAGCTTGGGGATTCTGTAACGTACGTAGTGTGGTGGCCGGGGTGAGTGTGTGATCTGATGCTGTTGGGGTAGCATCGCAGCTCCAAACTCGCTCCATATTGACCTACCGGTTCTCGCTACATGTAGCTGACATCCAAACAACATTGAGCTTGACCAACAAGGCAAGAAACATACAACTAGATCGCGCTAGTCAATGCTGCCGCAGCAATGATCTGGTCACTTGACGTAGCGGTGAAAGCATAATGGGGGTATATTCTGTACCCTCGATACTTTTCTTATCACACGAAATACACACGGCTGGAGGTAGCATCCAGGTGCCATCAGAGGTGGTCGCGCGATGGGGAACGAAACAGCTCTCACTACAGTACGCTTGAGCTGATTGGATCGCCTCGTCGGTGTTGGTCGACAGTACTGATGGTGCGATTTTCCCTCGGCAGCCACTCAGATTTTTGTCCAGGTATTATTCAATCAAAGAGTGAAATAAAAACAACATTTGGTTGGCTCGGCAGCTATCCCGCACACAGCATCATGGAAGACTTACCTATACTACACAATAGTATGAAGAATAGCACTAGGGCTAAGATCTAGCAATTTCCCACATTGGGGGACGAGGCCTACTGGAATCGGTAGTTAGGTCGATCGAGAAAATCTCCGGTTGAGGCTGGGGTTGCTGGACGAAAGAGTGACGACCCCCCCATTGTACACTGCGCTACGCAGAAATGCCTGCCCCTGGACTGTGACAAGGTTGCGATGCCTACACCACTTCCCGTGCCCTGAATTGTCCGAACCGTGACAAGTAGTCCCTCGGGTCTCCCCTTCGTCTCGCTATGCTAGGTATCCCTTCTGCTGTGCGGCCCGCTTCGCCCAACAGTGGGTTACTTAGATGTTGCAGAAGAGAGAGAGAGACAATGAAGCGCGAAAGAAGCCCAGCCGACTGACTTGGTTGCTGTAGCTGCTCGAGTGGCCGGGGGATTCAGGCTATAGTACACCAGTATTAATGCGTGTGACAATGACAGCGCATACGCGCATTTTCACGCGGCACTGACCACGTCCGCTCTTGAGCATGTGCGGTAGAGGCCGTTATGTGGTGCAGCCTAGTGTCCAGCACCGAGATACCGTAGCAAGATCTGCTCGACAAACCACAGGCCCTCGTTGTATCGTCTCTGCAGCCAAGGGATCTCAACTGTGGCTAGGTTAGAGACCAGCCTACCCCGGTTCCACCTCCACGTTTTTGTGCGTTGTTTCCAGTATCCTGCGTCAACTTGCCAGTTGAAGCGGGAGCTCGCCCGACCAATCGAACCCTCCGCTGAGCATCGCATGGACGGGTTTGTAACATGTTGTCATTGATTCCTTGGCCCCTCCCATGCTTCAAAAGTCCTCGCCAGGCGAGGAGAAAATCGAGTGGCTGGTGGTTTATATCACCTGTATTATAACTACCTCACCTGGTGAGGGATCGGATTTGTTAGACGTATCTGATGAGCAGTATCGGCACAATGGCAAAAACACATAACACAGGGGCTTAGCATTTGAATGAGGCTGGGGCTGGCCCAGCGTTATGCTCGGCACTCTTGCCATCTACCTAGTACAACGGGGTAAATCATGTATTTTTCCTAGGTGAAGGAGTACACCACGATTATCTAAGGCGCCTATTCACCCAGTTAGAATACCATAGCGTTGCCTCGGAGAACTCACCCTTCGATATATCAGAATCAGTGGGTCATAATAGACAACGGTGTGTAGTGTAGGCATAGGTTTAGATATCAGCATTTGTGGATAGGAACGGCACGGCATGCGTGACAAATAAGCACCTTCAATAGTGCCAGATCCTTCTGAACTTCTCACCCGTGCTTCTGGCCCAGTCGAAATTGGCTAGCGATCATCTCTCCTTGAATTTGCCCATAGACTCACCGGCAGTCTTTGTCCTATCTGCCCATCGGTCGGCTGGGCCTAATGACACATATTTTGCCTGAAACGCATTGCTGATATTTTTTATCGCCTGTAATTTGATGGTACCTGTATCAGACCCGACTGCTCTCCGTATGCCGCGTGCTCCATCTTCTGCCGCCCTCGTTGACTGCCATTAATCAGCTTCGTTTCCCTACCATCGTCATCATCGCTCGAGGGGTATCTTTCCGTCACGCCCAACCGGTTATTAGAATACATAAAGTGTTTGTTTCCCAATCTACCTGCAACCGCTGTTACAATGCAATAAACAAAAAAGAAAACAGAAAATCAGCTATCTCCTGAGAGATGTGTCAAGTAGTCTGCTTCTGCTCGCCCATGACAAGTGACTAATCAACCAACGATTTATGGAATAAACAGAAAGAAAAAGTGACAAAGGAGATGCTTCATGTTTATGTGACGTCCCAGACGCGCGTGCATTATATATACTGAAGGTTATTGGGCCGGAAGATAGTGAATAACGCCAATCAAAACACCATTTTCGCTTCGTCCCCATCATTTGTCTAAGACCCGCCGTGTCATCAAGAAGAAGATCGTAGTAAAGAAGAGCAAAGAAGAGAAGGACGTAGGCATCGTAGCGTGTTGTGGGCACCTCTAACCAAGAGTTACCGTCTTATATACCGCAAAATTTAAGCATGCACAAAGTCATTTGCCCTTTACTACCAGAGCTGTTGTACATAGTGCGGGAGTGGAAATTCGGAAGCACGCCGGCCATTCCCGAACGCCTTGCTCATAACGAAGGATAGAATAGGTAGTCTGTTGGCCAGTGATGGGATTAGAACGTTAAGTTGTTGATCGTATGGTCGATGTTCGTAATTAAATTGCTCTGGTGATCGGCTCTGGTGATCATTAAGAGTTCTGGCTGCGTGTCGCTGCCACCGCGCAGCCGAAGCTATAGATTAGATAGATTAATTTCTCGGTGTGGTGGATCAGATTAATCGTTGTTGATCGGGTCCATGTTGCTGTTATCTCTTCAGCTGCTGAGGATAGATCATGTCCCCAGATGCAGGAGCTGAAGCACCTGCTGGGGACCCTGATTGCTATAAGCTCTCTTCTGCGCCGACCTCTTCTGGCATCTCGCCGGACAACTGTGCAGCTCGTTCACGACAGGCCTGTGGAGTGAATCCTGGGCCAACTTTGTTTGAGACATAGCGCCATTTCTCGTTTTCGTAGTCTTGAAGTGCCGTTCGAAGCTTTTGATCCTGTTTACTCCTATGTTAGTACCCAACTCGACACCTTAGATGGAAACGAGTTGCGCTCGTTAAAAGACAATCTTACTGTTTCATCTGTCCACTGTGTAGTCTTTGCTTTCAACTTAGTACAATAGCGGACCTGGAGGGTTCCGGAAGAGCGTCCAGGGAAGAAGTCTGCTATCTGCTTCCAAGTCAAGCTTTTGTTTTCCTTCAGATCGATGAGGAGTGCGTCGTCTTCTGGAGTAAACTTCAATTTTGGGCCCCTTGGTCGCGGTGCAGGCGCAGGCATCCCAACCTGTCCTACCACACTTGGTGCGCCTCCTACCCCACTGCCCATACCTCCTTCGCCGTCGCGCCTCATTATTTTGGATGGCGGTCCCTGATCTGGGAGTCTATGATGATGATGGGTTGGAGCCGCCGCCGCCGCCGCCTGTGCGTACGCAGCTCCCATGGAAGACTGCTGCATGGGATCGAGGTCACCTTGCTCGAGGTCGGGGATGCCGGGAACTGAGAGATCAAGGTCGTCCGGCCGTGGGCGCTTCGAACCTGCGCTGTGCGACTGAGTTGGTGTTAACGACGGATACAATGGCGCGCCGACGACAGCATGAGGCGAGGGGCCTGCACCATAGTGCGGAGGTTGATGGCCCATGTGCCTGGCCGCCGGGTGCCCTCCCAGATGGCCCGGATCCATCAGGATCTGGTGGTGGTGATGGTGGGCAGGATGATGTTGCGACATTGTATGGTGGGAGTGTGAGGCGGGCTGCTCGTGTAAGCCGCCGTGTCCTGAATGTTGCTGCATCGGATTAGCTCGATGATGGTGGTGTGAGTCGTATGCGTGCGGAGTTTGGCTTTGCTCCCCCGGGTGCGACTCTTGTGGAGAGTATTCGACATGGTAGTCTGGTCCTACTCGATAGTTGCCCGCCAGCGTGTCCTCGATACATGGGTCCCGCCAGAGCGAACCGCTCTGAACGGTCGCCGGATTCTGAACTGAGAGAATCTGAAAAATGGAAACCCCTCGGGGTTTCTGGTGCGCGGGGGGCTGTAACCCAGGTGGGTGCTTGTCGCTTGTCCTGAGAAGAGTCGACGTCGTGCTGGCTTGCCGTTGAAGCAGAGATCGGGTGATGTCTTGCGTATCTAACAGCACTGTACATGTGTTGGTAGGTGGTGAATCTCGTAGATGAGGTTTTCAGGGTTGAGTTGCCGTAGGAATGGTGTTGATATTGGTGTTGGTATCTTGCGAGTGATAAGGTAGGTTTCTATTTACTAAAGGGAAGAATAAAAAAAAATAAAAACCAAACTCGGCGCAATCCGTTGCCAGCTAAGCACTCGAGTTTGGGGATTAGCCCTTTTTCTTGTTTTCCTTAAAAGCTCTATTATATGGTGACAGAGTGTCAGAGGATACTAGGGCACGCGGGCAACTGTCTGCATTATATCGTCTGATTTCCCTCTTAGTTACCATCCTAGACTGGGATGCGGTTGGGATTGACAGGCAAGCACCTGGACTAGGTCACTTTCATCCAAAAGTCAAAGCACTTGACCGGATTCGATCTGTGCGAGACGAGTATGGTTCCTGAACGGGTGTGTAGGTTCGCGTACCTTGGCCGGCGAGGACGTTAGCATAATTTGGGGATCTTATGCCATGGTATGCCTGGCCGGATATAGAAACGAGACAAGGCCCCGGCCGGAGGTGATGATGCAACTAGGGGCGGACGACCACCACGGCGGATCGAGCTCAGGGTATAGCCGGTAGAGGATTAAGAGACCAGGGGAGCACGAATAGAGGCAAGCGCGGCGACCCAGGCTTGCAAGGTTGTATTCGAGCTAATCTCGGCGGGACTGATGTGGCCCGACAATGCTCGAGTTTAGGAAATGGCGTGGGAGAGACAAAGCAAGACTGCAGAAGAAAGAGAGAAAAGCTGAAACAAGCCCTAACCATGGCGGTTGGGCATGCGTGTGAAGAGGGCATGACAGCAATAATACAGGTGTCCCACACCTCAGTTCATAGCAACCAGGTCCCTGCTCAACATACTGCTTAGAAAAGCCAAGGCTATGGCAATCCCTGAAAGGTCAGACTGCCGGTTGATGGGTGGCGCAACAAAGACCGGCTGCTAGGAAGCAAATAAGAAACAAGTATCGGGGAGTTGGGCCGTTCACACACCTCCACTTGGAGGTTATAGTTGAGACTAGGGTGGTTATAATAAGAAAGCAGAGAGCTATGATGCTGACATGCCATAGGGCAGTGGGAACAGCAAGGTTACAAAGTAGCCCCAGGTTATGCTAGGTAGGTAGATTGCCGAATACAAAAGTCGCAAGGCAGGGCAATCCGGCCTCGGGCCACTAACTAGCAAGCAAATTTGCCCTTTATGTACAGATGCGCGGCGTGTCGCAGGGCTCTTGAGAAACCGATAGATTTTCTAGCCTGTTGAGGTCTGATTTTAATGTGAGCAGGAATCCCAAATGAACGTCGAGTGAGTTCGAACTGGGCCATGTTGTGTAGTGTAGTACACAGAGGCAGAGGCGGCGGAGTAATGTAGCGGAAGGAGAGGATACGTTGAGAGGTTCGGCCCAAGACAGGCGACGAAGCGTTTCTGGGACGAGACGAACATGTACAACTACTTACGTGGGTTAGAAGAGCAAGCCCACACATTCTCCTTGAGCACCCCCCCGTACACTTCAATGCGTGCCCTCGAAGGGGGTTGATTGCGGCGAGGCTCGAGCGAAGAGCCATTGACCAAGCAATTGGCCCCTCTTCGCATCATCGGAGACGGCGATCCCAACCATGACCATGACTGTACCGGAACGTTGAGCATCTGATCTTGACTCAGCGAGATATCGAACCGCCTACGGGCTCTGTACGGGACCAGACCAGACCGGTAGCGTGGAAGGACCCGCGACCCATGTATCCTCCTCGCGTTCTGTTATTGCGCAATCCAATGCGAAGGAGCGTCGAAGCCACTTGGGGCATGGCGGCGGACGGTTCTGATACGTATTCAGAGGGCAAGCTGAAGGCAGACGATCCCAAGGCGAGCGGTTGCATGAATTGAACGCGTCTCAGCAGTTCAAGCAATTAAATGATGTATTATGCTGAAGGGTCAGGGGAAATTTGCGGGTGGGCTCGGTGGGTTCGGGCTTCTAGAAAGGCTTAAGAGCTTCTATGGCGCGAGCAGGGGTTGCGAGCCTCATACACCTTGACCTTGACTCGCACGCACACCACACACACACACACGCGCGCGCACACGCGCACATGTACCTGAGCCACAGCGTGGTTCGACATCATGTGAACGAGGCACATAATCGGTGGGTGTCTCCTCATCTTGCATCTCAAGAAGTGGACTTATTTGGAGCTGGGGAGGGTGGGGAACGGACCGGAGAAATGAGCACTTAAAGCAGAGACGGGACAGTAGCGAATGAGCATCAAGAAGAAGGCGACAACAAGGCGACAACAAGTCAATTCAAAGACAGACCTACCGGTAACTCATACAGTAGACGCCTGGTCCTTTCCGTGCGGGTCGAGGTGTTTTGTAGATAGCCTCAATCGCGTATGCAGACTTTTGGGATACATCATGGCTAGGTACCGGCAATGTTGGCAGTACCTATACCTTGTATATACTACTCGGTAAGTACCTACATGTATGTAGGTACTCTAGGCTGCACATACCATACCGTACCTGCATATATACCTAATACGTGTGTAGTAGTAAGAGGTAGCAGTCTAGGCGTGTAGACGGTTAGCTACTTACCCACGTGGAAAGACTCTATCTACGTTGGAGATGTAGGTACCTGTTTTTTCAAGTTGTAAGTGAGCAGATAGAGGTAGTCGTCTGTATATGTCATCTGTATATGTACAACCAAATAAGTAAGTGCATATATATTCGAGTTATAATTAGAGTAACGGGCTGCACTGCATGGGGGTTTGAATATGTAGGTATGGATCTGTAGCTAAGGGCAGAGCTACTACTGTACCTGCTATGTAAGTCAGGAACCATGGAGACACAAGGTACAGTAGTGTAGCAACCGAAGACGCAACCGAAGACGCCACCGGCTCGCGACGACGGACTACTTGGGTTAGCACTTACTTACTAACTTACTTACTTACATCACGGCTTAGGTAGTAGAGGAAGGGTGAAGTGTAGATGTAGGTACATATAAAAGTTGTATGATTACCTACATACAGTAGGTAGGTGTGTTATGAGGTCGGTTACTACATATATACCTAGGATGGCCACCAGGTTGCTGCTAAGTATATTTTTGTGACGTACCGTTCCTTAGCTTGTTCGCTTGCTCGTTCGTCCGTCCGTTAGTTCGTTCGTTCATTCGTTCGTTCGTTCGTCCCAAGGTGAGGACCTGGTGAGCAAGCAGCAGGAGGCAGAGAGACAAGTTAATCAAATCGTCAATGCCTGTTCTCGATTTAGATTTAGACTCGCGCGCTAAAAAATTAGGTACTAAGTTGAACCATGGCTCTGTGCACGCCCTAAGCTAACCAGCTGCGTACCCCATTTGCTAACATGGCGGCGGTTAGGAATTAATAATTATGCTAGTATTTCTGGCACTGTTCCGGCCAACTCATTGGATGCTCTAAACGACCTACATATCGCTGCTGCTGCTGCTGCTACATAGTATACGATCCCCAACATCGTCACATAAAGTCCAATAATATCTGAATAATATCTGCTGAGTAGATCATGTATGCACGTTCGCGGAACGATGGGTAGGGCTAGGGAGGGCCGTCATTTTCGAGTGGCTACCCGCGACACTACGCGACACTACGCTACACTCCTACTTACATAGAACCGGTATGCGTTGCATTTGCGCCAACCACAACTGCCCATGTCTGCAGTAGGAGGTACGCTACAGCATGACGCATCGTCAGGCAGGTTAAGGATCCCTATTCCAGGCTGACCAATCACTCCGTCACCCACAATGCACCTACTAACGAGTATCCAAACGGGCCGAGGGATGCGGCCGGACAGATTACTACGTAGAGAGCGCCCAACCCGCTCGCTCACTCTGCTGCCGCGGGAAAGAAGCCACGATGATGACCTGGAGGGCGACCTGGAGGACGACCCGAGGACGACCCGAGGGCCCAATAGAGGCTCGAACTCTGTGTCGAGTTTGATCCGAGTTGTGACGTTGCAAACCGCACCCGCCGAGTTCCGGGTCCCTGATCTACGGAGCCGGGCGCCGAAGGGCATGGTATCGCGCCTACCAAGCACGCACGTTCGTTGATCAAGGTCGATTTAGTTTGAGATGCATAACTCGCCGCGCGTGATTTGTTGCGCTGCGCATCGTACGATTGCATCCAGTGGCCTCGAGGGAGCCCGGGGTCTGTTACTTTCTTTTGCCTCTTTCGTTCATCTTGGTAATTCCTGACACCAACAACGCATCTTCCTACGTGTTTCGCATCGGCGTGGGGAATAAGGTAGGCGCCCACCAATTCTGTTGCAGAGCGACTCACCTCATCAGTCATTGCTGGCCCAAGCCGGCTTGAGTTCAGGACGTGTATACAGACACAGCACCTAGTATGTGCATGACCTGCGATGCTCAGGCAGAGATCGAAGATGACACCAGTTCTCCGAGATGAAAAATTGGCTCCCGAGCTTTTGGGCCGCCACAGTAACGCAGCATTGATATTGGCTGACACAGTAGAATGTTTGGAGGAGTCCCTGTCTATAATGCGCACCCTAGGACCAGCTCTTGACAGGTGGGAACCGTCGTAGCTAGCAGGCATTTAGAGAGCTTGCAGCGCCGTCGTCGAAACCGAGACTCCCCCTGCGCATATCTGACTAGGTATTACCTAAGTAAGTGTGCTGGCGCCGTTCATCATCGTTCGTTAAGAGATCTGAGGTCACAGGTGTACTTACTAATAGTACTTACCTACCTACATACCTACTATGTATGTACCTAGGACAAGTCCAGTCCAGTCCAGCCCAAGGCAGGCAACATCTACACATCTGTTGAGTACACCTACGCCGATATCTAACGTCGACCTGCCTGGGGTGTACGCATAGAGGTCATCTGTATGTAGCCATGATGTATGCATGTTCCGGTATGGTTGTAGGTAAGTCTACTCTATGTACAGGTATGTAGGTCATGCCGTGGTGTAGCGAGCGCATTAGTGCATTGACGAGGGTAATTTGCTGTTCCTATTATGCTCATCGCTAACTGATCTTAGTGTGGTATAGCGCCATGGCTCGTGCTTTTCACTTCTAACGCCAGCGCATTATCGACGCCACTTTGTCGAGGCCACGCCGAAAAAAGATCGACCTGGCTCCTATGTATGCGCGCGCGCGTGAGAATCCCCAAGTCTGACCTAAGGCTAGGGTAAGAAGAGGGTAAGATGATGTCAACTTTAGACGACCCTGAGCACCGTGCAGACACTACTACCGCCAAACTTCAGCGCGACGACAGAGCAAGGGTACACCGCAAGAGCACGCACAGCAAGGGCACAGCAAGGGCACAGCAAGGGGCAGGAGAATACCTACCTGAGATACAAGCAAAAACAAAATAATATTACCAATTCCCTGTCTCCCATCTGTTCATCAGGTTGTTTACCCACCCGTGGATCCTGCGTCCACCTCATCGGTGCCGCTCCATCACCTTGCGCGCCTCTTGTCTGTCTGCCTGCTCTTCGTTTACTCCTGTCCGGCTCAGCTCGATGCGGCCGGAGGAACCGAAATATGTCCATTATGCTTTGCCCCCGCGCGCGGGATGTCGTCCAGGATCCCAGTAATCTAATCTCTCGACTCTTTTCAAGGTTCGGCCATCATTACTAGCATGATCCAATTCTACGGCACGCATCCATCCTTACTTAGTACTCACCCTCCTAGGCATATACTATGTATGTATGTATGTACACCAACGATCCGACAAGGCGGTAGCAGACAGGGTACCGGGGGCCGCCGTTTTCTAGAAAAGGTCGCCGAACTAGGCAGGTTGTTGCCCTGGATCTCGACGGTTTCAACCTTGACCTTGTTGAGGTGATAGCTGATGGGACATGTGGCGTCACGTCAACTAATAATATCTACCACCTATGCGACTGCCACCTCACAAGTCATGGATCCGCGCTGTTGTTCTTTTTCGTGCACAATGCGTCCCATAGATAACTTTCACACGCCAGTCCATCTGCACATGAAGCCCCGAGCTGGAGAGGGGCTGTTCGGTCATTGTCCGTTTCGAGCCTCGCTACGATTTAGGTCTCATGCAGAACTACGCCGCGTCTCTTCTAATGAAGTGAGTCGAGATACGCCATAGCCTCGTATCCATCGCATAACCGGGATGACGTGTAATTTACTTAGTCCTGACTAGTCGGTTGGTCATCGTACAGTAGTTATCGGCATTACCATAGCCCCGGCCTCTGAATGAACATTCTGGCAGGATATCTCCAGGGTTTTGGTTCTACGGAACTTTCCACGCTACAGACAAAAATATTATCACCACCCTAACGCACCTAATTTGCTGTGCCCTATACTATAGTCACTTCCGGAATTGGGGAATTGACCCTATCACTTGATATCGGCGCCGTAATTTTAGTCTGATAGAGGTGCTGAGGTGTCACAGATTCTTTTTCAAAAAGTAAAAGAAAGAGAATAACTTCTTTCAAAAGAGCAGGCGAACTTAAGTTCGCCATACAGTCGATTCCGAAAATGTCAATCGTAGACCCACCATCACAACCCTCCACACGAGGCTCATCATATTTGTTTGCGTAACACTGAGAAGACATTAGATATGCTAATAATTATTTTCAATATTACGATATCACAATATTGTATAGAAGATCGGCGGGATCGAAATAATAAAATGAACGCGGGGACCAACCCACAAGAGAGTCTATTATACTACTACAATTAATATACGGATGGGTTCATTAGTACGGTTGATTAATTCAATATTCTCAGGAACATCACCTGTACATTTTCAACCACAAGGTGATATAGAATAGAATGAGACTATCCTGCAGGGTTTTATAATTACTTAAGCATAAATTCACCCATGTGTGGCTGTTTATTCAGAGTAATTGATCCGTCTAGCTTCACAAGTTTACTAGCATATTATACGGACAACCTAAGTTGATGGAAGTGTTATGGAGCTACCAGCACCCATCAACCCCATCGTTGTAATGATTGCAAGCCTGACAATTGATATACACAAAGGAAGCATCTATACCCCCTTAGAATACGGAGACTTCTTGGTGGAATAACGAAGATTAGTTCAAATGGAAACCACCCAGAAGCGGCTTGAGCAAGAACAGACATGCAACCAAGGAATGAAGAAGCACAACAAGAACAATGCAAGCCTTTTCTACTTTGGTCCTTGGTTCTGGCTACCATAGAATCGTTTGAACGGTAGATATTAGTTAGTATCTAACACCCTAAAGTTATAGGCATGGGTCGATGCTTCTTAACATTGAGGCATATAAAACATCTAAGACATGGGTTCTATAACATGACGTGAACAAGGAATGGTGTCCCCAGGAGAAGAACCAATATAAAGGACCAATATCGCTGGGTCAAAAAATTCGCTACGTGGATATTATATGAACAATGTGAACGCCATACCTGTCTTACCTATTCATCCTCGATTTAATAGCTCTTCGGCAGCTCCAGCACCTTTTCACTTATATAGTTCAAAATCATCTCGCGGCTGACTGGCGCGATCCTCGGCACGAAGCAATCCCGCAACCAGCGCTCGACATCGTATTCCATCGCATAGCCCATGCCGCCATGTGTCATGACTGCCCGCTCACACGCCGTGAACGCCGCCTCGGCCGCGAGGTACTTGGCGCTATTAGCCGCGACGCCGATGGCGTCCTGCCGGATGGAGGAGTCCGTCCTGCTGTTGTCGTAGAGCCTCGCGGCGTGGTACGTCGCGAGCTTGGCCGCCTCGAGCTTCATGTAAGCGTCGGCGAGGGGATGCGCGATTCCCTATTACACACGCTGGAGTCAGTGACCGCCAGATAGGGAGGGGGTATGCAGGAGAAATGAGGCGCGAAGCCTGCCCAAGGGGGAATGAAGGAGTTCAGGGAGCTAACCTGGTTCATGCCGATGGGCCGCTGAAAGACGATACGATTACGCGCATACTCGGCAGCCCGCTTGAGCGCCGCGTAGCCCAAACCAAGCGCCTCGCCCGCGAGCAGGCACCGCTCAGCATTCAGGCCGTGTAGGATCATTCTGAAGCCATGGCCCTCTTGCCCGATCAGCGTGTTCGCGGGGATCTTGTAGTTCTCGAAGAAGACCTCGTTGGCATCGATAGCGCGCCCGCCCATCTTCTTGATCCTGCGCATCTCGAGGCCCGGCGCGCTCCTGTCGAGGTCGATGCAAAACAGGGAGATGCCCTGGCTGGGCTTCCTTGTTTTTTCCAGAGGGGTTGTTCGGGCGAGCAGGATCATCTTCCTCGCGACCTGGGCACAAGTGATCCATATCTTCTGCCCAGAGACGCTGTACGAACCGTCGTCTTGCTTCTCGGCGAAGGTCGTCAGCCTCGTGGTATCAAGCCCCGTGTTAGGCTCTGTTACTCCGAAGCATGTTCGCCATTCCCCCGATATGATTTTGGGTATTATGCTTTCTTTTTGTTCCTTTGTGCCAAACTTGGCTAGGGGCTGAGTTGCATACTATAACACATTAGGTCAGTTATGTCGATTGTATTTTTCCTTCTACCAAAGATACACAAGCTAATTAGGACTATTCGAAGTGCTCATAACATGAGCATGGTCCATACACGAAGCTGTATACCATTGGATTGAGTAGAAGGATGGAACAACAGAATAGAAGCATTCCGTGCACCGGTTTACATACAACATTTGCGTGTATAGACTGGGCGCCAGCCATACCTGCGCCTGACTCGGTGATGGTTTGCATCATCATAGTAGCTTCAGATATACCCAGTCCGGTGCCGCCCAACGATTCCGGCAAGGCGATTCCCAGCCATCCACCTTCCGCCAGCGCGGCATGGAACTCCTTGGGATCTTCTTCGGTCTGATCGCGCTCTTGCCAGTATGTATTTGGGAACTGCAAGCACACGTCGCGTACTGTCTCCCTAACAAGCAATTGGTTCTCGGTAAAGCCTGACATTTCCATGATTCTTTGGCGGGCCGTCGAAGAGAATGTATGGCAGCCACCTGAGGGTCTCACGCGGGCTTTGTGGCTGGGAATTGGCCTTATACAAAGCTGGCGCACAAGATTTCTAGACATGGCGGGCGGAATGAAGTGCGGGCGAGAAAGGGAATGGGAAAAAGACAAATGGAACTAATCACGTCTTGAGGATGTGCTCAGTATCATGAAAAGAGAAATATCCAGTCGGAAAGACGCAACCCTCTGTGAACCATGATTTCATCTACCGTAGAACGACTCAATAAAGTTATCATGGCATCCGACGTGGGGTTATTCGCACAGCGGGGAATTGAACCGATGTAGTTTGATCTCCAACGAAGGCCTGGGCCCAAATCACGGTAACCGTACCCCACCACGCAGAAGACATCTCATTCCAGGGCGGCATTGTTCAATCAAGCTTCGCCGCGCCTACATCGCGTTTATCCTCACATCAGCTCCGAACACTACACTAAACCACTCTACACTAGGCAATCTAGTACACCCGATACCACCTACTTGTAAGTTCAAGGCACTCCGGCTGCCGAGAGCGTCTAGTAAAGGCTGCCTATTTACCAGTACCAGAGTATGTTTGGGGTCTCCATGGAACGTAGCCTCGTGGGGAGAATCGTGGGGTAACCTATTCAGTTTCGGTTCGGTTTGGTAATTGGCCCGGGAATAGACCGGGTATGCCATTCCAGGCACGGCGGGCGCACTTTGTGGGTCAACGTTAGAGCCCAGTTCAACGAGAGATCACAAGAGATCACAAGGGTCACAAGGGTTACAAGTGGTGGAATGCAAACGGTTTCCGGGGACACTGACCGATAGCGGAATGCTCTGCTCGGGTACAGCAGAGACACCTAGCTATCTACATGGGAACTCGGTCTGAGTATGCTGAATTGAAATCTTCGCACACTCAAGAATGGGGGAAAGGGGCAGGTAACAATAAGCCTTCACTATCTACCTACTGACAAACAAAGGCATCGTCGGTTACATAAATGATACGTGAGTTACACATCTCCCACCATTTTACGTACCTACTATATACATATGTCATATTCAAGAAACCATTTAGCCGCCACTGCTCCCCGCCACGCTGTTCAGTCCTAGCTGTTCTATTGTCTCATCATATCTTTTTACAATTAGTCATGTCTCCTCGGGCCCCGAATCACGTAGCCCCAGTGGCTTGTAAGATGCTTCAATCTTTCGGGACTTCAATTCGAAGACCAAGGCCTGGGATACAATGGCAACCATCCAGGCGGAGGACTCATACCTCGTCAAGAGACAGGTCACACCTACCGCTTGATGGCATAACCGTCGTCAGCTTAGAGCAAGCCATTGCGGCGCCATTTTGTACCCGTCAACTCGCCGATCTAGGTGCCCGGGTAATCAAGGTGGAGCGGCCGGTGACAGGCGACTTCGCGCGGGCATACGACACAAGAGTCAACGGGTTGGCCTCTCACTTTGTCTGGGTGAACCGCTCTAAAGAGAGTCTAGCCCTCGATCTGAAGCAAGAGAGAGATCTAAATAATTTGAAGAGGCTGCTCAAGAAAACCGACGTCTTGGTCCAGAATCTCACGCCGGGCGCTACCGACCGTCTAGGGATCTCATACGCGAAATTAAAAGATGAACACCCATCCTTGATATTCTGTGACATATCAGGATACGGAGACAGTGGCCCCTACCGTGACAAGAAGGCTTACGACCTCCTTGTGCAAAGTGAGGCAGGTCTTCTCTCCGTCACCGGTACTGAAACGGAACACGCCAAGGCCGGCATCTCGATCGCCGATATTGCCGCTGGAATGTATGCATACACTGGCGTCCTGGCTGCGCTGATGAAGCGCAGCAAGACTGGGAAAGGGTCTAAACTGGATATCTCCATGCTCGAGGCGATGACCGAGTGGATGAACTTTCCCATGTACTACGCGTACAACGGGCAGTCAGCACCCAGACGAAGTGGCGCTGCTCACGCGGCAATATATCCCTATGGACCATTTGAGACTGGCGGAAATGGCACAGTCCTGCTCGGAATCCAGAATGAGAGAGAGTGGGCCAAGCTATGTACAGAGGTGCTGGAGCTACGAGATCTGGCTCTTAACCCTCTATTCACCAATAACTCGCTTCGCGTACAAAACCGTGACAAGCTCAGAAAAATTATTTGTGACAGTTTCTCCAACTTGTCAGTTGCCGAGGTAATATATAAGCTTGATAAAGCCCAGATTGCCAATGCACAACTCAAGGATATGCAGGGTTTATGGAACCACGAACAGCTACGAGCACGGGGGCGATGGACGGAAGTTGAGACATCAAAGGGCTGGATACCAGCATTATTACCTCCTGGCATTGCAAGTCTAGAAGACACGCGCATGGACAAGGTACCAGAAGTTGGGGAACATAATGCGGAGATCCTGGCCGAGTTGGGTCTAGAACTGTGAGGGCGAAGACAGGAATTTGCTGCTGCTATGCATCTAGCATGCAGCCCAAGGTAATCAGATTTTACTATTCCACCATTGAACCCGGTGTATATAGTCCTGTCATCAGCTATCTTGCAGCTCTACCAGTTTCATGTAAGCTGCCAATATGGGTATATAGGATTAGCAGCATGCCTAAGCGTTTCTTAACCCTTAACACGACGTACGAGTATATCTCCAGTCGAGTTGAGTCACCATCCTGCTTTAGTATATAGTTCCTATAATGAAATTAACAAGGTCATTTTCCACAACAGTAGAGGTTTTGATGTGTATAGAGCGAGGGATGCCGGTTTCCATCCGCAATCTCTTCACCTAGAACCATACCTATGTATATCCGAAATCCTATTACTGGGTAGTTGTTACACGTGTAACCTCTGTACTAAGCTGAATATGCAGTTCGCCTTGCGCTTCGGCCGTACGAAGGACCTTTGCAGGCTGTTCATGATCTTTCAAGACATGCAGGCAATATTGGGCAATATTAGAAAGTGAGGTTATACAGACTTCGCTTCTTGAAACAGACCCCAGAGACCTAGGCGGCCTGGGCTGGCAGACCAATTATATATAGAGTCAAGTCAAGCGACCAACAACCGAGAGGAGTTGGTTGGTCAAGGACTTATGTAGCCCTAGTTCATTATAACCTGAATTGCCTAGATTCCAAGCATAGTAATCCTGCCCTTGTTATAGTAGTTGGGCGCTTAGAGCACAAGATTTCGGACAAGTTTTTCAAATAGAACCAGATCTCTGGTTTCTGACTTATCCATGATAACTGTAACCCGTAGAGACGCCGCGTAAAGCGACACAGATACACAATGTTCGTTATACTCATTCATCAGTATACCTTGCCATGCTGTTTCTCAAACATCTCATTTGATCCCGCAACTAGACTCATAACAGATTGTCACTACGGTATTACTACTTCCCAGAAGGAAGCTTACCCCGACCTTGGCCCCCGCACACCTATCTTCACGGCAATAGGCGGCGAAAGACTTCCCCCACATTCTCCGGGCCCCAATGGACCGGGAGGAATATTGGGCATTGTCGACATGATGACATGATCTCCGCACTGGTAATCCCAGCCCGGCAGAGCGTAACCGCCTCCACGTGGACGTTAGGCCGGCGAAGAGCGGACTTCCAAGATTTAGTCGCCTCAAGGACAACCATGATATATAAAATGTTCGTTTCTCCTACCCTCTGATCTCAAGAAGCAACATCACTGCAATTCTTGTCCTCTGTTCCTCACCGCCGTCTATTGTCAGAGGGCCACTCCTTCCTTCTGCAGCTATGACCAACGAAGGTCCGAGGGCCTCTGGCGATCTACCCAAGCCCGAGCTGATGCAGATCGAGACGCAGATCGGCAATGAAGGCATCCGCACCGAAATCGACAGACAGCTCTCCGGGAAACTGGACCACAAATTTGACCGTCATATCATCCCCTGGGTTTTTGGAATATGGTAAAATGCCCTTCCGTCTCACCTGGGAACTTACTTACATATGTTCTATCTCTCTAGGCTGTTTGCCTTCATCGACCGTAGTAACATCGGCAACGCCAAAATCGTCGGACTGCCCGAGGATCTCGGGATCTCAACGGGCACCTCCTTCAACGTGGCGCTGCTGGTTTTCTACATTCCCTATATTCTCGTCGACGTACCCAGCAATTGGATTGTGAAGCACGTCAAGGCCGGCATTTATTTGCCGTCCCTCATCACGGCCTGGGGGCTCGTCAGTACGTTTGTAGGCTTCACGGAGTCGCTTGCAGGGCTCATCGTGGCCCGTCTCCTGTTAGGCCTGTTCGAAGGAGGGCTGCTCGGTGGCATCGTCGTGTACCTTGCTATGTTCTACCCTAGACACCAGATGCTAAGGCGCGTGGGTTACTTCTACTGTGCCGCGCCGCTTTCGGGTGCTTTCGGCGGACTGTTGGCTACAGGGTTATCCGAGATCCGCTACGGAGGGTACAATCGCTGGCCGTGGATCTTCTTCAGTATGTACCAGGGTTGCTAGCCTTTGATTTCTGGTATTTCTCTATCTTCGCTGTCCTGGTCTGAAACTGATAATCACCCCCTGCAGTTGAGGGTATTGTGACAACTCTTTTCGGCATCGTGTGCTTCTTCTTCATGCCTCATACACCCGGCGACTCTAAGTTCCTAACTACGGAAGAGCGCGCCGCTGCATTGCGCCGGATGAAAGTGGACAGCCACGGCGCGGCCGCTGAGGAGGACGTGAACAACGAGAAATTCGACTGGTACTGGGTTCGGATGGCATTCAAGGCACCTCAGTTGTGGTTTTCCTGCTTCATCTGGTTCTTCCTACTAGTCCCACTCTATGTAGGCCACCCTTCTCATCAATATTCTGATATAAAGCTGACCTGGGGCTCATAGAGCTATTCCCTCTTTCTACCGACGATCATCAACGGCTTGGGTTATCAATCCACGCAGGCACAGCTCCTTACCGCGCCTCCAAATGTGGCTGCTGTTTTCTCCGTCTTAATAATGACGCGGTTGTCTGATCATACAAAGGCACGAGGTCCGTACATGGCCCTGAACTGCGTAATTGCGGCTGCTGGATACGTGATGTTGTTAGCGAGCAAAAACAATGCCGTTCGATACGCTGGTACTTTCATCATAGCCATTGGAATATACCCGAACTCGGCCTTGATCATGGTAAGACCCCTCGTCAGTTGACAGAGTATTTAGAACTAATGGTTGCATAAAGGGTTGGCTATCGAATAATTTGGCGCCTCACTTCGTCCGCGCTACAGGCATTGGCTTCTTGATCGCATTTGCCAATACCGCGGCCTTCATCGCAACATTCATCTATCTGCCTAAAGATAAACCAGACTACAGCCTAGGGCACTCGATTAGTCTTGGGGCACTCTTGCTATGCTTCATCGTATGCTGTACTCAGACTCTGTATCTAGGATGGGAGAATAAGAAGCGGGCGCTAGGGGATCGCGATAGTAGATTGACACTGGGCGATGTGGACAGGCTTGGGTATCGCCACCCGAAGTTTAGGTACACCATATAAGCACATAGACGAATAATATCAGAGGTAAAAGGGGTTGATGGCTAGCTTTACTTAGCTTGGGCAGCTATTTATTGAGTTAGCACCTTGTAAAGATATGTCAATCTAACTTCTTGAATCCATGTTTTGGAGCCTATTAATCGAGGTATCATGGCTATTAAGGATGTTGACAATCAAGGGCTGCGTAGAATGAAGAGCATAGAAAACAAGAACAGTATCAATTCATGCATGTGGTTCCACCAGGCGTAAAAATTACTCCCAAGCCCAACCATTAAGTCCTCGCGAAAAGAAGCCGCCCCATCAGCATGTATCATGCAATCGGTCAAAAACAATTAACTAGTACCCCCCTTAACGACAATGTCTACCCAAAAACAAAGCTGACCGACCGAAAATTAGAACGTATCCATTATTCCGCCCCCGAGAGTAGAGTGTGACACTTCAAGTATATCTGTTGGCGCTCCTGAAGTTCGCGCGGAGATAGCTTCCTAGCGGCAATGCCCAGAAAGCCCTAATGAGAACAAGTTGTCTAGACTGGTAACGTAACCACCAGTTTAAGAATGCTCATCGTTGGTGCTATTAATACTAATGAACTGATTAGTAAAATCCTCGTGCATCAAGAGAGTCAAGCATACAATTGCTTTCCAATCAGCTAGAGCAGCGCCCCAGAGTCTGACAACCCGAGTCCGAGCAACATAACATCTGCCGTGCCGTGCACTGGCAGTAGGGAATCGAGCTGTCACCGTTTGTCCCCGATCCATCTCCATCTTGTACCAGATCCCCCTCGATTGCTGGCGGGATGACGACAGCTGCCGCGATGGCCACCAAACTAACCAAGACGCTGATGATATGCATTGTGGTTATCTTATGACGTGCCAAGGTGATGTTGAGATAAAGTGATGATAAGCACAATGCTCCTGATTATTGCTGGCGAGCATTTGGAGAATTATCGCAGGTCTGCTGGACTCTTTATACTCGAGCAGGACGATGGTTTTGCGCAGAGTTCAATCTTGCGAAGGGCGCGTTGTTTGTGTAGCGCAGACGAAGCAGCTGCTGGATCATTTGCCTCCAAGGCTAGTAGCGTGTTACATAGTGACTTCTATATACCTAACGAACCGTGATTCACCAAGATGCTAGTTGCAGAATGTTTGACTGTCGCATCTCGCTTATGCATAGGAGGAACGGGACGGCATCGCCTTAACCTGGTTCCTTGAGTCACCCGGTTGTCAATATTAGCAAATAGTATATTGATACGCTACACGAGAATTCATGCGTTAGTTTGTATGTGAGGAATGTTCTAATAGAGGGTTCACGCTACCGGTTCTTATCGGATTCTAGGCAAGTTCTTCGTGGTATTCGGGATAGTTGAATCTCATTAGTAAATACTTCTCGCCGTTATTGTAACATAGAGACAAGTAAATCAGCTGTCCACAGCAGCATAAAATCAACCGACCACATTAGCTGTCGATAGGGCTGAACGCAACAAACTCTTTGGATACGTGGCGCACTAGGAAGAGCAAAGTAGACCAATCGTAGCTGACTGGGCTGTCCCGACCAGGCAACATGCTCGGACAGTGGATTGCGTCAACAGAGACGAGCGAGGCAATCGTCAGGTTTGATCCGGGCATGACTCGAGACTACCAAGACTGTGTCTCGATCCGCGGCTATTCCGATTGGTAACGCCATGTACCAACCCGTGATACCACGGGTTACGACATGCGTGACCAACAGCGCCGCTTATCTGAACCAAATACGGCGAAATATTCTCACAAAGTTGTCCGATGACTATTGGCATCTTCTGCATAGCAATGTGCCAGGTAGTTAGTCAAGAATCCATCTAGAGTTTGTTCATTGCACCTGTACCACCCTCGCCTGATGATACGGGCATTTCCTGACCTACGGATAGACCGAGACACTTGATTGGAACCATGGAAGAAGTACCAAGATCGAGCCATTCTCAAGATATCTCCCGCTGGGGAAAATAGGGCCAAGAAAAAATTACCCGATACGGCCAAATGAAGACACAGAAATTAGCTTGATTGGTAGATTCTTAGTAGGAGGTGTTCGGCTAATGAGCCGCTTGTGCGTGCTTGGCGCAACTGGTATCTGCAGACTGCTTTAGCCATTGACTCATTCGCGAGAATCTACCTCACGTTATATATGATAGGGGATTACCGTCTACCGTGTTTCACTTAGCGAGGGCGTCGGGCGAATAATAAGTTAGTCTTGCATGAACCGGCCAGGGCAACATGTTCGCGGCCTCCGAGGTTTCGCGCGAGTATCAGTTATCCACGCTCAGGTGAAGTTGATCAGGCTGGGAATATAAGACATGGGGAAAGGATACCAACGTAGTGGTCTATTATTGCATACAAGATGAATGATTCTGTCAACACTGACGCTCGTACACACACTCCCTGGCTCGAAATGCCCCTCCCCATCTCATGTTCAAAAATAGAAAGACGATAAGGCATCAACCAGGGTATTGTTTTTGCCTTGCCAGACTCGATTTTCTGCTTTCTGTACATATACAGCAAAATATGCAACCATAAGCTATTTCCGACGAAAACCCCGCATAAACGCCGCAAAATAAAATTCCCGAAAGACATGCGCCCTGCCGTATCCTTTCGTACATGCACCATCGGCCACAGTCTCGTTACGTTACAGTCAAAGCAGACTCAGCCAACAAGTAAGGGTCTATTGGATGTCAAGAAATCATTCCCCGTCGCTGTGGCCACCAGTGGTAGCTCCATTGATTTGATTGGCACCATTCGTCACCAGTTTTATTCTAGTAGTATTTGTAGACGGCTGGGGAGTCCCTGCGCTAGTGGTAGGGGGTGCGGAGCTAGAGGGATCCTCAAGGTCTACTAGCTCTGGATGCTCGTTGAACTCTTCTTGGGCTTTGTCGTTGAAGAATTTCTACATAACAGTTAGCAGGATGAAAATGGGCTAGAAGCAAATGAGCACCCACCTCCATGACATTGGCATCCGAATAAAGAAGGCTACCATCTTCGTTGTATGTTCTACAGTTGTTACACATCAATGTTATGTCTTTGCGCATATCGTTGATGCTGTTGTACTCCTCCTTCTTCATCTTGGCTTGAATCTGATTCATGCAAATGGGATTTTGAATGAGGACGTAGTAATCACCATAGTCTCGCTTAGACGGCAATTTCACGAAGGGCCCGATTATAAGTCGTTTTGGCGGCTCTTCGTCGTCATCGTCTTCAATAGGCTCATCTGGAGGGAAGTCGACCTCCAGGTTCATCAAGCCATCAAATAGGTTGCGAAGACTTTTCTGCAGAACAGGGCGAATTTCCGCAGGAACCCGCGATTCGAGAGTTGGTGCCCTTGCGCGACCCTGAGGTCCACGACGCTTCTTGGCTGGAGGCTCCCCGTCGTCATCGTCTGCTTTGCGCTTCTCGTTTTTACTCCCAGGTTTACGGCCCCGCTTCTTTGGTGGTGTCTCAGCCTCCTCAGTACTAGCACGACTTGCCGTGGGAGAGCCCACGCTAGAGGCATTCATCACGGCCAGTCTCTTGAGTTTATTTGACTCTCGTTTGTTTTTCCTAGCTTGCTTTCTGGCAGCTGCAGCCTCTGGTGAATCATCGTCATCGTCAACCGCCATGAGCCATTGCTCCTCAGTTAGACCATCGTCATACTTCACACGAGTACGCTCGCGGGCACCACGACCGAGCGTTTCTTCTTGCTCGTCAGGTTCGGGGTTGCCTTCGTTGAGGTATATATCGGGAAGCTCGTTTTCCGCCATTAAGCGTGGTACACGTTTAGATGCCTGGACAGTTCCGTAGATAGGATCTCTTGCTCGTTCCTCGTCTATCTTTTGGAACATGCCATACTCTTCCTCGTTACGAGCCAGAAGTAGGTTCAATTCTTCATCGTCCATTTCATCTTGCTCCCCTGACTCGGTCATATCAGCACTTTCGAGTAGTGTCCGTAGCATAGCGTCACGGTCAGTCTCCGATGATTTATTATCGAAGCGGCCTGCTTGAATGACTTTGCCATCCAAGTCAAGCTTATACCTTGCTCGTTCGAGAATCTTTTCCTCAACCGAGTTAGAGCTAATTAGTCGCAAAATGCGGACTTCATTTTTTTGCCCAATACGATGGGCACGATCTTGAGCTTGCAAGTCCTGGTGTGGATTCCAATCTGAATCGTAAATGATAACGGTATCTGCCGTTTGCAAGTTCAGACCCAGTCCACCAGCACGAGTAGAGAGCAGGAACATGAAGTATGGTGAGTCTGGGGCATTGAAGGTCTTCAACAGATCGGATCGATCCTCTGATTTGGTGGTACCATCCAATCGTAGGTATTGTATGCCTCTAAACCGAAGAAAATCTTCCATGATATCCATGATGGCGGTCATTTGGAAGAACATGAGAACGCGATGTCCGGTTGCTTTATACTTTGGCAGGATGCGATCAAGCAATTCGAATTTGCCGGCTGTACGCCACAATAAATCGTTGCTAGTGTTCATCGGGTTCATTTGATTCTCAACTTCGTCAAATACGAATGGGTGATTACAGAGCTTCCGAAGCTGCATGATCATGTTGCTCAGGCCACGAACTCCAGTCTTACCGCCTTTGCCATCGCTGACAGCAATCTTTTGGTGCGTAACCATTTGCTTGTAAAGGCGTGTCTGCAAGGCAGAGAATTTACATTTGATGACCTTCTCCGTCTTGTCTGGGAGATCCTTTTCTACATCTTTCTTCAGGCGACGAAGGAGGAACGGTCGTAAGACTTTGTGGAGACGCCGAATAACTAGAATCTGCTCTTCTTCGTTCAGTTCCATCTTATCCTGCCCACCTGTATTTGCGAACGGAGTGTTGAACCATTCATCGAAGGTTTTCACAGATTTGAAGATATTTGGCAGGACGAAATTCAGCATAGCCCAAAGCTCGGAGAGGTTATTTTGCAGAGGAGTGCCAGTTAAGATGAGGCGGAAACGGGTGCTGTAGTATTGAGATATGGTTGCGCTCAGTTTCGAGTTTGAGTTTTTCATTCGATGACCCTCATCAATGATCATGTGAAACCACTTGATTTTACTCAATATAGGACGATCCTTGATGATATACTCATAGGTAGTAAGGAGGACTTGGAAGGTACCTTGTCGGATTTTTTCTTGCTGTTGCTTACGAGCATTTGGCGGGCCTTTATAAACCACTCGAGAAACAGAGGGCGCCCATTTCTCAAATTCCAGATTCCAATTCGTGAGCGTACTCAACGGTACGATTACTAGATACGGGCCCTGTTGCATCTTACGCTCAATGAGGTAGGTGACTAAACTAATAGTCTGGATTGTTTTACCGAGACCCATTTCGTCAGCAAGGATACCGTTGAGGTTGTTGTTGTACAACGACAACATCCACTGCAGACCCTTGAGCTGGTATTCTTTGAGGGTACCGCCAACGAGTATGTTGGCCTGCTCAGTGACTTCTTCTCTGACACGATGGGCAACGGCATAGTAATCAATCTTGCGGTCAGCTTCTTCGTCCTCTTCGTAAATCTCGCTTTCTTCTTCTGGTAGGGTTTCTTCGCCGTAGCGCTCCGCAGCCTGACGTTGTTGGGCCTTGACAGACGAGGCAAGCTGGTGTAAAAATCCATCAGTTTGCTTGAGTAGATGGGTGATACGGGTATCTTTAGCCTGGTCGAGGAGCTTGAGATACGCCTCTTCATCGTTGGCCTTAAGAGCTTGGAGACGTTGCTTGGCTGTACGTTCAATGCGCTTCTGCTCTTCCTTTTCGATGTTGAAATGATGTGCATACATAGCACGACCCATCTTAGACATCTTACTCCTTGAAGACGCTGCCGTATTATGAATCTCAGATTTATGATGCTGTACAGATTGGAGAAAGTCGATATGCTTCTTCTTCTCACGATGTTCCCGGGCATCCCGTTGCTGTTTCTCAAGCTTCTCTGTGATACGAGACTCTCTAACACTTTGCTTCTTTGTCCGGCGGTATTGGCTCCTGTTAGTCGTCATGGCGAGATTATCGTAATGCATCATCGAGCGACCAATCTTTTCTCGCAATGCTCGCTGCTTTGAGTAAAGGCTGAGAGCCTTTAGCTCAATTATGGCCTTACGCTTAACGGTGTCATCTGGGTCCAGTGTGTCTTTGGATGTATCCCAATGAGCGATGTTGCCGGGCATCGCCTTGAGCTCAGCGTACCGAGCTGCCATGCGATTATATACGATAATTTCCCGTTCATGCATCACCTGCTCAAAGTCGATTCCAGTGGGAAATATGCTGGGGATTATCAGACGATGCTTGCGGTGCCCATGATCAAAATAGCTGATCTCTTTCCGGACATGCCCAGTGTCGTAAGGTGACTTGAAGCTTTTGTATACTTTGCTTTTTGGAGCCGTGGCGGCCTCGCTTTCGACCTCGCCATCTGCTGAGGTTGATTCGGCTTTGGTGGCACCTGGACCAGGTAAGGCAACAGTTGGGGGAGCCGCCGAGGGTTGTGTTGACTGCTCGGCAACCGCTTGTCGCCGTTGTCGTTGTTGGCTAAGTGCCTGTTGCATCCCATAGGGTACGCCGGTATTTTTACTCAACAGCTTGAATACAGCAATCTGTTGCCTCAGGAGGGACAATTGGTGAGGGGAAAAATGAGCAGCAGTGGGGGCGGTTGAAGGAGAGGAGGTGCTATTCTGCCCAGTCTGACTGGAGATATTTGACGCAGCAGAGGGAAGTATCTGAGTGGTCTGGGATGGCTGGGATCCATTAACATGGCCGTTCGGAAGGTTGCGCGACATGTGTGTTTGCATGTGTTGCTGTTGCTGGCGTAATTGCTGCTGTTGTTGAACTTTGGCTAAGAATTGACTTGTTTTCAGGAATTCGGGATCATTCGGCGCAACACCCTGCTTCTTCATCTGCTGGAATTTCTAACCTAAATATCAGCAACATGTCGTAATCGTATGAAAGAAATGTTGTCGGAGGGGAAGGTCACAGGGGAGGACGAACCATGAACATCTCCTGAACCTGGGCTTGGTTATAGGGCGGAGGCCCTATATGCTGGGCAGCCGCGGGCGGTTGCTGGACCGATGCCATGTTGAATTATGAATCTTACGGAAGGGTGTCTTTTGCAGATCCGGCAAAACCTATCTTCACCCAGACTATGAACAAGCAATCATATCTCACGGCGACAGCAACAATGAATCGTCTCGCGACGCCGCTAGGCCAGGCAGCAGCGGCAGGAAAGGAGCGTGTGAAATGAATCAGATGAAAGCTTGCGGAGCTAAAACCGCGTGGATGATGATGGTATCGCGTCGCGAATCACGTCAGCAGAACAAATGGCAATGGGGACAGAGTTGCGCCGCAGATTAAAACCCGACTACTAAGCTTGATGCAATGTGAAGAAAGTCGGTATTCAAATAAAGCAATACAAGACGTGTGCAGAACACCCAAGTCTAAGTCAAGTAGTGGTTGTGCTGCTCTGTGGGGGATGGGCGGCTGGTGGGGATGGGGATGCGAATGTAGACTTCGAGGTTCGCGGTCAGGGACCGTGGGCAAGAAGAGAAGTCTTGGGGAGAGGCCAAAGTCAAAAGAGTGTGAGCGGTGGTGGGTGGTGTTCGCTGGGACAGGCACATGGGGGGGGAAAGCGGCTAGTGAGAAGCGGCGGCGCGAAATAAATCGCGTCGAACAAAAGGTGTTGGTGAGCTCGGATGGATGTTGATGGATCAGAGGGGGTTAGGCGATGCGGCTCGGTTTTTTGGATGCGCGATTGATGGCGTGGAAAGAGATGGTTTGATGGGAGGAATGCGCACAAGGGAGACAGGCAGACTTCCTCCCCCATGAGACCCGTGCCCCCCGTTCTAGCTCGTGACACGGACCACTTGGCTCCAAGTGCGCCCAGTTGCCCACAGTCCGCGCTAGCGCCACGGATCAACCTTCCGCCGGACTGCGCTGGCCAATGAGGTCGTCTCTTTGCCATTGAAACTGGGTCTATTCTAGCTTATATACTTAGGTACATATATGTACTTAGGTACTCACCAACTATGTACAGATTCATAGGTACCTCATGCCTTAAGGATGCCATAAGAGTAGGTAGGTACCTAGTATAAAGCATAATAAGTACCTATGTATCTCTTCCAGTGTGTCTTCACTATCACTTCAAAATTGGAATATTTGAGCATTAGCTAGCTGTACTATGTATAGCTCTGATATATGCCAGGCTTTCAAATGGTTAAGCTAGTATTCTGCCTAGGTATTTAAATAGGTACTTGATCATTCTACCTATAAGAGCAACTCATACAGGATGCTCATTGCTCGCCAAGGTAGCGCGCATGGAGATCTACTAAGTACCTGGTAGCAGCGCACTCACTACCTGAGCACTTTATCATTCTGGCTGTTACTGGTCAAAGGCAGTAGTACCTATTTATTTGATTGTAGGTAGTCTCAATAACCCTTGAAGGCCATTCATTGTTGAATGTATCCATCTAATGCGACACAGCTCCAGGCGTTTTTCACTTACCTGTCATAGAGGTACCTAATAGCAAGTTTGACGCTACACAGTCATTGGCACCAAGCGAGTTCTAACATGAGCCCCATCTCATCATGTTGGAGGAATATCTTCTCATCAAATGCTAGAAAAACGCCACGCTTTTAGTCGGCTACTGTTGGAAGGACTGCACACTTATCGTTTGATCTTCTTCTTGTCCGGACCCTCCTCCTCCTCGTCATCACTCACATCCGCATACTGAGTAACGGGTTGCGTCGCCTTCCACGCACTTGTGAACATGGGGTCTTTCTTGGCGACATCCGCATATTTGAGTAGTGCTTCTCTAGGGTCTTCATGTAACATCCGACTGAGAGGTATGTTTTCGCTGATGTGCTTTTCGTCCGGTTGACTGCGCATAAACGGGGTTTGTTGCGGCACCTGTGGCCGCCTTGGGTCCTTCGACTTTCCGGCGTTAGCTTGCCCGGCCCTCCGTGCACTCGGGAGAGCGCCGGGAGTCACAATAGCATCAGCCGATAATCCAAGAGACATGTCGGTGGTGAACTCCGGGTTATCATCAACGTGACGTCTTTTGGGAGCCCGCGACATGACATCCACCGCACCTCTGGTAGACATCTCGGGGTTGTAAAGCACATGCGTCTCTCCATTGGCAGACCCTGTAACTATCTGGTTTATTTTGGGATGCCAGTTGACAGTAATCACGGGTACACCTGCTGTAATTGGTGTAGTGTATTCAGCACGCAAGTTTCCCGGGTTGAGAATATGGAGATACCCCGTACTAGAGCCCGTGATAATGCTAGTGGAATTCGGTCCATACTTGATGTTGGTCATAGGATATTCATCGGATGTTGATGGATGCTCAACAGAGACGAGCGGCTCTTTGAACTTCCTTGTGTCCCATAACTTGATGAGGTCATCGCCTCCCCGTGTGACTACCATACGCCCATCGGAACTGATATCGATACCCCCAGTCCAAGTGTTTGGTTTGTGCGCCTCTCTAATTTCCGCGGTTGGACGTGAGAATGGCCCGTTCCCGCTCCACATAACCAGAGTCCCGTCGAGCGCTGTCGAGACAAGAATATTGTTGCCTCCTTGTGTAGGCGTACCCCAAGCAACGGCCGTCATGCGACTCCTGCCTGCAGTACCCGGGGCCTTTGATTTAAAAACAAGAACCTCCTTTTGGCAACGCCTGTTGTTGATGTCCCAGATACGGAGTGTGCTGTCTGTTCCAGCGGTTACACAGATGTTCTTATCTGTGGGATGCCATGCTCCCGTTGTCACCTCAGAGACGTGGCCCTTGGTATGATTCATATCACGTAGATACATATCGCCCTTTACGAATTCAGTGAGGACATCGCCGTCACGCGACATAATTTTGGCCTGAGGATGGGCGGATACGCATAGAAAGACCCCTCCCGCCAAAGGGTTGAATTCAACATGATTTATAGGGTGTGTTTCCGAGGTAGCGGTGGATCGCTTGGTCTCGAAGGGATCGACGCTCTTGAAGGCGCGAATGGTTGTTGGAGTCATGGACGAGAAGTCATGGAGCTTGACGGTACAATCAATGGATCCAGATATTAAGCGACCACCGGCAGGATCCAGTGATACAGTGGTGACAGCACGCTCGTGCGTCTTGATGACCATTTCGTGTGAAGTAGGGTATTCATCATCGTCGGAATCGTCGTCAGTGTCGGTATCGGATTCGTCATCTGAAACATCTTCATTTGAGTTGCGTGAGCCGGAGTCTTCTGATCGATTCTTGGGTTTTACAGCTTGTGTTCTTCTGCTTCGATTTATTTGCGCAGCTACGTCGGCATCTTTGGCCTTCTTCCCAAAGGAAGCAGGTAAGAAGGCGCGCATGGGATCATCTTCGGCCAAGTCAGGCGCCTCAACCTGAACATCGTCATCATCGCTGTTCATTGCGATAGAAGATGACACCTGCGATTGCACCTGAAAGCAAGAAGGAAGTGAGTACGATGATCAGACGGCAGCGACAATAAAGCACGAGATATGGTGGTTTCTTGAGTGATGTTGGCGCCTTGAAATGAGATAAAAGAGTGGATCCCGCATCTCCAAGGTAAGTACTACCGGTATGTATGTAGGTACCTGGCACTTAAGTACAGTAGGTAGAGTATACCTACAGCAGCGTATCCATTGCTGAGGCTAGAGCTTGCCTACGACCAGACTACGACTTATATAAAGTAGACATCTTATTTCTCCATTCCTTGTTCCATCTTTCTACCTTTCTATCCTATGCTCTAAATCTAAGATGGAGTCGAAGAGGTTTGATCAACGTGATTTTAGATTTTACGTGCGTGAATGTAGCTATACTAGTACCATTACAACACGTACACACACGTAGATTGTTCATGCGTGAGCCTGTCTCGACATCTCATTGGCTTAACGTCATACATGTTACATCATGTACATATGTACATGTAGGGAAGGGAAGTACCTACACAGGTAGTTTCTTTCTCGAACCCATTAAACCCCCAGTCTGAACACAAGAAGCTTCACTCGCCCTACATTGTATCATCATCAGATATCAATAAGCCGTGCAGGCCGTTTCTGACAACTGACAATTGTGCGTGTCATTTCAATCCATTCGCATCGAGCTTTAATAACCACGAGGTACTTGAGCTAATAATGTACTATTTACATGAGTAGCCTCTACAGCTTAGTCCTAACACCTATTTGTAGGCGCCTTACGTAGTCCGATCGATCCGCCGTCGAGCCCGAGTCAACCGAGCCTCTGCGCTCCCCTATCCATCTCTCATCGAACACCTTGGACGGCTTGTAAATGAACTCGAGGGGACATCTGCTGCGCGTCCATGTCCAACGGCGATTGATGCGCTCAGCCGCGAACTTGCGCGCTCCCCGTTAGCCTCTGCAATGCCTATCTTAACAGCCCTCGCTGGCGGCACCCGCGACTTACTATCAGCCGTCATAGTAAATGACGAGCCGGATCACAAAGACGGCTCTGGTCTAGGAGAATGGAGCTCGCTTATCGGCATCATAACAGCTATCGCCGGGAATGTGTTGATCGCGCTGGCCTTGAATGTCCAGCGTTATAGCCATATTCAGCTGCATCGAAAGCGCCTCGAGGCCTCGAAACGTGCCCGGAACAATCATCGCAATGGTGGTGTAGCTTCCGAAGATGCGAGAGTCGAGGAAGATGACGGTGACACGGTCACTGACACTCATCCACTTACCCAATCCTTCCGGTCTGATGGGTCGAATTGGACCGAGACCTCGGGTGATTTACCCAAGAAGTCTGCGTCATCATATCTAAAGTCTCCATCCTGGTGGCTGGGTCAGGTGCTGGTAACTGTTGGCGAGATTGGGAACTTCTTAGCGTACGGGTTCGCGCCGGCATCGATTGTATCAACTTTAGGTGTCGTGGCTCTGATATCCAACTGTATCATTGCGCCTATTTTCTTTGGCGAGGTATTCCGCAAGCGAGACTTCTGGGGGGTGGTCATTGCCGTTGCAGGCGCGGTTACTGTGGTTCTCAGTGCCAAGGGTGAGGAAACCAAGCTCGATCCCCATGATGTTTGGAATGCTATTACGACTACGGCGTTCGAGATTTATATGGGCGTAACCATCTTTCTCATCATCGTCTTAATGTGGGCGAGCCCAAGGTATGGGAATAGGACAATTTTGATCGACTTGGGTTTAGTTGGACTTTTTGGTTTGTGCCCTGTGCCATCTACAACGCCGTTACTAACCCGCTGTCAGGTGGATACACTGTATTAACGACCAAAGGCGTCTCATCTATGTTTTCTTCGTCCTTTCTCAAAATATTCGCCACTCCTGTGAGCTACGGCCTCGCCATTATCCTTGTTGGTACTGCATTGATGCAGGTTCGTTACTTGAACAAAGCCCTTCAAAGATTTGACTCAACTCAAGTCATACCTATCCAATTTGTACTATTCACGCTATCTGTGATTATTGGAAGCGCTGTTCTTTATCGCGATTTTGAGCGTACTACTTTAGAACAAGCTATCAAGTTTGTCGGTGGTTGTTTACTAACCTTCTTTGGTGTGTTTCTCATCAGCAGTGGGCGGCCCCATCACAACGACGATGACCGGCTGTCAGACGATGAGAATATTGAAGAGACAATAGGTCTAAGGGACCAAGAAGGGTTTGGTCCTTATAATAGTTATGGGACGGAGGGTGCGAGAGGAGCCTCGATACAGACCATTTCAACGTCGACATCAAGAAGGTCGTCACGGACTTCGCGAGCTAGCTTTTCGCGCGGTGGAAGATCCTTCAGAAGTCAGGCACCGATAGTTGCACCCTCTAACGGAACAGCTGATCAGCCTGACTCTAAGTCGGCTCTAGCCACGCCTACCGATACATCACCTTTCCTACTCAGTAATCCCTGGAGGAGCTCTATTGAAAATCAACCGGCTGTTCATCCGGGTCTGTCACAAACAATATCAGTAGACAGTGTCCCCACGATTCATTCTGTGTTTTCTGTTGCCGCCTCAGAACCGGTACAATCTTCACTTAGCCTTCGCCCGCCGATCCCTCCATCTTCTCCGGAGCGCCTAGTCACCCCACGTCCTTCCACTCTCGCATCGCGATCTCATAGTCACCATCATTTTTCCAATGCTTATATATCAACATTGCCTTTATCTTCTACAGTCAGTGTTGCCGTTGCGGACACTTTGCTGAGACGCGAAGACAGCCCCATCAAGAGAAAATTAGCAAAGCGATTAAGGCCCAACATCAGATCCAGTCTCTTCTTCTCCCCAGATGACCAGGACGACGCCGGTGTCTCCGAACCACTACTCGTTAGGGATGATGAAGGTGCTCATATTCCATATGAATACGAACCACCATCATCGGGGCAAGAGCTTAGTCGTGGAAGAGCACGCAGTCTTAGTAATACAATAGGGCAGTTTTTCGGTCGGGCAAAAAGGAGAAGGGGAGAATCAAACCCTGAAAGTGGCGGAAGCCAAATCGACTCATCATCTGGCCATGAGCAGCAGGAGGGAGATTGAGTCCCCTGAGCCCAAAGTTGATTGGGCAACGATAAGAAGTTCTTTGCAAATCGGAAACCCCGGGAGCACTGCTTGCATTGGATAGGAGTTCACTATTGGCATTTTCATCCTCCGCGACCAATTCTCGCTAACACCAAAGGCAATGTTTTTATACCCATATGTTTGTCAAACCTTCATGGATGTTCTACAGCCGATAGATTCCATAGTAGTAGCTAATACAGCCTATACTTGTTACATTATCGAGTGATGCTACCGTCTACAGTAGCACTGCGTTTCCAACGCAGAGTATTCCTGGAGAGTAAGTACCGTAGCATACCACACAATGACATGTTCCCACATGGAGGGAATTTGATACGCCATATCACCGTCATGCCCGCCAGAGCCGCCACCTCCGCGCGAGGCTTTGCGTTCTTATTCCATGCTTTCAGATGCACTGCATCAGATATCCAAGTGGCTTTCTCTGAAAGGGCTATTTTTACAATTCGTTTCGTCCTACATCTAGTAAGTCTGTGCACCCCTGGCATAATGGGCAGGGATTCTGCGGAAGGATCACATTGGATATGCCGCGTACTACGTTATGTCTTCGTGAGTTGCGTTTTTGTCAGAAGGAGGAGAGGATGTAAGACTGATTACTTGGGAGCAAGGCTCATCATCTCTAGTCATTCGCTTCCATCATCATGTATGTACGTTCCTTCATACCGGCCTCCATGCCGCCAGAGATGTCCCAACAAGGGTTTGTTGCGGGTGGTCCATCCACCAGGAATGGGGAAAGGATGCTTGGTCTCACCCGGCTCATTGTTTACCCTGATGTCTGTGTTAAACCTATCCATGGTTCGCTACAGTAGTTTCTGGGTCTATCTCTATAGAGATCTACGCACCAAAACTTAGTTCCCGCCTAGTGTAGCAGCACCCTTGTCCGTCGGAGCGAAGCCGCGTAAGTATGCATATTCGATAAAGAAAGGATGAAACAAATTCCAGTGAGAGATATTCTCCGCACACCTAGCGGCGAAGAACCACCTTGTTACGCAGAAGCAATACGTTTGGACGCTGCATGAACCTCGATCCGACCCGATATGCCGTGCTGTATAGCATTTTGACAGCATGCAGTGCCTGCATAGGATGTCACATCACGTTACAGCGACTAGTATTAATAACAACATTATCTGATTCACCGGCCTACGATCCGGACCACTGAAGTGAACATGGCGACTTTGGCCGGAAACCGCGAGATTGCAGGCTCGTAGGGTCACCCAATGGCAGACTATGATCCTTTCATGAGAAGCAGAGCGAATGGTGTATACAAACTTGTCGGAAAGAGCGCTCATGACTACTACTGCTACTACTACTAGTGGATGACCGCGGGAACGGACCTACATGCAAAGGATCGTGGTTGCAGAAGGGAGGGGGGGAGCTTGAGCTCTTTGCTATATGATAGGGCTGCTAGGTTGTGATTCCTCACGGGAGAGAAATGTTTCCCGCCCCCTGAACACGAAGCATCTCTTGCTCCTTCGGTGGGATCCGGGACTGACAGGTCTGTCTGTCCAACGCAGGCGTGGGTGGCTTTGGCAGAAACCAATTGCCATCTCCCATATTCTCAGTTACTCCCTTCGGACGTCGTGGCTATGAAGCCCGCATTTCGTGGTATTGACTCATAGCTTGCACCTACCTACAAGATATCTCTCGATTATCATGTTTCCCTGGGATGCATAGAGGTAGCGCGTATAGGGAAATGCCTAGATAGAAGAAGCAATGATTGTCCTATTAGCATGAAAGTCATGCACAGTACTTGTAGATAGAATCGAAATTTTAACGCTAAACATCAAGCCAGCTGTGGTAGTGCCAAAGGCTTCCTGATCCGTGATTCTGACGTTTATATCCCATTTTTTTCCTGGTAGTCCGTCTTGAGTCGTACCCAGCCGTTACTCCAGCGCCAAATAGAAGTTCCAACCGGAAAAACACACAGATTTAGATATTTCTACACCTTAGGGAAACAAAAGGAATTGCGTAAAAGAGTTTGATGGGCCATATCCCTTTAAGGCATAGATGAGGCATCTAGGAATGCAGAAGAGCCCTCGGCGCTGCCAGCGCCGCCTTCGCAGCGGCCAAAGAGCCAACGAAGCCTCTCCATATTATCCCGAAGCTCATCCCGCTCTCCCTCAAGGAGGGCACACTCCCGCTCTAGTGCCTTGATATGTCTCCTGGCCATCTCTAAGACCTCGGCCTTGCTGACCCGTCTGTCTCCCGCATCCAGATCGCCGCCATCTTCGCCCTCGCCGCTCTGCATCCTTTCGGGTAGTGCGCTGAGAAGGCTCTCGAAGTGTGCATTCAGTCGGTTGCGGTATTGCTTCTCGACATTGTTATGCGTCTCGCGGCTCTTGCGCTCCTCGGCCGTCGCCGGGGGGTTATGATGCGTATTCTTGGACGTACGGGATGCGCTACGCAGCTTCGACCTGTTGTTACCACTACTGCTCCCCGGCGGCGTCAGACCCTCTGGGGCGAAGCCTTGATACGGGTGCTTAGACTTCCGCTGCCGTGAAGATGCCTTGTTTTTCTTGTGGTGCTGTTGGTGGTATGCTGTCGTTGGTGATGACAGCTCGGGTGGACTCGTCACTACGCCTGCGGGCCCTTGGCCGTGTGCGTACATGTAGTTGTAGGCGTCAACATGGCTTCCGATCCCTGATTCTGGCGTCACTGACTGCGGGAATGCCGAGTCGTAGGATCCTGCTCTGGATGCAATGAACGAAGCGCTACTTGATGACTCCGGGTTCCCATCTGTAGAACTGTACTCGTTTGTTGAGTAAACATGGTTGGTGTTTGCTCTGTAGAAGGCACGTGGATGGTTTTGAAACCTGGAAAGATCTTCCGTAACACCATCCGCTGATATAGCAGTGTGGTAATATCCTTGAGTGCTGTTGTGACCGCTCGTACTAGGCGCCCTCGTCGCATAGAAAGGAGCTTCTGTGGCAAGTGACGGCGGTTGATACTCTGCCGACGTCGTCTAAGGCTCCATGTTAGCTGACCCTAGACAGTTGGGAGTCCCGTGCGATGCATAGCTCCCGGAGATACACCCTGCTTTGCCAACTGCGGGTATTCACCCAACGCACACAGAAGTCTTGTGACATTACCCAGGTGTGAGAATATTCGTGTGGGAAGCAAAACTGAGCGCTCTAATTGGAAGAATGCATTTGGGCCTCGAGGAGTTTTTATACAAGGCTCTGGGGAACAACGTACATGGAGCTGTTGGACGACAGAGTCATCGTATGACCGATCTAGATGTCCTACGTTCCACATCTTAAGCTCGGGGGTCTGTGATGCTGGTACCAGTAGGGTGCAATAATTTTTGGACCGATGTTTAGTTGCCGAAGGCTCCAGTTAAGTTGTTGTTGGTGCTGCTGCTTGAAGAGCAAAAGAGGATTATCAAGACCATGTCACCTCGAACAGCCACTGCAGGCTTACTTCGTGGGGTTTTTAAATAATCCATGAACTCAAGCTGCTGGAACAGCTAGGGCAATCCAGGTAGGGGATGTCATTGTCCCTGTATTGCCACAAAAGCCTTTCAACGTCGCCAGTGCAGACTTGAGCCCTGAAACAAGTTAAAGTGAACAGCCCCAGACGGTCTGATCCCAGCAGCAGGATTATTATGCCATGTCCCGGCATGTTTAAGTCAATAGGCATGTTTGTGTGTTATCAGACCTTTGAGCGTCCTTAACATCTCTCAGCTTACTGCGCTGATAGGGCCACCCAAAATAACTCTCGAACGCGGAAGCTCGGAGACCCTCTGCACGCTGCCGTGTCAATACAAGATCCGTTCTATCTAAAATGGCCGCCGATATCCACGTGGGGATTTCAAATATCGGCAGACTCTGTTGAGCCAATCGAGTAAAGTTCAGTTTAGAACTATCCTGGTTGCTTAAGTAGACATTTATCTAGTGTATCTTAATGCTTATGTGGCTGTTCTCTGGGGGCAGGTGGAAGAGAGAGAGCGCAAGGGAGTGGCTACGATAGGGCGACGAATGATGTTTCTCAGATTTCGGTATTTACTTGTCGACAGGAATCAGACTAGCCATCAAACCCCTGGCGTCGAGTAACCGATCCAGAACTCATATGGGAAACAAGTTCTTGAACGGGAAACACTGAGTGATGGTTTTTGAGTCAAGACGCACACTGATCAGCACTGCCCGGTATTGGGTTGTTTCTGATTTCTTCATAGTGACCCTGAGCGCGCTCGACTTACCGCAAGCCACGTTAAAAAGACAGAGGGAAAAAAAAAAATGTACGTGCAGATGCAGGTCTTGAAACTTCCTTCCTGAACTGGATTCAACCCACAACGTCGGACGAAAACCAAGAGTTGTACGACCAGGTTTAAGCCAGCCTAAACTCGCCGAGAAAGAATAAGTGATGCCATATGGAAAGAATCTCTTACGGACAATGTCGGTATCGAAATGCTGTGCAACTGCATAGATATAGTTGTGCTCTCGTCAACTCAATAGTTTCATCCGAACAGTAGCCTGAGACTTGAGGTATGCTCGGTACTATGATGCGTCTCTTACCTCTACGCCACCTGTAGTAGACTTGAATCAGCCAGTATAGCCGAGCCGACCCTTGAGGTGGCTTGCGATTCAGGATGAGTCTCGAAGCATCCTAGGTTACAGTGCATTTCATCATGGGTTCTCTTCATGGTTGTTCCTCGTTGGAATATGTGCTAACCTATATTATTCTGTCTTACGCTATACCACTTGAGTAGACAGAGATACATGAATCCGCAACAAGGGGTCGTGGGCAGTGGGGAAAAATCCCACTTTGCCTAGGTGAACATCGTTTGGTTCCTAGTGGCCGAGATCCAGCTCTGATCCCGTCGACCCCGGAGGCCCTAGGATCTCCTGCACGTCTCTTTCGGTCCCGATGTCTAGTCCCAGATCAGAGGGCTATTGACGATTTGGGAATCTCGATGGGAACTTTTTTGTTCCTTAATGAGATCAGAGCCCACTTCGACGTTTCTCGAAATCGTCTTTCTATTTTTGCGCTCACACGTCTGAACGGGCGCTCCTAGCAGTTTGATGTCCGTCTAAGCCAAGATTGGGCTTGCATGCGATGGTGTCAGCCCCTTACCCGATCTGGTTTTGTTGAAACATGCATGGTGAGAATGCAAGGTTGCTACCCGTACACTAGGTATGTACTAAGTATGAGATGAGTGAGAAATAGAGGAAGAGTGAGGAAGAGTGAGGCAGGGAAGAAAAAACTAATGCCGCTACAATGTAGGAACCATGCCACGGCCCCCATTTCAATCGAGAGACATTGACGTGCCACGAGATTCTGTAGTTGATGAGCGAGCTTTCATTCAGCCAGCCGTGCGACATTACAACACACCTATTTGAATCAAACTCGCCCCCAGAGACGAACAAGCCATAGCGAAACATCAGGTCTCCATGCTTCACGTGAATTCCATGGTCTGCGCTTCTGTAATAACAATGGCTGCTGACGACTCTCACTTGCGCTACATCATGACACCTTCACTACAACACTTACTGTACATGGGTTTGGTATAACAGAAGGCACTCGGCCGTCGAGCTCCAACGCCCGTCGTTCGTCCATCGAGCTAGCGGCGGGGAAGCTTTGACAAATCCCAGCCAGATTCGCCGCCGTCACCCGAGACGACTCGGCACTCTTGTCTCGCTGCGGGCTCGACCTTGGCTATATAAAGCATATTATACAGATGGAAGCATCGGCGAATCAATGCCGACCCCAGGGAGAGTCCGCCTGCCGGGCGCGATTGATAGGGGACGGCGTCTTGTCTCACGGGTAGTTGCAGATTACCCCGACATATCCAGTAAAACTCCGGCAGGGAACTGGCGGCGAGACAATCACTATCGACTATGTCGAATCTGCAGTCTCTATTTCTTGCTGAAGGCGCGCGTTCAGGCATTTGGCGGACGCGTGGCTTGCCAATCTTGGGCTGCTTGTCACAACTTACAAGCTATGTCCCCCTCCTATGTAGCAACAGCACGCAGTGCTCATTCGTTTGACTAGGTTGATCGGCGACGAGTTACGATGCGTCCTCGACTTAAGCACACGATATATGGAGTACATCTGCGACGATAGCCTTGCTTGTATCTCCACTCTCCAAAGATCTTTCTTGCCCGGCCCTTCATGGCTGTGATACTTTACCATCGTAACGGTGGAAGCCCACATGAGGGCTTGCTCCTAAGTGGCCATGTCCTCAGCCGACAGACGAAAGACAGAAGGTCCATGTACCGGGGAATTGATTCGAGTCCAGGGCATTCGAATGGCACGGAATTAAGTCAGGTCGCACTATAGATCTGCGAAAATCGCCGTCTGACGTGTCACACGCGTTGAGCCTCGCGACGACCTCTCTCGTGTTCGCTTTCTTTTTGATCCTAGAAGAGATGGCTAGGTGACTGATAGGCCGTGAAGTTACGTAGTTTGCCTCAATCGTGCAAGAGGCGTACCCTAAGCCCGGCAGAAGCGGTCCGTGTTGAATCCGTGTCTAAGTAACATTGGGCATCGTCTCGCTTACCTACATAACGCGGAACGCTATCGTGTGATTAGGCTCCTTGGGCGTTTCCTATAATAAACACCCGTTATACCACGAATAGACCTTGAATATCGTCAACTGTGTTGATGGTCCCGGACGGAGTGGAGAGATGCCGGCGCTCATTCGTCCCCAATTGTAACACGACCGCCGATTAGAATGCTACTTTCCTTCCCAGGGATATACGGTCCCATATCACGATAGTAACCTAGGAGTTTTAACTGAGTCAAACAGCAGAACTTCATGATGATTCGGGGCGCGGCATCACATATATGGCTAAGCTGGCCTTTCGATCGCTGCTGCCCAGGCATATTGTTGTAGCACGAAACCCAGCCTCGAAACATGTTGCAACCAATATAACCGTCACCGCGTTTGGCGTAACCACACCGACACTCTGGGCTGGGCTAGAACATAAACGCCCAGTTCGAGCTCATTGACGTACGTGATGGGTTTGCGGTGTCTTACTTCGGGTTCATAGCCTAGCTACTTGCTTTGGAGAATACCTAAGCGAGCATATGAGGCCTTTCTCTACGATGAATGTATCAGATGTTGTCGAGTCAACGCCATGGGCTGAGACCGTAGCAAATATAGGACTCCCACATCCCAAATACTGATAGTAGCAAGCTACACATCATTCTCCGTACACATTCCTCTCACCACGCTTAGTCTCGATGGCTTATGATACTTTTACTCTCTAGAGCACCAGGTATCATTAGTCTTGCTAAAGAATATGTGAATATGTGAAATTTTGGGCTGCCGTTGAGGTCGAATACTGAGACAATGTTAATCCTCATCGCCGCATGCCTGGTTTTCTTAATAAGCCTTCAAGAGACATTTCAGTGTCTTGTAAGCGAAAGGTTAGAATACGCTGGTGATCTCGTTGTAAATACAGCCTTAGGCCATATCTACTCTTCCAAACCCGACATCATCGCCCTTCAGATGCAGCTCATCAACTCATGTATGAGCCATGCTCAGCAAAGACTACAGCTCATGGATCACATGCATCACCAGGATGAATAATACGTCTTTAATTATCTTGCGAAGTTCATTCACTTCTTTCAAATAGCATTAAAGTGGTAGGAGAACGCCTGTTTGTACCTCGGTCGACTACGGACGCGGATATCATATGAGCAAACGAGCGACTTGGTTCATGAGCTAGAACATAGCACCAACTATGATACCGGGAAGTTTGATTGAAAATTTTTAATTAGTGTGGATGGTCAGTCATTCATCATCTCCATGAAAGTCAATAAAGGCGGCAACCTAGAAAGCCTGAAATTGCGCCAACATGTTGCAGTGGCAATGATCAAGACAATATGTCACACATCTCTCGAACTATCGCCCTCAACGTAAGGCAAGTTTAGAGGATGAGGAATAAATACATTTGAGTTTACTCAATTACGATTCACTATATCAGTCATAGGCCGAAGGAAAAGTGAGATTGCCCACAGCATTGTGTATTCAGCTGGAAATCTCATCCCCTCTCTACCAGTCATCAATGGTTGCATCACCAACTGTATCCCCATTACCCTTGCCCGTCAACCTTGTTTTACGGTGCACTAGCAAGTCTAGCCGTCCAGTCTATAGACGTTACTTCACGTGAATGAGTGCAAAAATTGAGGACCAGCTGTTCCATAGCGGAAATATAGCTTTGTGTGGACAGGAACTGAAAGACAGAGAGCGCCCGGGATTTTTGACACGAGGATCCAATAATGAGCTAGATCATGTATCACATAATATTCCAGATCAATATATTGAACCCCAGGGTAACTTAGGTATAGTATAACAGTGTTGGCGATGAAGGCGTTACTCTGGGAGACATGCGCATGACTCCATCATGAAAATACGATTCAAAATACTTTCCAGGCCAGTGACTGTTGGTGAAAAACCCAATATCTATCTCCTCTCCATACTAAAACGAGCCAAATATCTCTTGCCATCTCACTGGCCATTAACGGATTTGATTTATACTCTACTATGTCTGTTAAACTGCAGAAACGTATAGCTAAATGAGGCGAGCAAGGGTCACTTTTCACTACGTAATCATATAAAAACTCACCCCTCTAATCATACGTATATGCCATGTTCCGTAAGTCAATGCGAGAAGTCATTCTCACCCTCTAACAAGAGATGTCCATCCGTCATTCTGTATTTTGGCGATGAAACCTCTTCCTGATCACTTGTTTGAGGTTCGAGTTCACTTGCGATAAGCTGGGGAAGTATTGAAATAGCATGGGATATCAAATATCCCGATGCCGAGAGGACTCGCACAAATGGAGTTGGCTATAAGATCTGCCACTTATAACTCAACTTGCCCAAGCTTCGGTGTCACCTAGGGGCACGGGAGCTACCCTATACGCCGCGTCGCGTCGCGTCACCATCATAATGTACATCGTACACATTGAGATGTGACCGCTACTTGCGCACGGGAGATACCTGTGCTCCAGGCAGCAAGGAATCTGACAAGTCCACGACCCGCTGATATCATATGCCCCCTATATCATCAGGATCCCCCTCAAAAGAGCGATACAGGCCCTCCCCCACAGGACCCCATGAAGGATGAGAGACTTTGGAGGCCAGCTAGCATCCATCAGAGGAATGCGGCAGCACCTTTATCGATATTCGCTGGTGGGCGAGAGCAAACGCTGCATCTCTACGCCTGTCTTCAGGTGGGCATATCTAGATTCGAGTATCAACCGTGAGTGAGCGCCAGTATCTACCGGCATGGCCCTGCTTCTCCCCTTCCTTGACCCGAAAATAACTCGCGTTGTCATCGAGAGCCTGGGCTAGGCATGAATCTGTCTACGTCTAGTCCTAGCGTTGTGTAGTAGGAGTGCGGGTACCGGTACGGAAAGACGGACGCCCATTGGTTTCGAGGGTATATATCGTGCCGCTTACTTATATCTTATACTATAACATCTATCATATTAGCAAGCCTACACGTGGAGTACGACGCGCAAAAGACATACGACACCACACTACCAGCGCCTCAAAATTTAACACATATGCAAAATCCCGCCTCATGCCTACGGATCGCTTAGTAGATGGTATAACAGATATGATATAGCAAATAGCGCCACAGGGTGAGAAGTGGCTGGGCTATTGTCTGTGGAATAGGTTAACTCAGAGGCTGGACCGCCGCCTTCTTCTTACTCTTCAAGTGTCGAAATATGTATCAAATCCCATACCTTGTGTTAAGCTATATAGTATATATATATATACACGTATATACTTGATTATATAGTATTCAAAACTAGCGAGTATGTACGGCTGGCAAGGCCGTCCTGGGCACGCCTGGATTGGGTTGGAGTCTTGTAATTGAAACTAAAAAATGTAAGTGATAGCTCAAGGATCTTCCCTTCCACGCCGGATGTCGCAGTGCAGGTATACAACACGCTGTCAACAAATAGAGAGATCAATATGTAGTTGGAACACTGCACCTCTTCGCATCGGATGCTCAACCATTCCGAGGGAAGGCTGGGGGCCAGAAACGACTTTTCCCTTGCCTGTACCCTTCCATTGAGCCAACGAACAGACAGACAGGGACAGACGAACCAGCCAAACCAACCAACCCCCTTGACTGACGCAGCAGCCGAAAAACCCGACGGGTTGGAAGCGGGTTGCTAGCCACCTACCTGTTTCTGCCAACCGAACGTGACACAGATTATTTGGGGTCATCTTCTTCTGGTAATCAACCGGGCTGCACTACTGTACTGTAGGCGTGGCAGGTAAGGTTCCCGTCATTTCGAAAATTTTCCTTGGGTTCTGCCGGCGCGGGCTGTTTCATGTGAACGGATTTGGCTACATCGTTCCCCATCTGCTTCGACGGACCAGGCAGGTCATATCATCCCGACCCAGCGTCGAGCCACGTTTTTGGACACGGGTGGCCATATTAGGACGGATGAGGATACTGATTTTCACCTTGCTGCACTTCTGTACACGATACCGGGCGAGGTTATACATATGGTATATTATCAAATCATGCTACCTAGACGTCTCGGAGGATTGTATTTGGCAGCGTAGTGTACACTAATCGGCTCTTCTACACGTCACACAAGGGAAGGTGCAAGAGAGATCTGCAAACTTGAAATAAAATGCCATGAGAATCTCCAACGATACTGCGTATACCCGTGATATTGCATACCCAGGTAGGTAGACATCAACTGGAGCCAAGGCCGCCGCATGGGTATAGATGCCTAGCGTCGTGTAGTGTTTCCTCGACCTTCTTGCGTACTTACTCAAATATACATACCAAGTAAAGTCTAGTAATCATGGAAGATTAGGCTAAAGCCCGTAAACTACGTAATCCTAGGTTAGTGCAGTAGGTATGGTGTGGACGATGGACCCCGTTGTCCCCTTCATCGACAGTGCCGGTACCGACCAGTCCATCCCAAAAATTTCTTCAAGCCTTCTTTCTGGTAGGGCGATGGCGTGCTTCTCTGGGGTAAGTTAAGTCGAGCGCCTGTCTCATATGTAACATTCTGGACTTAAGGTAAATTGTGCAGCAGTACACTAACAGCCAGCGTAGTGTAGATGGCGCACCCCTTGATACGTAGTGCACATGTAGTGTGCTCAGCAGTGTATAACAAGGGCTTGGATGAGTAAGAATTACAGGATGGTGATGGCTAACAAGATGCCAGTTAATAGCACGGAGATGCCGTGGCGTAAGGTGACGCACCCGTCGACCACAGCTAGAGGAGCCAGATCCCGCCCTGGAAAATCTCGGGCAGATCTAAATAGCTAGACTACAATAACTAGGCTGTATAAGCAATTATGATACCATCTCCTAGTGCACAACAAGAAGACGGCAATGCGTTGGAGGCTGGGTGCCGCGAATGCTGACCAACACATGTAGCTCTCGGTGGTGAGATTCCTTAGAGGGGAACGACTAATATAACGTGAGGTGTCTACAATAAGTATACCAGGTATATATTGCAGGGCTATTCCTAGAAGACGGGGATTGCCAAATGCACAGTCAACTGTTTGGTGCGGTAGTACCTCGCAGAAATCCTTTGCGGGGGCGGTCTCTGCAATTGGCCTCTCCTCTTGACTACTTACGCCCGTTCATCAAGGACCATCAAGAACCATCAGCCGCATGGGATGAGGAAAAGAGACAACCAGAGAGAGGGGAGGTAGGGAGAGAGGGAGGAGGGGAAAACGGCGTTGCAACATGACCCTACCTATACGCGTAGTCGAACCGTGCTCTCTTTGCTCCTTTCCAACTCCTAACGCGCATATCCTGCAGAGGGTTTCACAGTTGCACCAAACATGATTGGGTTGTCCCTGCAGTGATGGCTGTTTTCTTGACGCGGCACGCAATGAACCACACCAAAGTCAGCGAGGCTTTCGCGGTTTGTGGGTGAAGACCTCGTGGTGCGGCACGCGAGGGCACGTAACGAATTACGCGGTTTCTTTACAGTGCGCCATACAGTAGTGCCATGTGGAGATGCACAGTTTGCAACACGTGCTTATGCTGCTTACATACCTGCCTATTTACATAGTATCTACATAACATCCGACCTACTCAGATCCTACTCTCTACTGTATGTAAGCGTGCGGGTTTATCCCACGTTATACTAGGTAACCTTACTGTAGACATTCTTATGACCACTAGCTTATACGGTATTTTATGTACACGAATTCAGGCCTGAATCCATTCTGCACACTAAATATTCGGCCTCTGGGGCCCGGGTCTGACCGGGAGTCCTCCGGATGGGTAGCGTGCGCTGCAACGACCATCTAGTGTAGCCTCGTTGAGATCCCATTGGCCTGGTCGGGCAGTTCCACAGCCTTGGAAGCACCAGTCTGCACCAGCTTTCACCGCCGCTGCACTCGGTGCCTTGTTCCTGCATCTTGCAGATTCCTGCTCCTTGTATACGGAGCATACACCCGTGTAGACACAGTGGCATCATCCCGACATATCGGAACTTATAACTTAATCATTAGGCAACAAGTCTACATTTCTGGCCTTGATAAACAGGCATCTTGCTTGATATGAGCGAGAGTTAGGCCAGCCAAGGAAAGGTTCAGCCACCAGACAACCGAGAGTCCCGCCGTGGTCTGCCTACTTACCGACCTACCTACCTGGCTTGAGGATCGTACCCCAAGAAAAGAAAAGACAAAAGCAAGGGACAGCGAGAGAAAAAGAGAAGGACAAGGAACAAGGGATTTGCTATAGGTGGTATGCGGGGTACTCCCTACGATGGTTTGTGAGCGCGAGGAACTGTCGTCGCTGTTGGACGATAAGCATGTCTACTACCTACGTAAGTACCTATCCTACTTCGTATGTAAGACGTCGAGGGTGTGTAAGCAGTATGGATAGCAATGCGCTCAGAGTGCCCACTGCTGGATCAAAGTCCAAAGTCTGCAGGTGAGATGGAGACCAACATTAGTAGCGAAGGAATTTTCTTTGATAGACTGATCCGACCCCTGGGTGCTGCTCGATTCTATTTCGAGCAGGACAAACATCCAGACAACCACATACAAAGTACACCAGACATTGGTGTTTGTTGATCATCTTGACCAGCAATGATACTAAACCTCTTACTTACTGCCTACCTACCTACCTACCTAGGTATAATGGTTATACTTAAGTAAGTATGTACAGTACAGTAGAGTCGGGCAACCCAGAGATTCGGGCAGATTCGGGGTTCCTTCTAGAAAACAAGATGAAACATTCTGCACATCGTGCTATTCCCACAAGGGGTTGGTCACGGCACTATGCACGCAAAACCACGCAAAGAAGCGACTAGCGCATTCTTCGGTTGCAGTCCCTACTACTTATGAATGTACTTCGTACAGCACTCGAGTACCTACGTACGTACCTACACCTGATGTACGTACCAGTACCTACGCGTAGCTAGGTAGTGCGCAGTAGCATGTGCGCTAGGCGGCGGACGCAGTGGATGATGATCTGACGTCCTGAATTCCTGGTAAGTAGATAGAAGCAAAGCATGGACGAACAGCTGGAGAGAACAAGTCTTTTCCGAGACAGAGTTTCCAACCAGCCAGTTCGTGGGGACGGATCAACCTATGACAATTCTCTCACCATCTTACCCTCTACCCCTCTTTCGTCATGCAGGTCCCATCATCCCGCGTCGGCGAGAGAGAGGAGCGGAATGGCTGGTGATCCTGGGCTCTATCTGTTCGCCAATTTCCGGCCCAAATCCTTCAACAAGCCTCGTTGTCCTCGGACTACCTAGGTATAGTAGGTAGTCTAATGCACAATACCTAGGGAATATAGCGAAGGTGGGCTTCCAAAGAGAGATTGTGTATTGTCAGTGGGATGCGACGATGCCTATCTGTATTCCCTTTTATTACCCTTCGAGATGAGATCAATGAGACAGATGAGATATTCTCAATATATCTCCGAGAGATATTAGCTACAATGTCACGTCGATGCCGATCTCCGTGAAGCTACCTACCTAGTAGCTACACTAGATACACCCTCGATACCCTGTACCTGACGCTACTAACACTAAGTACAACGGCTCACAAATCAGACGCGCCAAGCACAATATTGGGCAATAGGAATTCTTTTCGCGTACCTGCATAACAATACCTAAGCCTACATGACGTCTTTTACCTTTTTTTTTTTTTTTTTTTTTTTTTTTTTTTTTTTTATAATTAATATAAAAAAAAAAAAAAAAAAAATTATAAAAAAAAAAAAAAAAGTATAAAAAAAAAAAAAAAAACAAAGTAAAAAAAAAAAAAAAC